TTGTAATTTAAGAGTTGTTAATGTCTTATTATCACTGTAAGCCTATAAATAAGAGGTCTTACTAAGATGAGATAGACAAGTTGATTGAACAATTTCTATTGTCTTTCTTTACTCTTCATTTCTCTCTACAAATTCTCTTAGTTATATAACACGTTATCAGCACGAACCTCTAACTATTTGAGGTTTTGTTTTTCTATCTTAGAAATAGAATAGCTTCCTGAAATTACCTGTAGGATGACTAAAAATTCCTAGACAGGGGTGAATAGGCCAATTTAAAATTATAATAACTTCGGTAGCAGGATTGATATGGCTTATCAATCTTGGAACATGCTGAACATAAAATAAAGGAACATACAGAAAATTATTTTACATGGTAAAACCCCACCTCTGGGAAAATCTACGGGACTCCTCAGTCCAACATAAATCCACTATAGAACTATGATTACAAGAAGTACTCATACACTTATTCTAGACACATTCTAGATAATGTTTACCGACTTCTTCGTAACTCAACTTCTTTCACGGGATGATCTTCGACACTCCTTATGTGGAACGCAATACTGATCATGATTGCTTCAAGCTCGCAGGAGGAAAACCGCCACCACGATCTTGGTGCCATCAACCGTATGAGTCACCAAACAATGCAAATGAACACAATATAAATGATTAAAGTGTTTGATAAATCACCAAGTAAACATGGAATACTTGATGATTTATCTCAAATATATGCACAATAGCTTAGTAGGAATTTTAGATTCTCATATAAAAAATGGTAGTTATGAACTCATATTGCTAATGTCTAGGAGTATCTTTCAGTTCCTTGAGTGTGACGCAACACAAGCAACAAAGGTTTCAAACGAAAACCTTGAATAACAAGAAATCCGGATTCCACCAGAAATTGAGAGTAATTCTCTTGGGATAATTTTATTCAAATCTGAGTTACCAAAAAACGTTCACCAAACCTGTCTAAATACACAACTCTCAACCCTTGAGCTGCTAGGGGAGTTATTACATTAAAACTGAAAAGTAGAATTTATTCCGGAAATTAACTACGAAACTTTGAATGCAGTTTTGGAATGCCAAACGACCTCAAGATGCCAAAATCCATCATACTTCATAGCAAAGCGGTGAGTTTGACTTGTGGCATCGTTCCCTTTCCGAAATGGTATTTGCGTCCTAATCGGAGCTCGGACGACAAATCTGCAAATTCCCGCCACGTCCCTTTTCTAGCTCAACCGTGATAAAATCCGCCATTTGTTCTACATCAGAGTGGCTCCTTTTCTTCTTGGGATGCAACCATAAGTGATCGAATATACTTCTTTTCTTTCTTGAGTGTTTCCCACTTACACAATTTGGAGCCACACACTTGGTAGGCTCCTTTTAGTAGTGCGTGAAGATGATAAAGAAAAAAAATTGTTATGCATTTTTCTTCTTTTCATAGTTGGGTAGGATAGGAAGGAGACTGTTCATCTTTTTCTTGTTCAGAGAGAAGGATAGGAATAGGTCAGTATAGTGAGAGCAGGTGATCAGGTGATCGAGGATAATGGATACGATTGGTAATTCGTACTTACTAGCAAAGGCACCCGCGCCATGCTGCGGGTTTTGAAACCAAATTGCATTCTAAAAGACGTTTGAGAAAAATCATATTTTAAAAGAAGAGTTGATAAATTTTCTTTACAATTGAATCATAATTGAAGACAATTATGAGAAAGGAAACTTTGCCCAAATTCAATGCAATCAACTACCACTTAATATAGAGAAATTGAGTGGGGAAATAAGTTGTGAACAATGAAATATTATGTATATAATGTGTACATTAATGAGATGAATGAATTGAAAAGGAAAGAGCATAAACTCTGATGTGGAAGTAGGAGAGGCAATTTTGGAACTGCCTTGGGCTTTTTTCTTCTTCAAACCGATAATTAGTAAATTGTCAGAATCTCACACATTTTCTTCTCTGGTTTTATGTTTATCATCGGCAAGACAAACACTTTCATAAGAGATTTCTATACCATTTGAAATGGCAAAACTATGAGCTTCTTGCATCATCTGATTTCGTTTGCTATCTCTAGTCATTTTACGCATTATGCACAGAAATTTAAAACCCCAAGCAACAGATTGATAGCTGGAAAGGAGAAAAAACATGCATTTATACAATTTTAAATTATAAGCAAATGCACCGTGATATTGACAGAACCACAGAAATGAGAATTTTCAAATGTCATAATATTTGGCAATCAATAAGCTACAGCCACCATGCATGCAATCTTTTGAAAAATGGATAAAACACTAACCTGTAGTCAAAGAAGCTATCAAGCACTTCGAAAAACAGCCACACAAAAGCAGGATCACAACAGCTATCTAAAATACAAAGACAGAAAAACAAAATTAGGCTAATAAGTATAATTCTGGTTTTGCTTGTGAGATAAGACAGTCTCAATTAATGAATCTGTTTCAATACTGATTTTCGTATTGAAGAATATCAAGAACCAACAGAAACTATTTGTTACATTTCCTTTTCTTACACAAACAAATGAAAACATGAAAATATTACGATACGAATTGAAGACTGGTTTCTTTTCAAATTCCTTGAGAGGAGAATCACATGTTAATTGGTTGAAAAGTAACCAACACCATAAAGAGAAAACTAAATAAACACATCACAACTCATTTCAAAATCCATATGCATGCAAGACAGTGTAGACCAATACCAAATGTTCCGTAAAAAACAAATTTGATAAAACCAAACATCGACCAAACCCTATATAATTAGTTAAGCCAATGTGGTCAATTTGTTTCTGGAAATTAGTTCAATGGCCCATAATTGTGACTTGCAACCAACCATTTGCAGAGGAGCAATTTTAAATAAAATTAAGCAACAATCAAAAGAGCGAAAAATAAAGACATTCTAGATTCTAAAACAGGGCTCTGAACAACTTGGTGATCCCCAATTGGAGCATTAGTGCCACATGTGCTACATCTTTGACAGTGTTTTGATATATAGCCAACCTTTTTTAAAAAAAAAATCTCATCCTCATTGTTAAAAATTGATGATCTTTTCCCACTTTAAAGTTATTTCCACTATGAATAGAAAACATAAAAACATTTATTAAGAAAAAGTTCTTTCACTAACTGTATTGCAATGGAGATGCTACACTGTCTATTTAAAAACTATTAGATGCTGCATTTGAAATAAAGAGTATACGATTACTGATTATAATGTCATGCTTTTTAATAATGTGTTCTTTAATTTGAATAACTTTGATGCATAATAATCAAGCACCGTGTAGCTGATTTACATAGGTTCTTACTAAAAAGTTAATGTATATATTCACAAGGGATGCTTTGATATCAAACTTGCATACCAAAAATTCATCATTAAAAAATTAAGAAGAACAGTACATATGCCTAAATGATCAACACAAATGGGAAATTGATGCCATTGGCTAAAGCAAAATGGAAAACAATTAATTTCTGCCAATTAATTTCAACCAAGAAATTTGTCTCTTGCTTAACAGAACCAAAAGTAGGAACCTAAAACCTCTATCCAAACCAGTAAAATAAGCCAACACTTTGAGAGCACTGCATAGTTTACAACATCTAAGTTTTCTTTTTGGTCATTGGTGGAAATTTCACTATTCATTGTATTTAGCTATTTTTGGTTAATAAATATTTTGATGCCATTTAGTGAAGAATTTAGAACAGATGCTAAATGTAGATGCACCAAGTATGAAACCGGTGGAAGATTTTGAGTAACTGTTTACAACTCAACAACATTTTCCTTGGCACTAATGCATTCAATATCGATCTATTATAATTTAACTCAGGCTTTTTCTGGTTTTTGTAATTCTTTTAGGCATCATATTCAAAAATTACAAATTCCAACCAACACATCGATGGCTGGAAAGGAAAAAATAAACATGGATGAGTTAAATTACAATATTTTTATTACATCTATATCCTAATCAAGCAAAATGGACGCACACCAACAGTATTGTAGCTATAGAAATAAAAAATTTCAAAACAAACATATAAAAACGAATTAAATACAATTTCTATAGCCTAATCAAGCAAACCATATTAGCAATAACATCACAATGATAGAAATAACAATTTTCAAAGACACAATATCCAAACACCAATTAGCCACAGTTGATATGCAAGACTTCTTCAAAAGACGAATAGAAAACTGACCTGTTGTCTAGCAGCAATGGGAAGAGCTACCAAACAGTCTAAAAAACAGTTATACAGCACCTGTAAAAAACGCAAAAACTGAAAATTCAGTTTCTTCTTCTCATAAGGCATATAATCCTTTTTTTGCGTTTGAAAATTGTTGAAGTCTATTTTTGTACGGTTGCCATCTTTCTTTAGGACTTGAAGAAAAAATAAGAAGCACACACTTATCCCAACCAATTGTCAATTGACACCATTAGCTAATTCCTAAGCTCTATTCACAAAACTTAAAACAATTAATTGGAAATTTCAGCCTACAATTAAAGTTATTTCCACTATGAATTGAAAAAAAAAAAAAAAAAAAAAAAAAAAAAAAAAAAAAAAAGTTAAAAAAAAAAAAAAAACTAACTGTCATTGCAATACATAACACAACAATTTCTTTTGTTTCTATATAATATCCTAATCTCCTTTCTTTCCATGGAAAATTGGCATTTTTCAGATAAGGAAAAGCCAGAGAACAATTTCATTAACACACACTGAAAAGCATTATCCTGAACTGAAAGCTTTCAATTCCCATATCAATATCAAATTCCAAAAAGTCCAACTTCTAAAACAAAATACATAAAAACCAACCCATGAATCAAAACAGCATAAAAAATAACCCAAAAAAACAGAGAGAATTGCACCAAGATCCATGATCCATCTATTTATACCGTCACTCTATATATTAGCTTGTTTTCATAGCATTCAACTGTCGAATGAACATCAAACCACTAAAAGAAAGAAAGTCTCTTGACAAAAAATCTCCCAGCCAACAAATTCTTCATATGGAAGAAATACTTGGGAATGGAAGGTATAGTGCTACCACCCTTCTCTTTCTTTTTCTCTTTCTCACTCACACAAACACATATATTCTAGTGTTCCAAACAACCAATGCTCTAATAATAAGAATGAAACAGGGAGCACGGAAGGCTGTATGAGTGAGACTATAAGTAAAGAAAGAGCTGAAGCTGCGAAGAATGATGCAGGACTACCACTCTTCAATTTAAAAAGAGTTTTAGCTGCAACAAACAACTTCAATGTAGCGAATAAACTGGGAGAGGGAGGATTTGGCCCTGTTCATAAGGTGACACTTTCTAAACTGCTTGATAAATACTAATGTACAGTTTATCTAATATATGCTAACTTGGACAGGCCAAAGACATAACAGATCTAGGTTCCTTGAAGGAGGCAGCAAAAATCTTCATTCCAGGTATATTGTAGCATGATTTCTGTTTTCTCAGCCTCTCTAATTCTATAAACCAAAAACTTCAATATATAACTTTAATTTTTTGTAAGCGTTGATCTAGATTTACATTCCTTTTGTCCTGACAACTCAATCGAACATCTCAATCAAAAGTCACCCTAAACAATTAAAATCACAAAACCACTCTCTCACTCAGGATTGAATCATTGCACAGACTGTGATCAACATAAGCCTGCGGCAATCCTAATATCTAGGATATTATGTTCAATTGTAATTTTAAAAGGACAAAACATACACATTCAAGCAAGAACTCTACAGCATGCCTGTCAGGCCATACAATTTTCAGAACTTATGTACCAAGCGTATTGAACTGGCAAAGTAAACCATATGTTTCCTAGACACCATATGCTTGAGAGTCAATCTAGATAAATGGGTTTTAAAACATGAATTATTTCAAGAAGATAAAAAGAAACCTTTCTTTCTAGTTGAACATAGGGAATTTAGGATAGAATTTAAGAACCTGTGACATATACAGAAAAGCTTCGCAGTCAAGAACTATATTTTTCATATACAGAAACCAAAGTTTAAGCCACATAGCTATGTCTCAGAGCATATGGTGAAAAAATTGACGTGAGCAGAACTTAGAGAGTACACAAAGAAGGGAAGATGGCACTTTATCAGTATGGTTGCTGGTTAATCATTCCCAATTTCTATTTTGACGAAACCTGATTAATCTTCACTTCTTTTTTCCTTGTGTTTTATCATTAATTTTTTTTCTCCATATTTAGGATACAGCAACCAAAAGTAGATAAAAAAAGGATTTATTTTTTTTTTTTTTTTTTTTTAAGCACGCTTGGTCTTTGCTTTCCAGTGTGTTATCGGCAACCAAAACAGAAATTGGGAATGATTTCCATTTCTAAGATTTCTCCGAGAGAGCAAAGTCATTGAATCGAAAATTGATTAAAAAAATAATAATAATAAGAACGATGGAAATACCTGAGCTAATCTGTGAGATTCAATCCCCTTCCTGATAGAACCCAATATGTTGTGAAATATAAATACCTCAGCTCCTCTTATATAGCATTAGGGATTACCCAAGAACCTGAAATCAAATTAACCAAATAAATGAACCCAAATTCGTAAAAAATAAATCAAAAATACCCTAAAGATAGAACATGGCTCACACCCACGCTCTACAAAGGACGAAAAAAATCCCAGCCAACAATCAAATTCATGAAATGAAGACCAAAAGAGCTATTAAAAAGTTGACGGGATGCATACCTGAAGACAAAGGATGCAAAAACTCGCAAGCAAGAAAGATGGAAGACGTCTGAGTCGAAGGCTGTAGAAACGATGAGAAATCTCCCAACCACAAATCTGTGAGACGAAGACTAAAAGTGCGGCTGGATTTGCAGCCCACCTCCCAAACGAAAATCGACGGCCCCCCACGCATGTCTAACAATGAATGCAGATCTTCCATAGCTGCCCCCCAACCAGCTGGTTCGAAATGGACTGAAAATGGACGCCTTCTCTGAGCGAACGAAACGTTCGCAGCGGAGGGAAAGGGGCAAAAAGGGAACAGAAGAAGATGTTCAGTTGAGGGCAGTTTCGTCAATTTACTGTTATGAAGAGAAAACAAAACAAAAACAATAGCAAAATGAGGGGCATTTCCGTCATTATACTGTGCTTAGGAACAGTGTTTAGTTGGATTGAGCTTTAGTATATATATAATTTCTATGTGTTTAAACTGTGAGAGCAGGTGATCGAAGATAATGGAAGTGTAACATGCTTCTGAAGGTGCAAGAATAATGAAGGTATCCTAAGTCTGAATCAGATGGAGCTACACCACTGTTAATATATGAGTGTGTATCATACGCCAATCTTCCACAAATTGGGGTGTACACATGCTTTCGTTGGTCCTAATTAATACCAACCATAGTCACTTGGTGTTGCCGTGTTACAATTCCATTCCCTAGTCTTTGTCTCATTACTCCCCACTCTCTACATGTAATTTGCTGGAATTGTTAAGGCCTTTCTGATATCAATTGACTTTCCCCATGTACTAACTCCGATCTTTTAAGCTATGAAGTTTAGGACATACATGTACTAGATGTGCAGAAAACTTAGTAATAAGTGAACACAGTGACTTAAGAGTGGCCATGTATTGTTAACTTCATTTTCCACAGGGTAGAGTTGATTTGTCAACACGGAAATGAGATTTTATTTGTCTTAACTTGTGGAATAATGTTGCCAGTGGAAAAAGAAAAGTCATTATTAGGAGGATAAGGTTTATACCAATTCTGCGGCTTTCAAAAAGATGTATAAAAAAAACTGATTGGGAGTATGATTAGATGTTCAAGGTGCAGAGAAAAGTTGAGTATTTCCTCAGAGATGAAAATTTCTTTCTTCATCCTGTTGTTCATGGTAGGCTTCAAAGTTAATATTGGAGCGTGCCAAAATGAGTGCTCAGAAGAATTACGCTGTGGAGACTCCGGTCCACCTATCAAATTCCCTTTTCGACTCAAAGACAAGCATCATGATCACTGTGGCTACCCCGGATTTGATTTATCCTGCAATGGAAGCAACAATACGGTGCTTGAGCTGCCAATTTCAGTGAAGTTCACCGTCACTCATATCAACTACAAATCTCAGGTAATTCAAGTGGCTGATCCAGATGGTTGTGTTCTCAGGCAGCTACACAAACTTAATCTGTCTGCCTCTGCCTTCCAATTCAAAGGGGGTGGCTACCAAGGTGACTATACTTTATTCAATTGTTCACCAGCAGATGGAAATTTATATTATCAAATTATTCCCTGCCTTAGTGGGACTAACCACCAAATATTGGCTATACATTCATCTTTTTTCATCGACGAAGTTCCCATTTCGTCTTGTACCAAACTGTATAACCTTCCACCTGTTCCACTTGATATATTCGAGTCAGAAAATGTTCTTCGTTTGGAATGGTTCAAACCAGAATGTAAACATTGTGAGAGGAAAGGTGGAAAATGTAAATTGAAGAACAACAATGACACTGAATCAGAAACGGAGTGCTTCAAAGTGGGCAAACAAGGTATAGTCTTTCATCCATATCACTATACTAGTCAGGCATCACCCCTTTGCTCCCCATCAAGAATTTATGCAATTAAATATCTTATGTTGCATTAGCTACCATGAATTAGATACGAAATGCAAAAAAATAAAGAAAGAAGAACGAAATTTCTGGCATATAGACTGTAATGCATCATATAACATAAAGATAACCAAAAATATGAATTTTCTGCAAATATATATAATGATTGAATGATTTTGGGGACATGAGAATCTAATGGCATTAAAATCTTTTACAGGTGCCTCAACAAAGCTAGTGGTTATAGGTAAGCCATGCCCTTTTGCCCTTTCTTTTTTTCTCTTTTCTTTTCCTTTTTTTCCTAATTCTTTCTTTTTCTTTTTATAGTATAGAGGTTCTTGACCGAATATACAATCTGTAGGTGTGATCGTGGTGTTCATTTTTATTTGTGGTGGCACTCGTTTCTCTCCATCGGTTGTACACTTTTGACAGAAAACAAACCATGATTGAAGAATTTTTGGAAAATTACAGAGCTCTCAAGCCCACAAGGTACTCTTATGCTGATATAAAGAGGATCACCAATACGTTTAGAGACAAGCTGGGACAGGGGACCTTTGGAACAGTGTACAAAGGAAAGCTTTCCCATGAGATCTTTGTAGCTGTAAAGATCCTCAACAATTCCAAAGGAAATGGGGAAGAGTTTATCAATGAAGTGGGAACATTGGGTCGAATCCACTACGTCAACGTGGTTCGATTGGTTGGCTATTGTGCTGATGGATTTAGACGAGCTTTGGTTTATGAATTTGCACCAAACGGTTCACTGCAGAATTTTATAACATCAGCAGACAGCAACAACCATTTCCTTGGTTGGGAGAAGCTGCAATATATTGCTCTCAGCGTAGCCAAAGGAATTGAGTACCTTCACAACGGATGTGACCAACGAATCCTTCATTTTGATATCAAACCTCACAATGTTCTTTTGGATGAAAACTTCAATCCAAAATCTCTGATTTTGGTCTTTCCAAGTTGTGCGCCAACGATCAAAGTGCAGTTTCCTTGACAACTGCTAGGGGCACCATGGGTTACATCGCACCTGAAGTCTTCTCTAGGAACTTCGGTAACGTGTCCTACAAGTCAGATGTGTACAGTTTTGGAATGTTGTTACTTGAAATGGTTGGAGGCAGGAAAAATGTTCAGGTCACAGAGGCGAACAGCAGCCAAGTTTATTTCCCCGAATGGATCTATAATCTTCTAGATCAAGGAGAAGACATCCGCATCCACGTTGAGCAAGAGACTGATGCTAAAATCGCAAAGAAACTCGCAATTGTGGGGCTATGGTGCATCCAGTGGTACCCGGTAGATCGTCCTTCCATGAAAGCTGTAGTTCAAATGTTGGAAGGAGAAGACAATGTAAAAATGCCCCCTAATCCTTTCTCATCGACTGCTTCAACAAGAGACAGGGTTACAATACCTGCAAAACGCCCCCACCAAGAGTTACCTGTAATATCCGAATTAGATTGACGAAGTTAAAATGATTAGTCAGAAGTGCAATTGTTTTTGTAACTTGTGACTAATATCAAATAAACTAGAGCGTCGGGGAATAAACTGATGAGAAAGTAGTGTTAGATAATGAAAAGCATATGGAATTCCCCAAAGATGTATTGGTTGCCATTGAATAATTCGCCTACGAAAAGCAACACAAAAGAAACCTGATTTCCTAGAAACTGTCTTGCATACTTTTATGTATACTCTTATTCAAGTTTCCACCTTCAAGCACAAAAATCTTTTAAATTATAGATATTTAGTTTAGCCCATAAATATGCAACAACAAAAATTACCAAGAGGGTCCGAGCATTAATGACTAGCAAGTCGTTAGTTGCCAATTCAACACCATTTTGTTCAGCGTCTGCTGACCTTATTCTCTCAACTCAACCCACCCCACCCGCCATTCCATTTTGTTTGCTGGATTAGATAATGATCAAATCATCATGGATTGATTTGGATTTAAGCTAAATTTTTTTTTTTTTTTTTTTTTTTTTTTTTTTTTTTTTTTTTTTTTTTTTGTGTGTGTGTGGGGATGGGTGTGAATTTGTTATGTTTACACAACATGTAGGTTCTGAGCATGAGCAGGTTGGGCGGTGCAGCTGCTGTTTCTCCTCTTGTTGTTGATATGTCCTCTGAGGTAAATTAAAATGAAGAAACCCTTTTTATCGTAGCAAGGAATGGACCCAAAGAAAAACCCATGTACATTACACATAATGCTTTCCACATAAAGAAAAAAGGGAATGGAAAATTTTCTTGTGGAAAATCTGTTTAGGTGGTGGTGTTGATGATGAAAAAGAAGAACCAATCCACCATTCACATTTCCCTGATTTCACCTACCCAAAAGAAGGAAAGTACCCAGTACTCAGCCGGCCAACTGAAAAACTCAAAGCCCCAACTTTCCATCAGAGAGAGAGAGAGAGAGAGAGAGAGAGAGAGCTCTTTCTTTCTCTTTTGGCTTTGTATTGTATCCTTTCCCTTACACACTAAAGGGGGTGTATTCAATTGAGATTTTAATAGATTATACTTACATGATTTTAATTTAATAGATTTCAACTTGATTTGTAATTACATGATTTTTCTTATGATTTTAATAGATTGTAATTACAAGATTTTACTTATGATTTTAATTCATGTAGGACTTGCTTGTATTCTCCAAAGTAGATTTCACCGAAGTGTGGATTGGATTCGGGTTAGCCATCTTTCATCCATTAGTTAAACGATGCCAAGCCTTTAAAGAAGCAGAAAGTTGAAGTTACACCAATCTTAGCTCAAGTTATCATTACTATCTATCATGTATGGCTATCTTCAAATCATCCTGTTCTACAGCTAAAACCATAGCAGTCCCAAACTTCAAACATAACTATCATTAAACTAGAACCATACATCTATTAGGTTTTGGATAGAGAACTTGGTATGGAACTGAGAATTGACATAGGAAACAAGCCACAAGAAAGAAAAATCTTGAATTAATTGAATTTATAAATTTTACAACAGATAAGTTAATTAAATCAATTCAAATAAGAAATTGGACAGCTGAAAACAAGTCAAAATGGTCCAGCTATGACATGATACTAGTATAGAACACTTGTCACTCAAATTAATTCCACAAATTGACTAAAGAAAGACAAATAAATCAAAGGAAATAAATGAGTTGAAAATCTATTGAGAAAAAAGCATGCATATTGCACAATATGAACAACTATTGAAAGCAACGTATCTGAAATTATTGTTTAGATGTCTGAAGGTAAGCCATATGAGTCTCCTTTTTTAATGGGCAAAGAGATTATCCATAAGATGAAAGCGAACAAACAGTATAGACATGAAGCCAAAAGAAAGGCGGGAAGCACCTCATGCAACCAAACAGCCAGGAGAAAAAGAAAACAAGATAGACTAGAGAAAGCAAAGAAAACAAAGACAGCTATCTGAATCTATCCACTAAATACAGAGGGATCAAATCTAGTTAAACCAAGCTCTTGTAAAGATATGAGTACCTTGTTTATCTTCATTTCTCATCTTCCCCAAAAACAAAAAACGTGAGAATCATGCATAGGATAGGAGGGTGGGATTTTTTTTTATGGGGTTTGATATTTATATCACCCACTCAAAAGTCTCATACAATATAATATTTAACAAAATACCTCAAAATTGGTAAGTTTTTTAATACCACCGTACTTTTTCTTATCTTTTGAAAGTCCTAATTTAATACCACAAGACTTGGATTGATTATTTAAAAATCTTATTTGAATACCACCAGATTTTTATTGATTACTTAAAAATCCTAATTGGACTTTTAAGCTTCAAAACAATCTATTAAAATCTCAATTGAATACACTGCTAAAAAAACCCCAAAAATAATAGTTTAACTTTATGTGTGAAACTAATACCTTTTGGGTTTTATTTAGACCTTTTTTTACTTTTTTTTCTTTATCTTTCATACAGCGGGCCCTTTTAAAAAAAAAAAAAAAAAAAAACACTAATTTACCACCTAAGTTTGAATATTTTTATTATAATTTTTGTTCAATATGAGGTAAGTGTTAAACAAAAAAAGCCACATTTTTCATTTTTGCCCAAGACCTCCAAAATTAATGGGCCAACCCTGACTTAAAAGATGTGTATGACAAATGGAGATTTTAGATATAAGTTTCGAGTTTTTCAGATTTTCTTTGAGTGAAAGTTTTTGATAGTTGTAATTGATGGTAGAAAATAGGGAGATTAGGTTTTATTTTTTGAGAAACGTATATTTGCATGCAAATGGGTCAATGTCCTTTAATTCTGTCCCCACATCTGAAAGGCTGTATCCAAACGAAATTGAACCACTACTTCTGCAGTATTCTACAAGTTAGAAAATCAATTCTGTCAACTGGCACGCAATGCTCCTGTGGCAGCTTTTCACTATTATATAAAGTCCACATATCACAAGCAATACTCAACGTTTGGAAGCTCTCTCTCTCCATGGCTGCAGGAAGAGTATCTTCTCCATCACAATTATTCATAGCCCTCCTCTTAGTCCTTAGCTTATGCTGTTTGAGTTGCGGTGCTAAGGATGATTATCGTCAACAGTGTGAACCTTCATGGTGCGGCAAACATAACATAAGCCACCCTTTCCGACTAAAAGATGATCCAGAGAAGTGCGGTGACTCAAGGTATGAGCTGTCTTGTGAGAAGAACAACCTTACAGTATTATACTTGTATTCTGGAAAATACTATGTGCAGGCAATCAATTATAATAACTACACCATCCGAGTTGTGGATGCCAATCTTCACAAGGGTAACTGCTCTTCAGTTCCCCATTATTCGTTCTCCGCGTATAACTTCAGTTACGAGGATGAGGATCCGTATACGATTTCTCAACCTCGACTTACCCTTGGGCGCATAGATTATTTTGAACTGTCAAAGCCTATAATATTTCTGACCTGTGAAACCCCGGTGAATTCGCCTCTCTATGTGGATACTGCTCCTTGCATTGGTGCAATGAGTAGTTCCAATTCCAATGGGCATTCATATGTTAGTGTTGGACGATTAAATGTGTCAGACTTGATTGAATTTTGTCGCATAGAGCTTATGTTTATGATATCGTCGCAGCTTACAAAGAACAATTCCTACATAGACATCCACAATGAGATGATCTATGGCTTTGAACTTACATGGATGCAGTCGAGTTACCGTAGAGGTCAAAGCTGGTTTACTTGCTACGTCGACAGTGATACCAACAAAGTTAATTGCTCTCATGAATGCTATGATTTATACTGTGGTAAGTATGTCAAAGATTTCTTCATTTGTTTTCTTCTGGTAACTTAACTGTAGGCACATGTTCTGTTTTTTAACATGTCAAGATTCTAAAGTTCAAACTTGATGAAAACTTTTGACTTTGATGATGCAGGCTTCATCAAATATCTATACGGTGAGGACTCTCAATCCTATATTGTTTTCAATTTCTTCCAGTCTAAGCTGCATTTGTTATTATTAATAATTAATTCGCTCTGTTTCTTGCAGAATTCAGTGTCTTCCTTGCGTTGCTTGGTGAGTTTCATCTCAATTTATTTCTTCATCTCAATTATTATCCTCAGCAAATAAAAATTACTCTTTCCAGGAAAGAAAATTCATGCAGTGTTAAACAATTGGTCTCTAGTATTCAATTACATATACATTCTGGTTGTAGCAGCAACACTTATTTCCATGATTCATTTCGACACTTCCTTACAGGACTAGCACTTGGAGCTAGGGCTATACTTGGGGCTCCGTGTCTGATTGCGCTTTTAATTTATAAATTCAAGAGGCGGCACTTATCAATGTATGGAAATATTGAAGAATTCTTACAAAGTCACAACAACCTCATGCCAATAAGGTACTCCTACTCAAATATCAGGAAAATGACCAAGGGATTTAAGGACAAATTGGGTGAAGGAGGTTATGGTTCTGTATACAAAGGGAAGCTCCGAAGCGGCCGCCTTGTAGCAATTAAGATGCTGGGTAAGTCCAAAACAAATGGGCAAGATTTTATCAATGAAGTTGCTACAATTGGAAGGATTCATCATGTAAATGTGGTGCAACTAATTGGCTATTGTGTTGAGGGATCAAAGCGTGCTCTTGTGTTCGAGTTCATGTCAAATGGATCTCTTGATAAACACATATTTTCTAAAGAAGGACCATCAACCTTAAATTACAAGAAATCATTTGAAATTTCACTTGGAGTTGCTCGTGGTATTGACTATATTCATCGAGGATGTGAGATGCAAATTTTTCATTTTGATATCAAGCCTCACAACATTCTTCTTAATGAGACTTTTGTTCCAAAGGTTTCTGACTTTGGGCTCGCAAGATTATGTCCATTAGATGAGAGCAGTTTAACTTTGACTGCAGCAAGAGGAACCATCGGATACATAGCTCCAGAGTTGTTTTACAAAAATATAGGAGGAGTGTCAAACAAAGCTGACATCTACAGTTTCGGAATGCTGTTGATGGAAATAGCAGGAAAAAGAAAGAATCTGAATGCAATTGCAGCTCATTCAAGCCAAATATACTTTCCTTCATGGGTTTATGACCAATTCAATGAAGGAAAGGACATAGAGATAGAAGATGCCACTGAGGAGGAAATGAAAATAACAAAGAAGATGCTTATAGTGGCATTATGGTGTATACAAATGAAGCCTAGCGAGCGTCCTACTTCGATGAGCAAAGTAGTACAGATGCTTGAAGGAGAAACTGAAGCCCTTCAAATGCCTCCAAAGCCTTTCCTTTATCCACAAGACAAACCAGTGGTGGATGATGAAGACAATCCAGAAACAACATGGCCATCGTCAACACAATCTAATGACGACTCTGAAGACTCAATAAGCTTAATTCAAAATGCTGACAATTAGCCTGAGTATATGTATAGTATGCCCGAGGAAAGGCTTCATGGCCAACATTTCAACTCTGCAGGGGCAGTAATAATGGTTGCTTCGTTTTTGGTAGGACGAATCCTTCTTGTAATATATTTCTTTCATGATTTGTGAACTTGTTTTCAACAGTTTTTGGTCCTTCCTCCTTTAAATTAAAGTGTAAGGTGTCCTACTCTTCAGTATGCACTTGCTGTTGATGGAATTTTTATTTTCTGAACGTATTAATGGATTGTAAACTTCATTTACTACAGGGTAGAGTTGATTTGTCAACTCTAAACTAGTCAAGGTATTGCCTTTCATGCATATCACTAAACTAGTCAAGGTATTAATCTTCACCATGAATTAATGTCTAAGCAACAATAAATAGAAAAGACTACTGTGGGATTAATCTTCACCATGTCCACTTGTTCTAATGTTTAAAATAATCTATGGATATTAACTTAAAAACGAAAGTGCAGGACGAAGTAAAGACCCATTTTCCCAGATTTCTTTCAACCACAGAGGTTCTGGGTTTTTCACCGATATGGATTTTTTTTACATCCAAATAATTTTGAAGTTACTCGCCCATGAATTTGCATCCAAGTAATTTCGGGGTTTTTCACCTACAAATTTGTGGTGCCTAACATAGAAAAGAAAATAGAGATGACAGTATACCTATAGCAATTTTTTCTCCTCTTTGCACTGCTCTAATTTCTCCAGCAGTCTTTTTTAATCCATCGCCAGCTTCCTCTTTTCCTTTTCTTTCTGTTATAATTTGTATCGAGGTTACTTCGGTCGCAATCTAGCCATTTATCATATATTAGAGCCAAATTTGAATTGGTTTAGGCTATGCTTACCAAACCCTTCAAAAATAGATAGCTTAGGAAACAATTGGTTTAAAGTCACCTTCTGAAATGAGAAGGACTTAATATATGTTTTGGGAGCATCGCCCTTTAGTCTTATTACTTTTCTAATGTTTGGTATATTAACGCTTAAAGTTTGTTGCTCTTGGTTAAGTTCTCTCTCTGCATTCATGAGCTTTGCATATGGGTAAATATCTTTGTTTTCCTTTGTAATCATTATTGTCGTCTTTGTTCTTTGTGTAATTTTTTTTCTTTATTTGTTTGTGCAGTCTTTGTGAGTATTATTTCATTAATTTTTATGTTGAGTTGAATTCTTTTGTATTGTAGTTATATGTTCTTTTAAATATTTATGTTATTTGTGTTTTCCCTCATTCAGGGATAGTATTTAATAACCTGGTTATTGGAGGTTCTGAACGGTGGAGGGATAATTTGTATTGGGGTTACTTCGGTCGAAACTGAGCCGTTTATCATATATGCCAGCAAAATGAGTTTATTGCATATTAGATCAACATAGCTACATCTTTATTAAGTCGATATGCATTGACGGTTTTTGGGAGTTCAACTTATTTTGATTCAATGCATGAGGTGGTATACACTGCCCCTTTTGATAGTACACTTTTGGACTGGTTTAAGGACTTGAATGGGCCAGTTACCAACAAACACGGACTTCTATCTGTAGTCAACCTCTCTGTGGGAAGCCCTTAATCAATCCTTCTAATATGCTCCACAACTATGACAGCATCATATTGCAATTTGTTATTCATGAATGGTTACACTTATATATTGGCGATTTCATAAATAACATATTGCAATATGATGTTGTCATAGCTGTGGAGCATATTAGAAGGATTGATTAAGGGCTTCCTATAGAGAGGTTGACCATAGATAGAAGTCCGTATTTGTTGGTAACTAGCCTATTCAAATCCTTAAACCAATCCAAAAGTGTACTATCAAAAGGGGCAGTGTATACCACCTCATGCATTGAATCAAAATAAGGAGAACTCCCAAAAACCGTCAATACATATGGACTCGATAAAGATGCAGTTATGTTGATCTTATATGTAGTAAACTCAATTTGCTGGCATATATGATAAACGGCTCGGTTGCGACCGAAGTAACCCCAATACAAATTATCCCTCCACCGTTCAGAACCTCCAATAACTAGGTTATTAAATACCATCCCTGAATGAGGGAAAACACAACAAACATAAATATTTAAAAAAACGTATAACTATAATACAAAAGAATTCAACTCAACATAAAAATTAATGGAATAATACTCAAAAAGACTGTACAAACAAATAAAGAAAAAAAAATTACACAAAGAACAAATACGACAATAATGATTACAAAGGAAAACAAAGTTCAACAGATATTTACCCATATGCAAAGCTCATGAATGCAGAGAGAGAACTTAACCAAGAGCAACAAACTTTAAGCGTTAATATACCAAATATAAGAAAAGTAATAAGACTAAAGGGCGATGATCCCAAACATATATTAAGTCATTCTCATCAGAGAAAGTGACTTTAAACCAGTTGTTTCCTAAGCTATCTATTTTGAAGGGCTTGGTAAGCATAGCCTAAACCACTTCAAATTTGGCTCTAATGTTAGTAGCTAATGAAAGGGGCTCTCCAAAGATTGTACCCGCTAGACAAAACTTTGCAAATTGCTCAGCTGCTGGATATAGCAAATATAGTTAGCAATGTTTGTCACTGAAAAATGCATAGGCTCTCAATTTAAAAACAAAAAAAAATATTCTTGAATGAACCAAAAAAGGAAAGAAAAAAGACTAGTGCATTTTCTTGTTGAATTATAACCTTTTTATTGTATGATATAAACGAGAAAGGAACCAAAAAATCATAACCATGATAATTAAGGTGTTAGATGCCACAGTAAGATTCACACAAATCCAAAAATAACTCATATGTAGGGTTCTTAATAATTAAGGTGTAACCCCATTATGTAATCTTTATACATGACTGCAAGGAAAAACGAAGCATAAATGATCAATAGTGTACCAAAACGAGTAAGAGTAAACAACTAACAGTAAGAATCTAACAAATAAAACCAAAGGCCAGAACAATATACAAGGTAAGTTAACAATCCACAATTTTGGGGAAAAAAAATAAATATTTGCAAAGTTGTTAGTGTATAATAAAATTAAAACAAAATGAAACTGAAACACAAACTTAAAAAAACTAGAATTCATTTTGAATTTTCCTAAAGTAATGTCAAATTTAACAAATTCAACCTCCACCCCATTAACGGAACAATGTATAATATGCTAATCCAAGCATTCAATGTGCAACCCATCAATTTAACTTTTGGTACAACATTTAAACTAAATAAGATTTAATAGTATTTACTTATCAATCAAGTGCATAAATTTAACAATCTAGGACTTTTTCATCATTTTCTCTCCACCACGCCCAAACTAAGAGATGAATAAATCCATTATCAACAGTAGAAAACTGAGTTCCAATGAAACGAAAGAAGGATTATTAAAGCTTAAAAATGAAAACTCATACACATTTCTATGCAAAACCCTAAAACTTACCTCAGAATGGGGCGGTAACCAAGCCTCTTCTCTGCCAAGGGGAGATGGTCGAGAATTTTGAGGTGTTGTGGACTCTACTTAAGGAGGTGATATGTTTATGTACTTCGGTTTTAAAGCGGCTAACAAATCCAAGACCTCTGAACAACATCTAATTTAATATTTATAACTGGATTAGGAAAGTACGGCCCTAAAAACTTAACCTGCTTTGTATCCTAGGCGTTGATAAGAATAATAATGATAATCCAACGGCTCTGCCAACGAAATGAGAACTGTCTTCTTCTTTTTTTCCCAAAACCAGCTCATTAATTTATTAGGCCTGACAGGACCCGCCCCGGAATTCCTCGAAAACTGGAACAAATCCCGTCTTGTTACCGACATCACCCCGATGCCAGGCCCGCGGAATCCACAACCTCCGTTTTACTATACGAACGTTCCTACGGGTTCCACAAGGTTTAGAATACACATCCTGCAAGGCTGGTCTGAATCGGACGGTCGGATCGCTCACAATCGCACGATCGGACGGTTATCATAAAACACAAACTTTAAGTTATTAAATCGGAACATCCGGTCTCTGATTCACGATCCGCGAATTCCTACACGATTCTAGGAGTGCCTAGATCAACATATATAAATTTCGAGACGATCCAACGGTTCCACCCTATCAAACCCGGATAACACACAATATGCGAAATCCGTTCGATAGTCAAACGACATCCAAATTGAAATCCGAGCACACCTATGCCCTTGTGAGAACCAGGAGATTACGTCGGGACACAATGCCCTTTTTCTACAGTGCCCACGCGCTGGCAGCCACACCGGCAGCGTGTCCAAAGTAATAACGCTTCGCCGGAAAATCTCAATACTACGGCTCAAGACTCCTACTCTAGGTGTAACACCCTATTTGGAGTCACTTTTGTTCTTGGGCCTACCCCAAAAAGTGACCAGAAGTGGCCGAAACCGGCCAAAACTTCCATAGCTTGAAAACGTTTCAAAACTCAGAAATTGATCCTAAATACCACAACCAGCAACTAGAACATGCTGAAAGGATAGAAAAGCATACCAAGTTCGAAAGAAATGGTGGCCGGAGGCGTCCGAACGAGGTCCGTGAATTTTGGGTTAAAACCGGTCGGTTTTTGGTATTTTCCGGGGAGCACAGGTGGTTCCAGCGGCTGAGGTTGGTCGGGATGGAAAGAGGGAGGTGGCCCGGTTCTTTTGGGACCGGTGCCACCCAAAACGGTGGCCGGATGCGACGGTGGTGGCCCAAAAAGCCACCGGAATAGTAACAGCCATGGGGGGCTGTGCGAACCAGCACAGAGAGAGAGAGAGAGTTTTCTGCCTTTATAAAAACCTCATTTCGAAATAATTACGATTGTGCCACTGAGTTTCTTTTGATCCTAACTTCTTCGTTGCAACTCCGAATCGAGCCTACTACGTGTCTACGGACTCATCTCGGTACAACCTACGTAAAAATACCACTCGCTGCCCCAAACTCTTTCTGGATTAAAAAGTGACCAAAATACCCCAAACCCAAGGGTAAATTTGTAAATTCAAATTTAATTAAATTAAATAATTTAAGTAAGGAATTTAATTGGAGTCGGGGTGTTACAAGGCCAACCCAAACTTTTTACGATAGGACGATTCAGATGGGTGAACTCAAAATTAAGCATACTTTTTAAGTTTTGGTTCTAATTTGTAATCCAACCTGTACATATCGGTTTTATGATTTTTTGAACTCAAGACTCGTTCATTTTTAGGCTAATCTATCTAATCCAACCCACTGTGATCGGATTGAACGATTCAGTCGGGTTGACCCAAAATTATGTCCACCCTTAATAGCAATATAATATCAATGCTCTCGTGCTTGGTTTGATTATATTTAAGGCTTTTTATCACAAAAGGTCACTGAGGTTTGCGAAACTATCAGATTTAATCATTTATGATTTTTTGTGTCAGTTGTAGTCCTTAAGGTTAATACGTGTGCTCACAAATAGTCATTGCCGTTAAGTTCTGTCTAAAATATGTTAAATTGATGACGTGACACATATGTGGGTCTCACATATCTAATGATATGGCGCCACATGAATTAAAAACAATTGAAACTTATAAAAATTTTGAAAAAAAAAACTTAAAAGAAAAGAAAATATATTAAAAACCAAAAAACAAAATCACCATCATCTTCTCCATCGCACTAAAAGCCAACCCCCACCAGTCTCCCTTCCCCTTTTTTCTCCTCTCTCCCACCCACATCTCCTCTCTATCCCTCTCAGACCTCCAACAACCGCACCCTATCCTCACACCACTGACCCCGCCTTCCTCATTTTCTCTCCCTCTTTGTCTCTCTTCACTACTCTCTTTATTTGACAGCAACCAACCTAAACTCCACCCTCCCCTGCTCCAACCAAACCCAGACAACCACCAAACCCTGTTTTTTATATATATTTTTAAAATGAAATAGTTCACCATGTTGAATCGGTATCAAACTTTATATTTTAGGTTCAAAAACAAAAAGCTGAAACCTTTAGGAGAAATATACACAGAGAAAGAATGATAGAAAACAGAGGATTTTGAATGTTTAGTATATTTCACTATAAAAAACACAGAGGAATTACATGACTATATTCGTCTTCTCAATCAAAATTCAGATCCTATTTTTTAGGGAGCAAGGACTCATCTCCAGTCATACAGACCATAGGAGGCTACGATCTTTCCACTTGGAGAAAGATCGGATGACACAGTACAATCTAAATGGGATAAGAATAATAGTTGTGTAGGTTTCTAAAAACAAAAATAAAACTAGTTGTTACACATTTAAACTAACGGCTATTTCTAAAAAAGGCAAATTCTTCATCTCTTCACTTCCAATCTGCAGGATTGTCATCTGCAGGTTGATTTAAGCTAAGTATGCAGGTTAATTCTCAACAGCCTCTCCTAAGCTGCTTATTGGCTTAACTCCAAGCTTCAGTCTCAATTGATTAAACTTATCTTTCGATAAAGCCTTTGTAAAAATGTCTACAAGTTGTTCTTCACTTCTGCAGAATTTCAACTCGATCACACCTTCTTGCAGAGCTTCTCTTATAAAATGATACCTTCGGTTTATATGTCTAGTTCTCTGATGAAAAACTAGGTTCTTAGCCATAGATATAGCTGACATATTATCACAGAATAAAAGTGTTGCCTCAGTTTGCATTTCCCCAAAATCATCAAGAACAAACCTCAACCAAATAGACTTTGATGTTGCCTGAGATGCTGAGACATACTCAGCTTCAGCAGTTGATAGTGCCACTATGTTTTGTTTCACAGATGCCCAAGAAAACGCTCCATTGCCAAAGCTAAATGCATAACCAAAGGTGCTTCTGCTATCATCTTCACTTCCTACCTAATCTGCATCACAGAATCCAATGAGAATTGCAGACTTGTCCTTCACATACTCAATGTCATAGTTAAGAGTCCCTTGCACATATCTTAGTACCCTTCGTGCAACCCCCAGATGCTTCTTGGTAGGGCTATTCATAAACCTTGATAGCAAACTTGCAGCATACATTAGATCTGGTCTAGTTGCTGTTAAGTACAATGAACTTCACACTATTTCCTTGTAAAGCCCTTCATCAGCCAATTCACTACCATCCACTTTCTTAAGCTTTTCACCAGTGGGCAAAGGAATTGATGCTGGTTTGCAGTCTTCAAGTCCAAATTTCACAAGCAGTGATTTGGCATACTTGCTTTGATGGATGAATACTCCTTGATCCGTTTGTAATATCCCCATGCCCAAAAAAAGGTGTAGAAGTCCAAGATCTGACATTTCATATCTCTGCATCATCTCTCTTTTGAACTCAGTAAGCATTTTCTCACTACTTCCAGTGCAGACAATGTCATCAACGTATATTGAGACAATTATCAACCCTCATTCATTATCAGATCTTGTATACAACGTGGCTTCACCTGTGCTTCTTTTGAACTTGCATAGAATGAGATATGCATCAATCTCACTGTGCCAGGCTCTAGGAGCCTGTTTAAGTCCATATAAGGCCTTTCTTAACTTGTAAACCTTGTGACTTGCATTCTTTAACACAAAACCTTCAGGCTGTTCAACATACACTTCTTCATCAAGCACACCATTTAGGAATGCTGACTTAACATCCAACTGAAATAACTTCCACCCCATTTGTGCTACAAGAGCAATGAGAGTTCGAATTGTGTCTAACCTTGCCACTGGTGCAAAGGTTTCATTGTAGTCAATCCCAAGTTTCTGTGCATACCATTTTGCTACAAGCCTGGCTTTGTGTTTTTGAACAGTTCCATCTATAACAGATTTATCAACTGACCTCTCAACAAGTTCCCAAGTATTGTTCTTTTCAATCATTTCCAACTCTGCATTCATAGCTTCTTGCCAAGCTATATCACTTGCTGCTTCTTGATAATTCTCTGGTTCTATAATACACATGTGACATCTTGCATATATATCTTCCAGAGTTCTCAACTTCACTGGAGTGGAGCTAGGTGTAGAGATTTGACTGTTATTTCCACTATTATTCCTATATGACTCATCGACAATAGTGTTTGGGTGAGAGCTTCCACCATTATCAAACTGGGTTGCATCAGTTTGTTCTTCACCAACTTCAACTTCTGTTCCATTCCCTTCAAGATTGAAAGGTATTGAGATAGACTCTACTTGATTTCTTTCCCAATTCCATGACTTGTTTTCACTAAAAATTACACTCCTTGAGAGTACAATTTTCTTAGATTGCAGATCATACACTCTATATCCCTTTTCACAGCTTCCATATCCCATGAAAACTCCCTTTCTGGTTCTGTCATCGAATTTATGCCTCAAGGGTGATGAGACATGAGTATAGCAAATACAACTAAATACTTTCAGATGCTTAATTCCAGGCTTCCTACATGTGAAAGCTTCAAAAGGTGTTTTGTTCAACACAGATGTTGTAAAGCATCTATTTTGAAGGTACACAGTTGTGCTCACTGCTTCTGCCCAAAAAATCACAAGAATTCCCTTCTCAGTCATCATAGACCTTGCCATCTCACCAATTGTTCTATTTCTTCTCTTAGCAACTCCATTTTGCTGAGGAGAGTAGGCAATGGTCAGCTGCCTCTCCATTCCCATGCTTGCACAGTAATCCTGAAATTCATGTAAGCTATATTCACCACCTCTATCACTCCTTAGCTTCTTCAAACTGAATCCACTTTGCAGTTCAACAAAGACTTTGAATTTCTTGAACACATTGAAGGTATCAGACTATTTCTGAGGAAGTATACCCAACACATTCTTGAAAAATCATCTATGAATGTGATGAAATATCTATTTCCTCCAATGGACTCATTTTGCATTGGTCCACACAAGTCTGTGTGTACCAATTCAAGTGGATAGTTTGCCCTCCATGCTTTTTCTTTGTCAAATGGCTCTCTGTGTTGTTTCCCTGGAACACACCCTTCACACTCATCTTCCATTTCTATCAAAACAGGTAATCCAAGTACCATTTCCTTCTGCTACAGCTTCTTCATGCTAACAAAGTTCAAGTGTCCAAGCCTTCTGTGCCAGATCCAAGAATCTTCAATCTTGCTGCAAGTGTTATAGATTTTAGTGAAAGAGGAAAACATTGATTTCCTCCCATGACCACTTTTGCTACAACATTGTTGAGGCTACTATCATCAAAGATAACTGCCATGTTACCCCCAAATAGAACATAGTAACCATGCTCCATCATCTGGTCTACACTTAATAAATTCTCATCCAAACCCGGAACAAGCAACACTTCATTTATATATCTTTTCCCACGCTGAGTTTCAACCACTAGAGTGCCTTTTCCAGTTGCTTGTAGAAGATCTCCAGTGCCCATTTTAAATTTACAAGTCACAGTTTTGTCAATGTTTATCAACATAGACTCTTGAGATGTCATGTGATTGCTACATGCACTGTCCACAAACCATACACTTCTATCTTTTATACTTGCAGAGTGACAAGAATAGAACATAGTTCACGTGGTTACTTCTTCCTTTGCACAATTGGCTACTTGTTTGTGACTATGACTATCATAGTCCTTTGTAGTATGACCAAACCAATTGCATTTTCCACACCTAGCTTTTCCTTTGTATCTGCACACACCAAAATGATACCTCTGACACACTTGACAATGTGGTTTCACACCACCTTGACTACTACTTCCTTGCTTGTTTTGTGAATTGAATCTATTGTTCCAATTTCCTCCGGCACTATTATTCCACCTTGAGCCATTGTTGTTGTTGAAGTTTCCACTTTGAAACCAATTTGATCCCTTTTTGTCTTGTCCCTGCCACTTTTGATTTGGCCTACTCTGTGAACCTTTATAGGTACCAGTGACTTGGTTATTTCCAACCTTGAGGCTACTAAAAGCTCTCTCAGTTCCTGTCAATTTATCTCTTTCATCATGCAGGTCCTCCCTTTTTATCAGACCTTGACAGATGCAATGACCTCTTCAACTCTAATAACATCAAGATCTCGAGTTTCTTCAATGATAGACACAATGGACTTATATCTCTACTTAGACTCATCTACATAACCACAGATGCCTAAAGGGATTAGTTTTTATTTTATTTTTATAAGGGACATTTTTTGGTAACATCCCTCCGATGCCTAAAGTCGAGTCAACCCTAATCCAAAATTTTCACGCTCTCCCTCGCAAACTCTCTACCCAAAACTTCATCTCCCTCTCAAACTCTCGCCCCAATTACTTCCAGCTCCCTCTCAATTTTTCACTCCCTCTCAAACTGTCACCTTAAAACTTCATCTCCTGAAAGTCTCTCTTTCTTCTCCCTCCTCCATCACTGCCCCATTCTTGCTAAAACTATCAGATGCTCAACCATTACGATTCACAGTGAGAATCATTCTTCCATTTCAACGATTCTCAAGCCAGCTCACACAATTTCTCAAGCCCAGACTCTTAGACGGAAGTTTAAGTCGACGATTGTGTGGTTTTGTCTATCAGTGAAGCATTTCCCTTTCCCCCAAAAGTTAGGGTTTTGATCACACCCCACACCTCCTCTTCTGGTAAGCTTTTCTTCTCTCTTCACAACTAAAATTTAGGTTAAACATTCTTTCTCTCAATACTGGGAAAATCTTCAAAGTTTTTGGAGTTGCAGAGCCGTAACTTTTAGAAATTGTTGTTGTTACATTTTCCTAAGCAAACATCTGCTACTAATTTGTCTTTTTGGATTAGAAAGTCTAAAATTGTCTAGAGATCTACAAAGCTGTTAACTTGGGATTAAATGATGCAGCAGTTTTAATAATCAGCACCAGATCAATTTTTTAAAATATTTTTTATAGCTTTTTGTTTTAATATTCCATAGCAATTAGTGTTAGGGAATGCTTTTAGTGGACTGTGTATATAAACCCTCGTTCCCTCACTCTTTCAATCTCATAGCATATCCCCACACTCTCAGAACTAGTACTTCTGCCGTCTTTAATCTTCAATGGAAAACATGGAGCAAACTTTCATCATGATCAAGCCTGATGGGGTTCAAAGGGGCCTGGTAATTTCTTCAAACTCTTCATCTATTGTATTCTTTTGGTACTTCAATTTTATAGCTTTATTTTGGTCTGTTAGTTTTAAAAACTGGGCAAAATCTTATGTGTGTTTGAGTGGGTTTGCCTAAGTTCTTGTTTTTGTTTATGAATTTCATGGCAAGTATTACTCTGGTATGGTGTTTGGTTGGTGGGAAAACCTAGGAATTGAAGGGTTTGGTTTTCTTTTGGGTGGACTGGGGAGCAAGCAAATTTTAACAATTCTGAGCTGGCATTTTAGGTTTTTATTTACATGCATCAAGTTTTAATATTTGTAGTATGTAATGGTTGGATTTTACATGCATAATCTTGCGTTTTAATTATCTGTGGATGTGTGAAGTGGGTGAACAAAAGCCGTCCTTTTTAACTTCGGCCATAGTTTTTTTCTTACACAGAATCCAATAAACTATTTTAATCCAATTCGTGTGTATTGTGTAATTATGTGAAAGTTTTCAAATTTTCTGGGAGGTTCATGTTTGTTACAGGTTGGTGACATCATTAGCAGGTTTGAGAAGAAGGACTTCTATTTGAAAGGTAATTTCCAACCAACGATGTTTGATCTTGTATGATTATGTGCACTTTGATAATTTGTGACAATCCTATTTAACAAGCCTTTCCTGTTTTATAATGATTATCAACTTGACTTACAGACAAAAACTTTCGGACATCAAATTTGATGTATGGCTTACAGTTTTGTGTGTTAATTATACTACAATAAGTTTTCTGGGATGCTTAGCTAAATTTGGATGTGTAACTTATCAGGAATTTCTTCTCAATAAGTTTTTTTTCTTCTGGTATCTGTTCAGGTTTGAAGTTCATCAATGTGGATCGTCCTTTTGATGAGAAACATTATGAGGACTGTCAAACAAAGTAGGGCAAATATTCAGTTATGCTAAGATACGCTCATCTTATTATTCTTCTCCAATATAGGTATTTATACAAGTACAAAGATGTGTTAATCCTAAATAAAATAGGAAATATATCTAAATTACAATAGGAAGTAAATCTCTATTACAATAGGACTAAATAATAATGGATCCGGATCCTCTACTTTGATTTTCTTTGCTATGATCTGCTTTACTTTTGTTCTCCACATGCCACCTTATTAAAATTTAATCTAAGAGACTTAAATTGGACACATCTTCCTTAAAATAAAATTTCAATTTACTCCTAATTAAAAATGAAAAAAACCCTAACTTGACTAACGCCTAAACTTAACAGCTGTAGCAGTTTTTTCTCTCTCTTCTTCTTCCTTCTCTGCACGTCTCCCCCCACCCCCAAACAGTGGCGGATCCAAAAATGAAAAGCCAATTGGGCGGAATTTACATACTAAACTTTACGGTACAAGTGAATTTCATTAATAATCAGAAAAAGATACACCTAGTTAGGGGGACGTAATAAATCTTACCCTCGAATACATCTATACATAAATAAAACTCTAAAATATTAAGTTTTAAATTAAAACTATAATTAAAGATATATAGAAAATGAGAGAATTAGAAATTACTGCTTGTTATAGAAAGGAGAGGACAAGCCAATAAGTTGCCCACTGCCCAGCCAGTATAATAGAAAGATGCAGAAAATAAAGAGGGATAAAAGGATGCTGTTGTTGTCCTCGGCGGGTCTGTAGAATAGAAGAGAGAAAAGGGAGAAAAGTTGGTGTACCAAAGGAAAAGAGGCAAAAGTTGGGACCACTTTGAAGTTGGATGGGCGTGTGTGTATATTGGGTAAGCTTTTAAGCTTTTAAACTTGGGCTGCCCATATAACATGTATAGGTTTTTAAATAATAAAAAAATCTTTGGATGGGCGGGCACCCACCCTGCCCTTCACACAGATCCGCCACTGCCCCCAAATCTTATCGCTCATCATTCTTTTCTGTGTCCAATCTTAGAACACAAAAACATTATTACCAAGAAAAGTATGAACATAATAAGAATCATCTGAGTCCTTTTTTTTTGGTTCTTCTTCTTGCATCACGTTCTCTTTTGCTTTTGATGTCTGCAACCACCCTCATCAAACAATGGATATGGGAAGGGAAGTTTTTTTTTTGGTTCATTTGATAGTGAAGTTTCAATTTTGCTTTTGATTAATTTATAAATAAATTCATATACCACTTTCGTATTCTTATGCTTCTGATCATCACTTTTTTTTTTCTTTCTTCCTATGTCTGCAACCACCATCATCAAACAATGAATATGGAATAATTTTTTTCTTTTGATATGGGAAAGAGAAGAGGAATTATGATTACAGAGGTTTTGGGGAAAAGAAATCTCAGTGAGAGGTAAGATTTTTGGGGAAAGAAGAGGAAAAAATAAGAGACGAAAGATAGAACGTGATGCAGGATGAAGGAGAAGAGTAAAGAAGACTAAGAACGCTAACTTTCCCGTTAGTTGGATTAGGGAATTTTTTTTCTTTTTTAATTAGGAGTAAATGAGTTTTTTATTTTTAGGATGATGTGTCCACTTTTAAGTTCTTTAGATTAAATTTTAATGAGGTGGCATGTGGAGAACAAAAGTAAAGCAGATCATAGCAGAGAAAATCAAAGCAGAGGATCCGAATCCAATAATAATTGGTAAGTAACCAAAATTCTAATGAAATAAGGAACCAAAATCCTAACTAAGTATGGACTTGCCAACACTACCCCTCAAGTTGGGCAAAGATATTTTGCACGCCCAACTTGACAAGCGAGTCACAGAACACCATACTTAAGAAGCACCAATTGTAGAAGGTCTTTTAGTCAACCACGAGTGAAACAGGTGACAAACTAAAGCAAAGTTTGCAGCGGAAACACAAGAGCAAACCCTGAAAAATAGGGCACACAACAGTAGATAAGGCAGAACACAGAAACCCTGTGAGCATGACAGTAAATAGGCAGAACACAGAAACCATGTGAACATGGCAGTAGGTAAGGCAGAACACAAAAGCCCTGTGAGCACGGCAGTAGATAAGGCAAAACATAGAAACCCTGTGAGCACGTCAGTAGATAAGGAAGAACACAAAAACTCTATGAGCATGACAAAGGACACAACCAAACCCTAAAATATGGAAAGGCATGTCAAGGTAAAATCAAACCCTAAAAAAAATAGGATAAGGCAAGATAAGGCAAATAAAGGCCAAGCAAAGGCAAGGTGGCAAGGCATGGTAAAGAAAGCCCAGATAGGGCAACAAAACCCTAAAGACAAGGTAAGGTATGACAAAGGCAAAGGCAACCAAACCCTAAAAAATAGGATAAGGCAAGGTAAGGCAAAGCATGGCATGGCAAAGAAAGTTAAGAGCGAAGGCAAGGTCAATGGTCATGATCGCAGCGGAAAAACACACCAGCAAAGGCACCAACACAGTAGAAGCAACAATAACAATGTCCTCAGCAAGAGACAACAAAACTGACAACAGCAAGAGCAACACAAGGCACTGGCACTAGTAAGAGCAATATAAGGCACTGGCACCAGCAAGACAAGGCAGGGCAAACAACTGTGGCAGCAACAACAATAGAGACAACTTCAATTCACTCCCCCTAAGCAAACAACTGTGGTAGCAGCAACAACAGAGACAACTTCTCTTCACTTCCCCTCTCCCCCTTAAGAGAAGGGGTCAATGAAGCACATATGAGCAGTGGTACTTGAGAAACAGGCACGGACAATCAGCCATGATAGATAGGTAGGTGAATTGCAATAGAATAGATGAGCATCAGTGTCAATCCCCCTCAAATCCGACGATGTATGAGAGTTGAGATTTGGGGAAAGTAACACCCAAATAAATAAAGAGTAAGAAAACACAGATGTTATTGGGCAAGAAGTGAAACACATTATCAAATGGGAAAAAATATCGACAGTGTAGCTCGGTAGGACAGAGAGAGACAAAGGCCAACTAAGAGAAGGCTCGGTGAGCTGTGACGAGGCTCGCGGAGGTTTGAGATGGCTCGGTGAACGGTGACGAGGCTCACGGAGGTTTGAGATGGCTCGGTGAACGGTGACGAGGCTCACGGAGGAAAGATATCAGGCCATCAATGGCCAAGGGCGTGTTGCCCATATGGTATACATTTAAAAGAGAGGCTCAGCTGTGAGCGCAAGAGACTGTAACTAACATAGGCTCAATCTGATTTTAACAGAAAGCAAGCTCATAGAGAGATGAAAAGTAAGAGAAAAAGGCAGCAGCAGGCATAGGTAGAGAAAAAGAAAGGTAATGACTCAACATAAACACGATAAGGATAGAGACAAGGATAAAATTGTAAAAAGGTGCGGCTATGGCTAAGGCAGAAGAAATATATGTTGATTATTAAGGAAAGGAGAAACGGGGATTTACAGCAAGGTGAAGACCCATGATGGGCTAGGAATGAGGAACGCCAACGACTCTCAATTTGTCAGAGGATCTCAAGGATTACCAACGACTCTCAAGGAGACCGCAAACACAGGTCACAAGAAAACCTAGGCTCTTATACCATGTCAAACAAAGTATGGCAAATATTCAGTTATGCTAAGATACGCTCATCTTATTATTCTTCTCCTATATAGGTATTTATACAAGTACAAAGATGTGTTAACCCTAAATAAAATAAGAAATATATCTAAATTACAATATGAAGTAAATCTCTATTACAATAGGACTAAATAATAAGGGAAATTCTATATGAACCCCATAAATTGCTCTTTACACCCCATAATTTTTTACACCCCACTAACTTTTAATAAAATTTCAAATTACTCATTAAACCCCTTTTTTTTCCCTAAATTGCCCTCATGAACCCCATTCCCTAACCACCCACCAAAAACCCCCTTCCCTTTCAGACAAACCCCATCTGAAATCAAACCCCACCCTATCTGATATCCAGCCACACCCCATCGAAAATTCTCTCCTCTTGCAGACACACCCCATCGCACACCCCATCAGATTTACAACAACCTTCATCGCAGAACCATCGAAGAAGCCATCCCTTTGTCATTGCCTCCATTACAGAACCATCGAAGAACCCATCCCTTTGCCATCACAGAACCATCTTTGCTCACCACCGAACCCCATTGCACAACCCAGCAAACCCGAACCCATCTCTGTTGCCATCACACCCATCTCCATCTCTGCAAACCCGAAAGCCATTGAAGGTCAAGTTTTCACAAATCCTTATTCAAGGCTTGATTTCAAATTTGATTTCTATATTTACATTTCTAAGTGTTGATTAAGCCTACGTTTGATTTCACTTTTGAAAAGCCAGAGTCTGATTTTGATTTTGATTTTGATTTCAACGTTGTGGGTAGTTCGAACCTAGTTTTATGAAACTGGATTCTAGTTTCAGTGGATTACCACCAAAATGGTTACATTGCTTCAGTGGTAGTCCACCGAATTTGAACCTGAGTTGTACGAAAATTTATTTTACTTTCGGTGGCCTACCACCGAAATTGTTACCTTTTTTCCGTGGTAGTCCACCGAATCTGTTTCTATTTTTCAGGGGACTCCCACCGAATTTCTTTCGGTGGTAAGTGTGGATATAGAACCATAGCTATAGCAATGGGATTTGGTCATAATGAATGGCGTAGGGTACGCAAGGATTTGTTGCAGCAACTACATGATATGTCTTCTGTTTTTAAGAAGTGTATTCGGGAACATAAACGGTACAACGAGATTGAGCGAGCGCTAAATTATTTTGGTGATGGATTTGCACCATTCTTTTGTTGGATGACCATGCCTGATATGGGGCATATTATTGCCACATGTTATAATGTGGTTTTAATCCTTCTAAGCATGCGTCAATGCCTTACATTTCTTCCTTTCTCAGTTCAATCAAGCGAAACCAAGCTACGTGAGATTGCCATTGGTTTTGTTGACGATGATCACTATGTCCAGGTATGAATTTATTTGTTTATGCATTGGTTAATTTTATATGCTATGCGTATATGAATGAATTCTTGTTTTGTAGGTTCATTTGTCTCCAGATCATCCTATTCCACCAGTTTCTAAAATGTGGCATGAACAAAGTGACACATGCAATGTAACACATTTGTACTCGAGGTACCAAGCGTGTGTGTACGCCACAAACCACCCCCAACTTCCAATCATCCCCATCACCAATATTGACACCTTTTAACAAGAATGGGCATCCACATTTCTTGGTACCAATGTCCCTAGCACATTTTTTCATATCACTATTTGCATCCGACCTTATATCAGTTGTCTCACTAGACTTGCAAGACTTATAGTTACGGTTCCTCTCACAAGCAAGTATTACACGAGGTCTCCTCTTGCCCTCATGATGCAGGGTAGTGGCTATAAGCTGCTGTCCAGCGACCCAAACATACCCAAAATACAGAGAATAGAAGGATAAAGCAGTAGAATCGAAGTTGGAACGAAGATAATTGAGTTCTAGGGCAAAATCCCAACAGAAACTCTATAGACTAACGTCTGAAATTATATTTATCAACAAAACTAAATACAAAAGTCTCTAAATAGCCTATTTATACTAAAATACACCAGCCAAGCATTCCCGTTCCTAGTTTAATAAGAAACCCTAATTGACAAAGGAAATTAAAACCTAAACAGGAAATTAAACCAAATCCTAGTAAGAATAGGAAAACAAGTAATAAAATAACCTATTAATTTAATATAACTAAAACTTAGCCTTATTGGCTGATGCCCACTTAGATTAGGAAGTCTAATAGATGCTCCTGCATCAACTCCACCGGGTTGGGAAGAATTCTTCCTCGAATTTCAATCGTTTGGTGAAAACCGCCTAGACATAACCTCCTCTTAGATAAGTTGTCCATAGAACTTTGGCCTTGATATTGAACCTTCCCACACCAAAGAAATAGATATTTAGAATATTTGATCCTTCTGGAACAGTACCAGATATCTTCTGCAGCCAAACTCTCAGTCCAAAAACTCTTCACGCCAAAAACCCATAGTCTAACAAGGTCAATGACGTTCTTGGTAGTTTGCAAATTAAAAGAATCAACCCCAAGAAAATCAGCATACTCATAAGTATCACCTTTGAAGGAATTCATCTCATCTCCAACAATTCCCCCAAGAATTTCTTGAATCTCCTTTCCTTCAAATGTGGGTTGATTGTGTTACTTCAAAAGTTCAAACCCAGCTTCTTCGTGATTCACTGCCTTCAAGATTACACTAGATTCAGCTTGTTTACTCTCATCAAATACCTTGTCAAAAGCTTTCTCAATTCCCAAACAAACTTCACAATCTTCTTCCAAACAATAGTCAAACACGGGAGGGTTTTCTAAATTTAGGATATTGTCATCTTCTAATTTATTCGAAGCTCCCTCAACATCCTTCTTAGTAACAAGTGGATACACAGACGCCACCTTCTTGCTCTCAATGTCAAACTCATGGCAGAGTCCTTCTTCAAGCGACTGCAAAGTCCACTTTCTCCCATCCTTATAGAATGAATAGGTGTTAGCTTTAGTAGAATGAATCATGTCTTTGTCAAACAACCATGGTCTTCCCAATAAGATATGACATGCATCTGTGGGAACAACATCACACCAAGCTTCATCCTCAATGGTATTACCAATAGTAAATTTAACCAAACACCTTGAAGTGATTGGAACTTCGCTTCCCTTTCGAAACCATGCAGCCTTGTAGGGATTAGGATGCTTCTCAATTGGTAACTTCAATTTTTCTACCGCCTCCTTTGAAATAATGTTTTCACTACTTCCTCCATCAAAAATCACGTTGCACACCTTTTCCTCACAAAGGACTCGTGTTCGGAATATATTATGTCGACGCCAATCCTCTTCCTCAACTTTGGGAGTTGTCATCACTCGTCTTACCAACAAACATTCTCCTTCAACTGGTAAGAGATCAATAACTTCCTCTTCGTTGCCATAAACATCATACGATGGCTCTGGAAAGTTGATCTTATCACCTACCAAATTTATTCTTCTTTGTGGACAAGCGTAAGATTTATGCCCCGCCTCTCCGCAATTGAAACATCGAGCTTGTGAAGTACTTCCAGCCTTGGAATTCTTGACATTAGCGTCGTTTGGAGGATGAAATTGTGTTGTTTCCTTCCCCTTTTCACTCTTATTAGCACTCGAGTTCCTACCACCTATTCGGGTACTTGGATTGGCTTCTTCATCGCTTTGCGAACCCGTGTTTGGGTGGCTGGAAACTGCTCTCTTTCCACCACGACGCGATAGTCTTCGCTCTGCCATTAAAGCATATTGTCTAGCATCTTCAAGGTTGAACAAACGAACCACCCCCATCTCATCTCGAATTGTCTGATTCAAACCAGAAAGATAACGAGATGTCATCTGTTCATTAGTCTCATTCAAACCAACTCGAATTGAGAGATTATTAAACTCTGATGTATATTCTTCAACAGACATGTCTCGTTGCTTTAAGTTATGAAACTGCTCATATAACTCCATGGTATAATCAGCAGGTAAAAACTGCTTTCGTAACTTGGATTTCATACGATCCCATGTGTTGATCTTCTGCTTCCCCTGCCGAGCACGCTGCTCTTCAACTCTCTTCCACCATTGAAGCGCGGTACTCTTCAATTTAAGCTTTACAAACAACACCTTGCGATCTTCTGCCATAGGCTTCCATTCAAAATAATTCTCTAGACTTGCCTCCCAATCCAAATAATCTTCAACATGCATCTTTCCATAGAAATCAACAACTTCAATTTTAATTCCTCCACCATTCAAATCCAACGCACGAACCAACCGCTCTTCCAATCCACCTCGATGACCACCACCATGGTTTCCAGCTTCATGAAAAAGGTTGTCGACGTCCGTTTCGTCTTCATATTCATCCTCACCACCACCTTCCGATATGTGTAAGGGTCCGCAGTTGCGTTCCGGAATCTCCATATAGGCATCCGCGCGTTCCTGTCGTTAGAGGGCTTGCACCGCTCTCGACAAGTCTTCCATCATACGCCGCATCTCAGCCATCTCTGTGTGTTCGGCTTGGTTCCCTCGTCCACGACCTCTAGCACGTCCAACCATGGTGTGGAGCAAGGATTAACCAGGCTCTGATACCAATTTGATGCAGGGCAGCGGCTATAAGCTACTGTCCAGCGACCCAAACATACCCAAAATACAGAGAATAGAAGGATAAAGCAGTAGAATCGAAGTTGGAACGAAGATAATTGAGTTCTAGGGCAAAATCCCAACAAAAACTCTATAGACTAACGTCTGAAATTATATTTATCAACAAAACTAAATACAAAAGTCTCTAAATAGCCTATTTATACTAAAATACACCAGCCAAGCATTCCCGTTCCTAGTTTAATAAGAAACCCTAATTGACAAAGGAAATTAAAACCTAAACAGGAAATTAAACCAAATCCTAGTAAGAATAGGAAAACAAGTAATAAAATAACCTATTAATTTAATATAACTAAAACTTAGCCTTATTGGCTTATGCCCACTTAGATTAGGAAGTCTAATAGATGCTCCTGCATCACCTCACCTCCATAATCAGACCTTTTAATTACAATGACAATATTATTCAATTTTCCTTGTTCACAAGCCCATCGAAGTAATGCATCTCTACCATTGAATATCTACACATAAAACTCATATTATTTAAACATAACATTTGAAACATTAATGCCACGTTAATGATACTAAAAAGAATTTCAGACAAATAATTACCGAATAAGTTGTGAATTGATCACTATAGTCCATTACACATTTTGTTCCCACATTGTTGCCTTCAGTAGGGGCGTCACCTTGTTTTTGTTCCTTCAATGGGAGTAAGATCAAAATAGCTTGGATTAAATTTGTGGTCGGCAATAAGTTACTGAAAAAATAAATAAATTTCGGTTGGATGCCACTGAAACGCAGGTAAAAGTTCGGTAGTAAACCACTGAACTACGTTCCATCTTACGGTGGATCTCCACCGAATATTAAGTTATTGACCAGTCAAAGCCAACCGAAAACGGTACAACGTTTCGGTGGCATCCCACCGAATTTACCTGTCGTGTTCGGTACTGATGTGCTGAACACAACCAACGACCGTTATGAAATACTAAACTTGCAAAACGCCAAAAAATAAACTCGTACCTCATTCGAAGCCTCTCTAACTTCAATCTCACCCTTCATGAATAAATACAAGATATTTTTTCACCAGCATAAACGTATAGATCTAGGGTTTACGGTTTAGGAACATGATAGTTTGACAAAAAAGTCAAACTAGGGTCGCAGGAACATATGTGGGGTGTAGTAAGCAATTTTAATTTAAATTTTAAATTTTTTTTGTCCTTAATGGTAATTATGTACAAGGGTAAAATAGGTTATTCATATTTAAAATTAGTATGGGGTGTAAAGATAGTTTGACAAAAAAGTCAAACTAGGGTCGCAGGAACATATGTGGGGTGTAGTAAGCAATTTTAATTTTAATTTTAAATTTTTTTTGTCCTTAACGGTAATTATGTACAAGGGTAAAACAGGTTATTCATATTTAAAATTAGTATGGGGTGTAAAGAGCAAATAATGGGGTGCCTATAAAATCACCCAAATAATAATTGGTTAGTAACCAAAATTCTAATGAAATAAGGAACCAAAATCCTAACTAAGTATGGACTCGCCAACAAGGACTTGTTGTCTGCAAAGCCCTTTTCAGTGGATTGGTTGATTATATTATTTCTGATCCCGTTGTTGCTATGATTTGGGAGGGTAAGAATGTTATCCTAACTGGTCGAAAGATTATTGGTGCCACACCAACCCAGCAGAATCTGCCCCTGGAACCATCCGTGGTGATTATGCAATTGAGATTGGCAGGTAACCTGATTTAACATGTTTTCCCGTCTCTTTTGCATTTATAACTTTTTTAATTATTATGTTTTAATTTTTTGGTCTGAAAGATGAGTATATAGGTACTGTTGATGGCTATATAGGTAATGTGACCCCAAATTGTTCTCTTGAGAAAATGCTCAGCAGTAACAGCTTATTATGTTAATGGGAAAGCTGTTTCAAATAGATTGTTTGAACCTTTGATTGTTGCTAAAATTGTTGATGGTTCCAATTAGGCAGAAACACAATAGTCCAATCTGTCCAGGAGTTTTATGGTTTGATTGCATCTCCTGTGTTATTCTCATAAATTTCAATTTCTAGTGAATTTCTTCTGAGATAGTATTTTGACTGATTTATTCACTGAGGTTTCTGTTTGCTTCTAGAATACAAACTAATCATAAAAAAACATGCACTGAGAATGTGAATATATTTGATGCGATGAAATTTGGTAAAGTGGTAAACTTCTTTTGTTTTATGCTTGTTATGTTTTACATTCTAACTACTATATATGTAATTGTAGAAGAAGAGGGAAACTATACAAAAGTAAAAAAAGCCTCTGTATATGTCATGAAGATTTTAACTTGAATTACATTTTGCATGCTTGAATAAAGCTGTGTTTGTCTTTTTTTAGCTGTACTGTTCAGTGCTTATCAATAGTTCTAGTGGTCTTTTGTGTCAATTTGTTCCTGCAATATGTATTTTGTCTCTTGAGGATTGCAAATCAGTTAAACATGGGGTGATGTTAACGGTATTATGGTTTACTTTATAGATCCTCTTTAACTGCTAACTGATGTATTTGACTCAACCTTTGATTTCTTGTTGGTTCTGTTTTTAGAGTCATCTGCACATGTCAAGGAAGACAATTTCAATATTGCTAACAAGTCTAAACTGAAAGGGAGTCGTCCAATTCCTGGGGTTGAACATGCTGCTTTTAAAACATCTAAACTGGGCAAACTCGGGAAGGGAGTTCATCAGTCTAATAGTGGGCTGCAAAAAGGAAAACAGAAGTCATTGTCATCTAAGGTAAGGACAGATAACACTTTTCCTACAAATTCCCATAGTTTTGCTTTACTTGTGTTACCCCATATGGTCTGTCTGGCTATGGCAGGAATTGATGACCATGTATGACGTTATTTATTTGCAGATATATAATGAAGCTCAAACTTACTGCTATGTGAGTGACAATGAAAAGATTGAGGTATGGGGTTCTTTAACCCCAACTTTTTCACAGTGTTTTCACTTTACAGATGACTCTGTGGTGGTTTTAAAAAAGTTTGGACGTTTTAAATTATAAGTCTAGAAGGTGGTCCCTTTTTTTCTTTTTCCTTTTTGCTTTTTTTGCTACGAAGAAATAAGGCTTAGCGTACTTACCTTCAGAGGGTAATGGCACATTCTTTTGATCTTTTAAAAAATGTTTTTTGTACAGAGCAGATGGTGAAACATTCTTTATATGTTGCTATTTTGGAAGTTCAGCAGTCTTTAGATCGAAATTATTCAAAAGTTTCATGTCATTTCTTATAGTAGTCACAAATCACAATTGGTTTTCTTTATAATTTTCATGTGCCTACAGTCACTTTTGACTTTTGGTATTTATAATTGGTTTCAGGCCACAGTTGAGGTGGAAGAAGTCCGCAAGTAAAGGTAAATGATCTTCACATTATACGACGCACACAAAGCAAGGGAAATTGGTGAAGAAGACTCTACGGAATGCATCTTCTACTACTGATCGTAAAAGGGAAGAAAACAATTCAGGTTTATCAACTGTACAAGTTCCATCTGCAAACCCGGCCAACTTACCTACAAAAAACAGGGGTAAATGGGAGATGGACATGCAGAAATCATCAATACAGAAGGATACAAAGTCTCCTGAGAGTATTTTAGATGACCAACCTGATAAACTGGTTCCTTCATTTCGTAACAGAGAACTAAATTAAGGTAAACGTGTCATCATTTATATTGCCATCTGAATTGTTTGAATATTTGATTATGTTTTATATATATGTACATCTACATTTACAGGAAAAGCTTTCTAATTTCTTATCTCGGTATCAAGTGCGGAGATGGTGTGCTTTTGAATGGTTTTACAGTGCAATTGATTACCCATGGTTTGCTAAAAGGGAGTTTGTGGAATACTTGGATCATGTTGGATTGGGTCATGTTCCAAGATTAACTCGTGTTGAATGGGGTGTAATAAGGAGGTAGATGTCCCTGATCTGCTTCTTTCACTGGAACTTTTTGTTTGGCCAGTTTTGACTTGCCTTTCAGATTGATAATCTCTGCAAATTTTGTTGTTGGTACTTGTTGATGCAGCTCCCTTGGCAGACCACAGAGATTTTCTGAACAGTTCTTGAAGGAAGAAAAAGAGAAGCTTAATCAGTACCGGGAATCTGTTAGAACGCATTATGCTGAACTTAATGCTGGTACAAGGGACGGACTTCTGACTGACTTAGCTCGGCCTTTATCAATTGGACAGCATGTCATTGCTTTTCATCCCAGGGCAAGAGAGATCCACAATGGAATTGTACTAACCGTCGACCGTAGTAGGTGTTCTGTGCAGTTTGACCAGCTTGAACTAGGGGTTGAATATATCATGGTAATTAGTTTCCTTCACTGAATTTTAAGACATAATTACGTATTTTTGTTAAGGAGAATATTTCATTTTGTTGAAACCTTCATGGGAGGAACTTTCTTTGGTGGCCAATAGAATGCTGGTTTCAAATATCGTTGGATAAGCCTTTAAAGTAGTTACAGAAAGAAAGAAAAAATCTACATATTGTATATATATGCAGGTAGAATATCTGTCAGTTGGCCTAGATTTGAATTATAAATCTGTTCGAGTTCACCCTCTTCATTAAGATGGACTTTTCTGGTACTAGTCCAATTTAGTTGATTACAATTTTTAGAAAGTTCAACTCATTTGAATGTAACTTCTTAGGAAATCAGTTATTGTTATTGTGCGTATGCAATATGGTCGTTATTATTTTGAAATATATTCTGTGTTTGCTTTTCCATTACTTCTTAAGACTTTGTCTCTATTCCTTTCGTTCTGCAAAGAGACTATTTTTACTTGTTTGTATATTGACACAGGTGTGATGGAGATATCATTGTTCAAAGCACTTGTTAATGACATAGAGCTAGACGAAAGGACACGTACACCCAAATGGAATTGGATGAGGTGCGAGAAGAATTGGCAACTCATGTCCTATAATGGCCTTTTGATTGAACTAAACATTCCTCCTTCATTTTTCATGTCTTTCTAGCTAGTATTTTGCGTAAATGTAGACAAGTATGGATAATTTGTGGTGTCAGGTTGGAAAAATTGTGATTTGGATGTGATAAGTATGGATCTTTCAAGTATTTTGCTTATATATAGAGACAAGTATGGATATATTTAAATTACTATTTATTTATGTTTTTTATGAGCAATGGCAACACAACGTGATTTGGAAATGATGCCTTTTTTTATTATTCTAGGATAGTAACCAAGTAAAGTGTGAAGTGGAACATGCAAAATGCCTACACTTTCCTTACATAAGTGATGCCTATTGTTTATAACAACTTCAATTTTGCAAAAATAACTGAAGTTAAAATATTAAAACAACCACCATACATCTATGATCACTGATGCCTAAAATTAGAAGTAGCATCAGCATTTACATAACAACCAGGGCAATTGGAGGCTTTTCATGTCCGCAAAATAGAAAAAGCGATGACGTATAACATAATTCACAACAGCACTATTTGTTTCTACGATGTTGTAATTGATAATATGCATCAGTATAGGTGATATCACTGATGCTGTAATATCTCTTTAGCCTCCTCCATTTTAAAGCCATTGATGTTGTTTTAGGTTTAGACATCAGAAGTCAACGTTTTTTTTGGCACATGGAAATCATTTACGCATTGACTACCACGGTATTTATAGGTAATAGGCAACGAATTTTATCCGTTGCTAAAGGTCTTTTTTGGCATAGTGTTTTGCAGTCTTTTCATTTCTGATGCTAGGGAAGAGCTCATCAGTTAATGCTCCTTGAATAAGACTCAGTGCCTTGGCATTTTTGATTTTGTCTTCTCTGGAGATGGTGGGTGCTTCCACTGGAACTTGCTCAGCCTCACTTCCTTCACCTCCAGAGCCTTCTTCCTCCTCGAGAATCGGCTGAGGTTGTACTCCGACCTCTACTACATCCCATAGATCATGTGCTATGAGGATAGTCTCCATTTTGACAGCCCAAAAATCGTAGTTTGCACCATCAAATTGTGGAGTTCGTAAATCTCCACCTGAAGAACCTGATCCCACCATTTTCTAAGTGAGTATCAGTGAACCAACCAATAAATAGAACCACCTTTATCCCTTTTGGGGATTTTTTCAGGAAAGCCCTCTCTCACAGCTTATGCCCCTCTCTAGAATCAGACCCAGAGCTCTGATACCATGTTGAATCGGTATCAAACTTTGTATTTTAGGTTGAAAAACAAAAGGCTAAAACCTTTAGGAGAAATATACACAGAGAAAGAAGTATAGAAAACAGAGGATTTTGAATGTTCAGTATATTTCACTATTGAAAACACAGAGGAATTACATGACTATATTCCTTTTCTCAGTCAAAATTCAGATCCTATTTTTTAGATAGCAAGGACTCATCTCCAGCCATACAGACCATAGGAGACTACGATCTTTCCACTTGGAGAAAGATCGGATGACACAATACAATCTAAATGGGATAAGAATAATAGCTGTGTAGGTTTCTAAAAATAGAAATAAAACTAGCTATTACACATTTAGGCCCAGTTTGGGATTGCAGTCACTTTTGAAAAAAGTTGCTTCTGCTGTGCTTTGAAAATAATTACTATCATGTTCAGTATATTACTATCATGAGTAGGAGCTACATCTTCAATCTCAATAGTATCCTCAAAGTGATCTTGGGGAGCCGCTCTTTGTCTCCTCGTTGAGGCCATGGGACGCTGTCTATTAGGTCGAGATGATGAAGGCTCAGTAGTACCTCTGCGAGTCCTCTTCATATCTAAAAACAAACAATATTAAATACACACTCAATAACGTATTCGGTAGATGATCACTGAAAAACATAAACAAATTCGGTGGACTATCACTGAAAAAAGAACACATATTCGGTGGAGTACCACTGAAAAACCGAAATACATTCGGTGGGAATCTCCTGGAAAAATATAAACAAATTTGGTGGACTAACACCGAAACAAGGTAACGATTTCGGTGGTAACCCCCACCGAAAGTAAAATTGATTTTAGTATAGATCAGGTTCAAATTTGGTGGACTACCACTAAAGCAATGTAACCATTTCGGTGGTAATCCACCGAAACTAAAATCCAGTTTCGTAAAACCAGGTTCGAACCATACACCCACAATGTTGAAATCAAAAATTAAAATCAGACTTTGGCTTTTCAAAAGTGAAATCAAACGTAGGCTTAATCAACACTTAGAAACGTAAATATAAAAATCAAAAGTGAAATCAAACCTTGGCTCTTCGAAGGATTTGTGAAAACTTGACAGATTGGTGATGGAGGCTTGAGATGGCTGAGGAGATGGTGGTTTGCAACGGGGTGAGGCGTTTGGGGTTGGTTGTGGGGTGTGATGGCTCTGTTTCAGAGATGGGTTCGGGTTTGCAGAGATGGGTTGTGCGATGGCTCTGTTTCAAAGGGGATGGGGTGTGCGATGGAGCTTGTTGTAAATCTGATGGGGTGTGCGATGGGGTATGTCTGCAAGAGTAGGGAATTTTCGATGGGGTGGGGCTTGATATCAAATTGTCTGAAAGGGAAGGGGGTTTTCGATGGGTGGTGTATGATATGGGATGGGGTTTACACAGTGAGTTAGGGAATGAGATTCATGAGGGCAATTTAGGAAGGAAAAAAAAGGGTATAATGAGTAATTTGAAATTTTATTAAAATTTAGTGGGGTGTAAAAAATTATGGGGTTTAAATAGCAAATAATGGGGTTCATATAGAATTTCCCTAACTGTTATTCACAATTAATCAAAGTAGGTGGTGTTGGTTTCTCCCAAAGTGGGATTTCATACAATAAATCTCTCAACCGATTTCCATTTCACTAGCTGGAGTCAAATCAATGAGTTCAGCCTCCATACTTGACTTAGCAATAACTGTTTATTTCTTTGACTTCCAACAACAGCACAATCACCTAATGTAAGAATCTCTTCTGATGTTTTTCTCTTTGACTGCTTCAACAAGAAACAGCGTTAGAATGCTTGAAATTGAAGAGCAGGAGGGTCAGCAGCGCCCTTTAATTGATATATAGGCTATCCAAATGAAATTGACCCACCATCTCTCTCTCTCTCTCTCTCTCCCCATGGCTACAGGAAGAGTAGCTTCTCCAACACAATTCTTCATAGTCCTTCTCCTAGTTCCTGGCTTATGCTGTGTAGGTTGCAATGCCAGGGATGATCATCATAAACATTGTGAACCTTCGGTGTGTGGCGAAATACGTAACATAAGCTACCCTTTCCGACTAAAACATGATCCAGAGAAGTGCGGTGACTCAAGGTATGAGTTGTCTTGTGAGAACAATCTAACAGTATTATACTTGTATGCTGGAAAATATTATGTACAGGCAATCAATTATAGTAACTACACAATCCGAGTTGTGGATGCCAATCTTCATAAGGATAACTGCTCTTCAATTCCCCATTATTCCTTGTCCATGTATAACTTCAGTGATGGGGATCCGTATCTGGTTTCTCAATTGAGAGGTACATGGAGGGACCTTTTTCATGACAATTTTGAACTGTCAAAGCCTATAATATTTTTGACCTGTGAAACCCTGGTGAATTCAACTCTCTATGTGGATACTGCTACTTGCATTGGTTCTATGAGTAGTTCCAATTCCAATAGGCATTCATATGTTAGTGTTGGACGAATAAAAGCTTCAGATTTTAGGGAGTTTTGTCGCATAGAGCTTATGTTTATGACATCATCACTGCGTACAAACGACATGAACATTTCCTACATAGACATCCACAATGAGATGATCTATGGCTTTGAACTTACATGGGTGCAGAAGAGCTACAGCATTAGGGACCTAAGCCAGTTTACTTGCTACATCGACAGTGATACCAACAAAGTTAATTGCTTTTCTGATTGCTACTGGGGAAACTCGAAATCCAATTGTGGTAAGTATATCAAAGATCTCTTCATTTGTTTTCTGGTACCATAACTGTAGGCATATTCTGTTTTGAACATGTCAAGATTCTAAAGTTCAAAGTTGATGAAAACTGTGACTTTGGTGATGCAGGCATCATGAAATATCTAATAGGTGAGGACTCTCAATCTTGTATTGCTTTCAATTTCTTCAGTGGTCCTTTCAAAAACGATTCAATCAACTCCCTGTCTAAGCTGTATTTGCTATTATAACTATTAGTTTTCTGTTCTGTTTCTTGCAGTTTTGTCTTCGATCCTTATTTACATTGGTGAGTTTCATCTCAATTTCTTTTGTTCTTTCTTTTGCATACCTAGAAGCATGATTATCCACAGCAAAAAGAATGATTATACTGTTTCATGTGAGAGAATAAAACTTACTCTTTCCAGGAAAGAAAATTCACTTCTGTGAAACAGTTGGTCTCTAGTAGCATCTATAGAGCCCAATTTCAATTCCATACATTGTGGTTGTAGCACCAAAAAGTATTTCCATGATTCATTCAGACACTTCCTTTACAGCATCCGCACTTGGAATAAGAGCTATACTTGGGGCTCTGTGTCTCATTGTGCTTTTAATCTACAAATTCAAGAGGAGGCACTTATCAATGTATGGACTCATTGAAGAATTCTTACAAAGTCACAACAACCTCATGCCAATAAGGTACTCCTACTCGGATATCAGGAAAATGACCAAAGGTTTTAAGGAAAAATTGGGTGAAGGAGGTTATGGTTCTGTATACAAAGGGAAGCTCCGAAGCGGTCACCTTGTAGCAATTAAGATGCTGGGTAAGTCCAACACAAATGGGCAAGATTTTATCAATGAAGTTGCTACCATTGGAAGGATTCATCATGTACATGTGGTGCAACTAATTGGCTATTGTGTTGAGGGATCAAAGCGGGCTCTTGTGTACAAGTTCATGACAAATGGATCTCTTGATAAACACATCTTTCATAAAGAAGGACCCTCATCCTTAAATTACAAGAAATCATTTGAAATTTCACTTGGAGTTGCTCGCGGTATTGACTATCTTCATCAAGGATGTGAGATGCAAATTTTTCATTTTGACATCAAGCCTCACAACATTCTTCTTAACGAGGATTTTGTTCCAAAGATTTCTGACTTTGGGCTTGCAAGATTATGTCCATTAGATGAGAGCAGTTTAACTTTGACAGCAGCAAGAGGAACCATTGGATACATAGCCCCAGAATTGTTTTACAAAAATATAGGGGGTGTGTCAAGCAAAGCTGACATCTATAGTTTCGGAATGTTGTTGATGGAAATAGCAGGCAAAAGAAAGAATCTGAATGCAGTTGCAGCTCATTCAAGTCAAATATACTTTCCTTCATGGGTTTATGACCAATTCAATGAAGGAAAGGACATAGACATGGAAGATGCCACTGAGGAGGAAATGAAAATAACAAAGAAGATGCTTATAGTGGCTTTGTGGTGTATACAAATGAAGCCTAGCGAGCGTCCTAATTCGATGGGCAAAGTAGTTGAGATGCTTGAAGGAGAAATCGAATCCCTTCAAATGTCTCCAAAGCCTTTCCTCTATCCACAAGACAAACCAGTGGTGAATGATGAAGAGAATTCAGAGACAACATCGTCATCAACACAATCGAACAATGATGCTACAGAGTCAAAAAGCTTAATTCAAACTGCTGACGAAATAATGTAGCCCAAGTTATGTACAAGGGAAGGCATGCTGTCTAACATTTCAACCGTGTAAGGGCAATAATGGCTGTTTCCTTTTTGTGAGGACGAATATCCTTCTTGTAATATCTTTCTTTCATGATTTGTTTAGTTGTCAACAGTTTTTGGTTCTTCCTCCTATAAATTGAAGTGTAATCTGCGGTATGGTGTGCTACTGTTCTGTATGCCGTTTGTTTTTTACGAAGTTTTGGCTGTAGAGAAGATATTAGTTTCTGATTATTTTTTACACTACCAGTTTTTTTTTCCTTTCAAGTATAAAACCAAACAAAAATGGTTTTAATGAACTTTGCAGTTGGTTTGTGTCCCATTTGAGAAGGAACCTGTTAGAAACTTCATATGAATTTACCAAGCAATGCTTTGAGGCTGCAGAAGTTTTGCGCAAGGAAGAATTCCCACTCAATCAGCCACCATTGCAGCCGTTGTCCCATCACCATCCACTTTCATTGAAATTAAGCAAATCATTAGCAACTCACATGCAAACCCATTGTAGGACTCTTTTGGGAGCTAGAGCAAGGGAGCAAAGAGATAGAAATCCAATTTACTGGTCAGAAGATTAATTGAAGACCTAACAGAACTATTACCTTCCACAAGATAACGAGCAACACAGCTACTTGTCCTAGAATCTATAACAAAGCATAATAAATTAAAAAGGCCAACCACTCATAGGGCAATCCACCGCTATCCAAGGGTGCCATATTCTTCATACACTTCTAAGAGTCAAACTGCAGAGGCTATCGTCTCTGCCATTGTTAGGAAAAGCTACCTTCTGGAAATGGATGTTAGCAAATGCTATGATACTAACATTTCACAGGAAACGAAATTCCAACTTCATTGGGACAAGTGCATAGGCCAGGCCATGTCATCTCCAATTGGGTCACTATTCCGGCTTTTGTATACTTTTATTTAGTTTTCCTTCAACAGCTTCCAATTGATCTTGATCCCACTAACCTACTTTGGGATGATAAGCCATCAAGAGGAATTTAGCCCTCTTCGTCATAGTCTTCCTCATCCTCGTCTATCCTTCCACTCAAATGTGCAAGTTGAAGAGGGTCAATGGCCATTTTATCCACATCAGAGAGAGACCACCCAGGATATTCTTCATGTTTAATCTCAGAAGTAGGTCCAGCTGACGAGGTCGGGGCTGCTGTTGCTGCAGCTTGGGATGCTGTTGCTGCAGCTTGGGCAGCTGTCGATGAAGCTTGGGCAGCTGTCGCTGCTTGGGCGGCTGTCACTGCGGCTGTCACTGCAGCTTTTGTGTCCTCATTCTCAATTACATCGGCATTCAGATCAAAATTTCGAACTGCAGGATCAGCCTCATCAGGGATAACAGCATTTTCCTTCATTTCCTCCTTTGACTCAGAAGCGTCATCCACCACCATTCCGGGGTTTGGATTAGGTTTGGTGGTGTGCTGAAGAGATGTGCAGGGTTCAGATTCAGTCTCATGGTGTAGGGTCTCTCTTTCACTGGCCCGCCCACGTCCACGGCCTCGTCCTCGACCCCGACCTCTTCCTCTGCCGCTACTGCTGCCATGGTTAACCTCAAGCTGCGGAGAAGTAAAAAAAGATTTTGACATCAGTGGAACTCTTTGCATTTTGCATTTAGTTATCAGCTAATTCAGCCCAAGTACAAACAAAACAAACCGAGAGTCCATATGCAAACTTGTTTACATATATTCAAAAAATATTTCAGACCAACACCTCAGCATCCTAAAAAGCCAAAAGAAATGTCACTCCGGTTGAGGGTCTTTCAGCAATGAAGTAGAACGAAGAACACAAAAAATCACAGAGATCTCAATAACTGAGAGTAGACATAACGAGCATGGCAGTTGTTTTTATGTTAAGAACAAAAGATAACGGTTTATTGTAGGGTGCCATTAGAGTTACCATCTGCTCCTCTTCAACTCTTCATCACTGTCAATGCATTCATCACCTGGTGGTTTCCTGACAGAATAAATACATCAGTGAATAGATTCAAATAACTGTACAACGTGGATTTATGATAATACGAAATAACAAGAATAGACCATCTAATATACCTTCGTTTTGAAATGGCTCGATCCTCGCCAGCTGCATCAGAATGACCATGACCATAGTCAGGAACCCTGCTGACGATGTCCCTCAGAAAATCAAACACATTATAGCTCTGTACACAATGCTTTCTGCAATCAAGGTAGAGAAATTAGATTTAATAAATTTAATACAAATGAGAAAGATATGTCCTCGTCTGTAGACAGTCGATATTCCAGAAAGATGTGTTCTCACAAAAGTGAAAAAGAAGAATGATAACAATGAACCAAGATATTAAGTTTTCTCTGTATAAAGACGTAATTTAGCACACAGTTGATGTTCTAGAAGTTCACACACATAGCACAAGGCAACTAATAAGTAGGAGCTTCAACATGGCCAGTCCATATCCTTTCATATTTTTTCTTCTCCTTCAAGACCAAAAAGGCTCCGTATGAAATACAACTTCAAAACATTACTTGGTCAATCCACTTTTGCTTACTCATCCAGGCATACTACTTTTGTATTACTATTCACAAATTGGACCAATTAGATTTGACTCATGTAACAGGGACCCCATGATATTTTATATTCGACTTCGGGACAAACAATTTTTTTGAAAAAAGTAATGCAGTAACCAACAGATTTGAATGAATATGTTAACTAGAAAGTCTAGTATACTTCCTGTGCTTCAGTCTGTCAAAGAATAATTACTTATCCCAAATAAATTACTTGTATGTGGAAGTTACATTTAAGTCTTGATTCATCTGATAGTATAAGCTTAACATAAATTTGGATGATTAACACAACAAACTAGAGAAAACAGCTCAGCTGGTCAGCATAGACTTATGGCATGTTACTGTCCAACATAATAGGTCCTGGATGCTAATGGGTAGCATGCTAGCTTAGTGGTTAGAGGTTCAAGCCACAGTCATTGGAAGGATATTTGAAAAGGATACAATTCATTCTCTCATAATTTTCATTTAGTTGTGGGGAACAATAAGTGCGTATAATCTATTGCTGATTGATGAACTTTCTTCTTTATTATATTTCATTTTTAAAATACCATAAAAGATGTAACTGACTCTTCCAGAATTACAGAACTTTCTTGTGTAAATCCTGTTCTAATTGGTTGATTGATGAACCATCCAAAATGATTTGGAAAGATAAACTGCCTTGCATTTGCTTAAATAATTGTTTAAGGATTAATACTTGTTCTAATATTCAACACAGGAGACTTAATGTTTGCACATCGCCTTCTTGGCAATTATGAGCAAGGAAACAGCTAAGAATATTGAACATCTATTCCTCTATCATCCAGTTGCACTGATGACATAAGCAAACACAAGGTTAGTTAAGCTGGGTCAATCCCGCTTCTTGTGTTTCTCTACTACTTGAGAATTTTTATGCTTAGAAATAAGTTTTGCAACCTATATTTAGGATATTTCTAGTGAGATAGGGAATGCACTTTTAAACTTCATTTTGGGTATTCTAAAAAATTTTAAAATAAGACCATTTCCCTTTATTTATGCAAATTGGGAAGCAGTTGTTTCTCTATACTTTTGTGCTTTTGCACATGTATATGTTGTTTAGCTCTAAGCCCATTATCTGGCCAATATACTTAACTACTGTACATTTCATAGACTACTCATTCACCATTGTTGCACTTGCTTAAACACAAAGTTGTTCTGTTATTTATCCCCTAAAATAAATAAATGAATGAATGCACAAAATTCAATCTTTCACTTACAGATGCACTGCATTCATGGTTTTAGCTCCTCTTTGGAGGGTTATCTCATAGGTACGATCACAAAGGTCTTGCAAAAATAACTCCAATGCTTTAGCTGCATAATATGCAACAACAGAAGTATAAGCAACAAAAATAAAATAAAAGAACCTACCATACTACTATCTTACTAGCGTAAGAAAGTCAGAAGTACTCACAAACTAAAACAGGCACCGCTAATGCTATCTTCCCAACATCCTCATCAGCTTGCATAATCTTTTTAATACGAGCCTGCCAAATTAAAATTTTGTATCAGAATAGGCTATACTAAACGTCTCAGTGGTTAGAAGGGATGAGATACATGTAAAACTTTAAAACTCAGCTACAGTTAAACAACTAAACATCATTTCTTCTAATCAGAAGCACAAAGCAAATATATCTTTGCTTAGTGCTTGTCTGGCACAAGGGAGTAACATACTTAAGGACAAGACAAGGAATTCTCTAGAAATCAGTGCATTCATACACAGCCTCTCTTGGGGTAAAGGACAAGTGCTATCAAAGAAATCCACTTGGAATCGAAATAGGAAACTCCCACACTTGATGCAAATATGATAACCATAAGAAACCCTGGGGAAAAAAAAGAATATTTTCTACACGACAAACTAAAGAAATATGATATAACCATACGCAGAAAGATTTTGTTTTTGAAGATACAAAGTAATTTTGTGATCATAAGGATTATCTATAGGGGAGAGAGGCAGCGTTTGACAACAAAAGAAAATCGTATCCAAACGAGAGAAACTATAAAATACCGAAACAACACACAACAGCACTCCATAAACTACCAAATTGTACGTCGCGCATTGTAAATTTCAATCACGAATTATCAATGCATAACTCAAATTTTCAAGAAAAAAGTGTTTCTTGAATTCCTTCTTTCCTATTTTTCTTTTTGAAAGTTTCAAAAAATAAGGTCCACAACTCTCACACACCTAGGTCAACACCTCACAGAGCTATTCTCTGAAATCCAGTGTAGCATATGGATCACTAAGTAGCTGAGGAAGCGCAAACTCAACTTTTTTTCCTTTTCTTTCAACACATGAGATAAAACTCTCAAATGATTTTACAATCTTAAAAAATAATCCAAGTACTCATGTGAAAATAATATTTAAGATAACCAGATCAGATTTTACCCTAGGGGCTTTACAAGTCATTCACTTATCACTCATCTTGACCAAAATACAAAACCACAACACCATATGAGCAAAGAAGCATGTGTATCCCCATAAAATTCCCATCATTTAAGTACCAATTTATTTACTTTAACACGAGGCAAAATCATCGATAAAGAATAAAATCCCTAAACCAAACCAAATCACCCAAAACAAAACAAAAATCCCAATTCTACCTAAAATCACAATCACAGCAAATAAAAAGAAAATACAGTCTAAAGAAATCCAACCCAGATCAAATATCTCAGAAATCCCCAAAAGATTGAAACTTTAACCTAATAATTCTAATCAACGAAACATGCTTTATTCCTCTAGCTAAGAAAACGCACGATAAGCAAAAAGAAACAGCTAAAAAGGTTTCTCCTTTTCCCCATTTTCCTAGCAACCAAACAAATTAAAACTCAATCGAAAGAAAACCCCTAAAAAAAAGAGCGAAAAGAGTGAGACAAAGAAGGGACTTACAGCAGGAAAACGGGTATCGAGCTTCTTCCTCATGGCGTCAGATTTGAAACATTAATTAAATCGAAAGGCAAAGACAACAAAGAAACCCGAAAGAGAATCGAATTTTCAGAGCCACAGAATGATTGCTTTCATCATTGTCGTATAAAATCAACCAGACCCATCTCAGATCCGAAACGTTTCTTCTTCTTTTTTTCTTACTTCGAAAAAAAAAACGAAAATTAAGAAAGATATATAATAATAAAATAATTAGCAAACGAATAAAACTGGTTTTTGGGTTCCAACAGAATATCCGTCCGTACGAGTTCGATGAAATAAAAACAAAAGCAAAAGAAGATATGATATATGAAGATCTGATGGACCGACTGTGAAATTGGGTTTTTAGGTAGAAGACCAGCTAATCAAGCCAAGACATTGCAGCACCGCTTCACAAAATTTAATTCAAAGTCCTCAGTTTTTTCACATGTCACGTTTTCATTGGCCCGTTTATTCAAAGTGCGAGACATTACACTTGCCATACCGAAATCCCAATCTTAACCGTTGGATGGTTGGGATGGTGCCACATATGTCACATATCCTTGCGCAAGCCTCTTCTCTTTTGGAAATTAGCTTTTCAAGTTTTCATGGATGGAGGATTGTGGAGGGTTTTACTGTGCATCATGTCTAAGGCAAATGCCACTCATTTCATAATTTTAACTAAAAATATCACCCCTTTCTAATTTTTTTACAACTACCACCTATAAATATAAAATTATTGTCGACTTATTGTACCCATATCAGTTTTTCAGAAATTAGCTTCTCTCTCTAACTCTCTTCGCTCTATCTCTTCGGCCCGTCTCTCTCCCTCATGTACCTCTCTCTCTTCGACGCAATCGTCTTTCTCCCTCAACGGTGGTTGTTCATCCAAGCGTAACTTCATCGTTGACATCCACGAGGTACTGTTCATAAACCTTTTCTTTGAAATTTGGGGTTTTTGTGAATTTGGTTTATGGTGTATGGATTTGTAAGAAATTGGTTTAGGGTTTTAGTGTTTAGGGGTTGCTCAGAAATTGGGTTTGGGTTTATGGGTCTTTGTTGCAGAGGTAGATTTGTTTTGTGCCCAGAAGATTGTGACTTTGTTGAAAGTTCATAAATGGAAAAGGCAGCTGCCCCTGCGGCTTGGAACCCTCAATTCGGAGGTATTATGCCCTGAATTTTTACAAAAGAAGAATTGGAATTACCCTATAGAAGGCAAAACAAAATATATAAGAGGAAAAAAGGAGAAAAGTTATCTAATTTCCCTTTTTTTAGTTGTTGTTTTTTTTCGCTCTCTTTTTTTTTTTTTTTTTTTTTTTTTTTTTTTTTTTTTGGGGGGTGGGGTTCAGGGTCGGATCTAGTTGGTTTACATTGATGTAGTTCCAATATGTAAAGATGGAGTTTATATATATATATGTGTGTGTGTGTGTGTGTGTGTACATGACATAGAGTCAATTTCAGACCTTGTCAATGGTATTAGCCTGTTAAGCACGTGGGAGATTCATTTTGTTTTCTTTCATTTTCTATAAATGATTCTGATTATTTACAACGTTAGACAGACTTCCCTACATCATTTTTGTTGTTGGTGTGGAGGGGGGGGACCCTATTTCGTTACAGGGTTTATTGATTGCATGCTTCCTTGTCCTGGAAGACCTCCTCAGTTCCGTTGAGCCGACAAACCTTATGAGGTTGAATGTGAAGTGTTACCTTGCATCTGCATGTTTCATCTTTTAACTTTCTTTTCATGTTTCACGCTGATGCTTGTAGTTATTTCTAGTTTTGCATACAGATTAGCAAATAGGTTATGCATTTATTGTTTAGTCATCTAATGATTTGATATCTAATATTTAGGCATGTGGGAATTTATAGATGTACCAATTATGCATGCATATAGGTTTTGCGCTTGTATTAGGAAGTTAGATTCTTGTGGTTCCTCTTCAATGGCATGAATTTAAATTGTTGTGCTTCATGATTAGGGTCTGAAGAACAACCATGTAGTAAGAAAGTTGGAGAAGCGTCAACAGATTTGCACCCTTGACCAACATATTGAAGAGCAATTTGGTGGTGGTTGTTTGTTGGCTTGTATCTTTGAGAAATCTTAAGAAAGTTGTACGCTTCACTAAGTCAACTAACAGATTCCCAATGCAAGAAATGAAATATACCTATATCACATAAATTGCAAAGAAAACCACAGAGACTAAATGTCAACAATGGATACAAAAATGAGTAGAATTCAGTGGAAATGAACACGTCGTTTCAAACAAGTAAACTGTTATACGTCCATAAAGAGCAACTATGTTTATATATGAAGGTGTACAAATTAGTTCAACTTCAAAATGGAAATAGTTTATGTGCCATGTAAGGCAATGAACATATAACAAGGTGAGTCTTCAACAAATTAAAAGTGGACAATTATTTTCAAACAATCTGATAGCTGCCCGAGAGAACTGAGGCAGTTAAGGCATGAGATGCAAACATGATAAACACCATTAAGCACTCGGACAAACCCATGCTATAATACAAGCCAACAAACAACCACCACCAAATTGCTCTTCAATATGTTGGTCAAGGGTGCAAATCTGTTGACGCTTCTCCAACTTTCTTACTACATGGTTGTTCTTCATACCCTAATCATGAAGCACAACAATTTAAATTCATGCCATTGAAGAGGAACCACAAGAATCTAACTTCCTAATACAAGCGCAAAACCTATATGTATGCATAATCGGTACATCTATAAATTCCCACATGCCTAAATATTAGATATCAAATCATTAGATGACTAAACAATAAATGCATAACCTATTTGCTAATCTGTATGCAAAACTAGAAATAACTACAAGCATCAGCGTGAAACATGAAAAGAAAGTTAAAAGATGAAACATGCAGATGCAAGGTAACACTTCACATTCAACCTCATAAGGTTTGTCGGCTCAACGGAACTGAGGAGGTCTTCCAGGACAAGGAAGCATGCAATCAATAAACCTTGTAACGAAATAGGGTCCCCCTCCTCCACACCAACAACAAAAATGATGTAGGGAAGTCTGTCCAACGTTGTAAATAATCAGAATCATTTATAGAAAATGAAAGAAAACAAAATGAATCTCCCACATGCCTAACAGGCTGATACCATTGACAAGGTCTGAAATTGACTCTATATCATGTACATATATATATATATATATATATATATATATAAACTCCATCTTTACATATTGGAACTACATCAATGTAAACCAACTAGATCGACCCTGCATCCTGAACCCCAAAAAAAAAAATTGACCGAGAAAAAAAAAACTACAACTAAAAAAAGGGAAATTAGATAACTTTTCTCCTTTTTTCCTCTTATATATTTTTGTTTTGCCTTCTATAGGGTAATTCCAATTCTTCTTTTGTAAAAATTCAGGGCATAATACCTCCGAATTGAGGGTTCCAAGCCGCAGGGGCAGCTGCCTTTTCCATTTACGAATTTTCATCAAAGTCACAATCTTCTGGGCACAAAAAAATCTACCTCTGCAACAAAGACCCATAAACCCAAACCCAATTTCTGAGCAACCCGTAAACACTAAAACCCTAAACCAATTTCTTACAAATCCATACACCATAAACCAAATTCACAAAAATCCCAAATTTCAAAGAAAAGGTTTATGAACAGTACCTCGTGGACGTCAACGATAGAGTTACGCTTGGATGAACAGCCACCGTTGAGGGAGAAAGACGATTGCGTCGAAGAGAGAGAGGTACAAGAGGGAGAGAGACAGGCCGAAGAGATATAGCGAAGAGAGTTAGAGAGAGAAGCCAATTTCTGAAAAACTGATAAGGGTACAATAAGTGGACAATAATTTTATATTTATAGGTGGTAGTTGTAAAAAAATTAGAAAGGGGTGGTATTTTTAGTTAAAATTATGAAATGTGTGGCATTTTAGGCTATTTCCCTCAAAACTAAGAACATCTCATTAAAGAACAAACTTAGGGATAATTCAATTAGTTAATTAATTTTTTTAAAGTAAATTGTGTCTAAAGGTGTCAAACGGGTCGTGTCTAGAGTCGGCCACTTAATGAAGGGGTTGGGTTGGGCTTGCCCATCTATAAACATTAATAAGTCTCGTGGCCTTAGCTCATATAGGACTGGGCTCATGTGGACCACTAAATGGGCCAATATGGCCCACGCCAAGCTCAACTTATGTATTGCCTTTTTTGAATTTTTATTTCTGATAATTTCATTTCAATCTTTTTCAAACCCAAACAAGCCCTTGTTTTCAGACTGATAAAGCTCTATCTTAACCCAAGACCCTTATTTTGGGTCTAGATCACGAGAAACTCAAATATGTAAAAGCGGGAAAATAAATTGTTATGCGAGAATATAAGAAGCAGATAAATGAAAAGTATTTAGCAACTAAAGTAAATTTCAGAAAGAAAAAAATTCCAGATGTTGGAGATTTCTCAATCCAACTCTAGTATGATAACAAGTTGAAACGAAAGCCAAAGATTTCTCCATTTAGCTGCTTTTAAAGATAAATTACAATATATAAGAAATTGGAGATTTCTCTATCCAATTCACACATAAATATGCTTATAAAAACTCAAACTAGTTGTTTCAACAAGAATCATACCATGAAGATGGCATAGCAATAAAAGATAAACGCAAAAGTTGTCAACTGGTTATCTGAACAATAAATTGGTTATTTGAAAAAATCTTGAAGTTTGTTCAAGTGTTTCCAAGATGTTGCGTCTGATTTTGGAGAGAGAGTCCCCTTCTGCTGCTGTAAAGCCTCTATATTTATAGGCAAGAATCCCTAATAATGAAATGTGGAGGAGGATATTTGGATGTTGTCCAAAGTCAGCTATTGATATGCCCTTGTGAGCCGATCCGTAGGTAGGAGGAAAGGATATCTTGGATAAAACTACTGGTCTCAAGGGATGCTCATTTGATTTGTGTCCTTTCGCATTATGCTCATTTGATTTGTGTCCTTTCGCATTTGGAAATCCAGTAGGGAAACGGTTCTTTTTGGTTCTCGTGTCCATTATCCAGCCTATTTTCTTGCTGAGAGAGACAGCGTCAAGTCATTATTAATGGCAATAATCCATTTCTCGACCTTCACGTGGGTCAATGGGTAACGGTTACCTATTTTCTTAACTTTAGTATGGACCAAAGCTAGGAGCTTTTCGTAATATGGGCTTTTAAGAAGGTTTTGCACATTGCTGGCCCAACTCCAAAAAAGCCCTTTTTGTTGTTTTTAAAAGAAAGAGGTTGGGCTAGGGTCTAACATAATCTTATTTAAGAAATAAAACCATATTTGGCCCATTTTTCAAATATGGTACAGACACTAATAAGATACATCATTTGTTGCAAAAGAAACCAGTGAACTAGAAAAAACTAGATTATTTGAGTTTAAAAAATTGAAAACCAAAATTATTATTTAATTTATAAAGAAAACATGTAATTTTAAAGTGTATTATTAAAGAAAAGAAATATAATTAAATTTAAAATATAATATAATAATGTTATCTAAACCAAATATAATTGAATAAATGGGCTTTAAACAAGTTAGCTCAGTTTGTTAGGCCTTTTTAATCAGGTCAGACTCATGTCATACTGGGTGTTTTTTAATCAAGCCAGAGTAGTGTTGTGCCACAGCTTTTTTAAATCAGGCAATACTTATGTCATGCTCGGGTTAGTCCAGTCTATTTGATACCTCTACTCCAATTCTAGGCTTTCTCTCCTCTTTGGCTTGACAATATGACAGCGATGGGCCTTCCATGGATCACTCTCTCCCTTTCAATTCTAATCTCATGACAGAAAGATCAAGAATAGCTCATTCACTCCCAAACTTATGCAGCAGGAACGCGTAGTGCAACTCTTTCTTAATCAAAAAAATACCTCATGAGAAATATTATTCTTTATATTTGAAAAAAAAAACTTATAGAATTCAAATGTGGGAAGGTACATGGCAGCTTCAAGATGGACGCCCTAGATGCATTCTCAACTATCAATTCAAAGGCATATATCAAATCAAAAGTCTTTGATTTTATCAACAGTTCAAATTTGATCTAGAATAAGATGAATGGTTCAAACGAAGCAAGCTCATGGAATAATATTATAGAACCTCGTCAAAGACTTCATCAAATGATTGATATTATACCAGCCAATCATGCGATGACACATGACGGTGTGATGTGTTCCAACCAATCAGAAAATGTGACGTGTCAATTCTATTTTAATTTTCCTATTTTTCAACTTCGAAATTTCACCAAAAATACCTCCAAGTTCTGAAAAATACCACAACACATATCAACATCTACTATTTTTCCCATAAATTCAAACCACCAAAATTTCAGAATATTAGTACTTAATTTTTCTTTATAATAATTGAACGGTTTATTTGAGGTAAGTGGAATTTTTCACAATGAAATATTGCTATTATATTTTAGGATAAATTAATTTCGAAGAATTTGAAGTTAGAATTTTGGTGTTTTGACTTCATCAAAAATAGTGGACGTCGATACAAGCAAGTGGTATTTTTTGGAACTAGGAGTTATTTTTGGTGAAATTTCGAAATTGGAAAATAGAAAAATTAAAATAGAATTGACATGTGGCATTTTCTGATTGGTTGGAACACACTGCCACGTGTCATCACATGCAAGGGCGGAACCAGAAATTTTTCGACGCGGGGGGGGGGGGGGGGGGGGGGGGGGGGTGGGGGGCGCTAAAATTGTTAGCTTAAATATAATGATTTTTTTTTTTTTTTTTTTTTTTTTTTTTTCTAATTTCTATTTTTTTTTTTCTAAAAATAAAAGTATACAATAAGGGCATGTTTGCATATTAGACTTTGGATATGAGTAAATAATTCATGTCAGTTGTTTGGTGTCAACTTGTATTATTTAATTACCTGACTATATTAAACGGATTGGGCTTTTAATACTATCCTTACCTGACTAACTAATACAACTCAGACACACCAGTTTAGATAATACACGCTTAATTATAAGGCTAAGGAAAAAGAAAGCACGCTTTGTACGCTCTTTTCATTGTCTTCTCCTTAGGGTTTTTCTTTGCTATCTTCTCTTCTCCATATATTCATCTCTCCCTCTCTCTCATAGTCTCTCCAATATGCTTCTTCTTTCTTCTTTTGTCTTCACCTTCTCTTTCTTTATATATTAAATTTTTGTGAAAAGGTTATGTGTTTTTCTTCAAAATCCATATTGAGTTTTTCTTCAATATCCATGTCGTTGCACTGGTTTGTTTGTTCGTTTTTTTTGTTTTTTTTGTTTTGGGTCAGAAACTAGGATTTCAATTAAGGGAAAAGGCAGAGACGCCATTCCCAAAAAAAAAAATATAGCTATAGAGAAGTCCAAACATAATGGGACAACAAAAAGCAAACTAAAACATTAGATCAAAGGTTTGGGAGGAGAGAGAGGTAGGACGCAGCCAAACAGCAACAAATGTGTTAGTTCATGTAATCTTGTCTTATAGATCTTGGCAAAATAATAATAATAATAATAAAGGTCATATGAATCTTTCCAAACAATAATATAAAAAAAATAGTTTGACGGAGCACCAAACATAGTATAACTTAGTCAGACTATTTATTTGGAACACCACCAAACATCTTATAATTTTATAGATAAACAGTCAGTCCTCTCTGGAACAGAGTAATACTATCCGACAAAAATTAGTCAGCATAGTCCAATGTACCAAACGAGTCCTAAATTATATAAACAACGCTAGTTCGTAACTCCATTGACTAATTTCCAATGACTATATGTTCAACAAAATAATATTTCCCTACTAATACGTTGTAGTTTTTTCCTTCTTCCTTTTTCGTTATTTAAAATTTTAATTTTTTGCAATGACAAACACAAAATGAATAACAAAGACAAACAACAAAAGGGAATGTCTAGACTAGGCAAATAGAGATTCATGCAATCAATATAATACAAATACATGATGATGCTTGAAGTCTATATATATGAGAGACCAACAAAGAAAATCTAAATCCTAAAAACATAATGTGCGTAAGAAGAGTATTTCATTGAAGAAATCATTATAGTGTATCTTAAATGTTAAGGCTCATTATTGCAATATCATCCTACAAGTACATTTGTAAAATAATCAGTCAGATCCTTGAGGTAAACCATTTTAGGTTTTTCCAAGAAAAAGCGTGGAGCTTACCTACATATAAGAGATTGAAAAAGAAAACCTAATCTATATAGGTATAGGTATATATATGTAATTATATTTTAATATAAAAAGCTACCTAAGCTACAGCCCAGTGTAGCCCTATACTTAGTTCCGTCATTGATCGCGTGATTGGCTGGTTAAATATCAATCATTTAATGAAGACTTTGACTCGTACTTTGACTAGGTCTTATAGTACTATTTCGTGAGCTCGTTTCATCTGAACAATTTATCCGATTCTAGATCAAATATGGACCGTTAATCAAATAAAAAACTTTTGACTTGATCTGGGCCTTTAGATTGGTAGTTGGGAATGCATCTGGGCCATCTAGCTTGAAGCTACCATGGACCTCCCCACATTTGGTTAAAAACTCATCTTTTGATATGAGCATTTGAATTAAATATTCAAATTAATCCGAGCCGTTGGGGAATTCTATAAATACCTCTCTTCTCCTCCATTTTTCTTCACACCAAAACCTTCAAACCATTACTCCTTCTCCTCCACCAAAATCACTTTTCTAACCTTTCCTCGAGTCACTATTTAACCGAGTTATTATTCACATACACTATTCATCCACTTTCACTGTTCACTTCCCTAAGCTAGTAGCTACCTTTCCCTATTCTTTCCAGAAAGTTACTATTCACATCAGTTTCACTATTCATCACTCCTCCAACCGGGGTAATCTCTATTCCTTATCTCGTTTTTCATTCACTTTAATTTCGTATTTCTGTTCCTAAAGCGTTATTCTGCCAAATTTAAATTGTCAAACTTAAATTAATTTCATTTTCTAATTGGCTAATTTTCTCAGTTACTTCTAAAAATAGGATCCTTATAGCGTTACTCTGCCCGTTTGAATTCTCATCAAACTTAAGAATTTTTTTTTCCGTCAAAAAACTTAAGAATCTTATTGCCCTATATTTTCCATGTTTTCTTTGGGCTATAATTATAAGACCCCGATTATACCTATTCATACTCCTCTGGTCCATATGTGAAAAAAATTAATTTAAGTTTTTGACAATTTAAATCGAGCATAATAACGTTTTAGATACAGAAATATGGAATTTATTGAAAATGAAAAATGAGATAAGGAATAGATATGAAGGAACTTGGAGGTATTTTTGGTGAAATTTCAAATTTACAAAATAGGAAAATTAAATAGAATTGACACGTGGCATTTTCTGATTGGTTGGAACACATGACACCGCCACGTTTCAATGCGTGATTGGCTAGTCAAATATCAAATCATTGATTAAGTCTTTGACTAGGTTCTACAGTACTATTTCATGAGCTCGCTTCATCTCAACTACTGATCTTATTCTAGATCAGATCTCGACCGTTGATCAAATCAAAGAATTTTAACTTGATCTGGCCTTTGGATTGGTAGTTGGGAATGTATCTTGGTCGTCCATCTTGAATCTACAATGGACCTCCCCACATTTTGTTGAAAACTCCTTTTTGATATGAGCCTTTGAATTAAATATTCAAATTGATCCGAGCCGTTAGGGAATTCAATAAATACCTTTATTTTTCTTCACACCAAAACTTTCAAACCATTACTCCTTCTCCTCCACCAAAATCAATATTACAACGTTCTTTGGGGCACTATTCATCTAAAAGTTACCACTCACAAACACTATTTATTCGATTTCACTATTAACTTCCCTAAACTAGTAGCAACCGTTCCCTATTCATTATGGGAAGTTACTATTCACATTGGGTTTCATTATACATCACTCCTCCAACCGAGGTAATCTCTATGCCTTATCTCGTTTTTTATTTACTTTAATTATGTATTCCTATTTCTAAAGCATTATTCTGCCCAATTTAAATTGTCACACTTAAATTAATTTTATTTTCTGAATGATTAATTTTCTCAGATATTTCTAAAAATTAGATCCCAATGCCATTACACTGCCCGTTTGAATTCTAATCAAACTTAAGAATCTTATGGCCATATATTATCCCGCTTTCCTTGGACTGCAATATCTGGTTGGAGGGGTGATGAATAGTGAAACATGATGTGAATAGTGCCCATAAAGAGTAACTTCCCGAAATGAATAGGGAACAACACCTACTAGCTTAGGGAAGTGAAGAGTGAAATCAAATGAATAGTGTATGTGAATAGTAACTCGGATGAAAAGTGACCTGAAGAAGGTTGGAATAGTAATTTTGTTGGAGGAGACGAAGTAATGGTTTAAAGGTTTTGGTGTGAAGAAAAATGGAGAAGGGAGGTATTTATAAAATTCCCTGACATCTCGGATGGATTTGAATATTTAATTCAAAGGCTTGGAACCAAATGTGGAGAGGCCTATGGCAGCTTCAAGATGGATGGCCCAGAAGCATTCCCAACTACCATGGACCTCGACGTATTTGGTTCCAAACTCATCTTTTGATATGAGCCTTTGAATTAAAATATTTACAAATTTATACATAAACCCAATCCTATACATGTGTTTATAAAAAAAACTCAAACACTATTTAAACATAGAAACACACCCAAAATCAACCCCAAAATCAACAATTATATATTTTTTGGGTGTGTTTATAAATGAGTTTTGAGTGTGTGTAATGATGGGTTTTGGGTGTGTTTATAAAGTGTTTTGGGTGTTGAGTTTTTTTATAATTTCAGCCCCCATTTTGGGTGTTTTAGTGAAGGAAAATGCTAGAGGCACCAACTTTGGGCACCAACTTAGGCACCAACTCTCTAATAGAGCGTGGGACCCGGTGTATTGGCGGGCTCCACCTCTATTAGAGAGTTGGTGCCCAAGTTGGTGCCCAAAGTTGGTGCCTCTAGCACCACCCTTTAGTGAAACTCCCGTTACTATTCATGGGAGACTATTCACATCAAATTTCACTATTCCTTTTTTATTTTGTCTAAAAGTTGGGTTTCACTATCTCTATTTTCTTATCTTGATTTTCATTCGCTTTAATTTCGTATTCCTGTTTCTCAAGGGAGAAGGAACTGCGTGAAGATTGCAACTACAGCAGATATGTTTCTTAGAAAAATAGCGTTTTTCGCCCTTCCTATTCCCAAATAAGATTTGTATCCAAGGGTGAGGATCTTGCAAGTTCTTTATAACCATTACAAATAGTTTTGCTATACAATGCACAACACAAGCAAACAACGTCAAACTTGTAAGTCCATGCCATGCATCCGTCATGGACTAGATTTATAATCAAAACTAAGATATGAGGCTTCAATTATTTGAGTCAATATCCATGCCATTTACGGATTTGCTCATTCTAAAATCAACTACAGCCTTGTCAAAAGTGCTCCTCACGTGTTGGCAAATCACCATGAGATCCTGGCATGAATCGTTGAATACATCTTTTGCTGCATCACCTGTAAAATTTCATGAAACATCCAGGTTTTATAACTACATGACAAAAACCAAGGAAGTTAGTATAAATTTTGATTTATATAACTACTTGCCATTAGAGACGAAGGCTACATTTCGGTAAATTGGAAGGGATCGAACCCCTAACGTATCCTAGTCATAAACCTTCTTCCCCACTCCCCCATCTCATCACCATTCACAACCAGGGCTAGCCCCAAGGTTAGATGACCAAAGCAGGACACTTTGATGCATTAGTTACCAAAGTAGAACTTTTGATGGGTCCACATAAATTATTCCTGAGATTAAAATAGGTCTCTTCACATACATGTTCAAGTAAAAACTCCATTAGAAGTAACAGAGAGCCCACAATTCTGTAGTGTACCAATTAAGCAGCTGTTTCTCTGGGCATCTAAAGTTGCTCCTATCAATTACTTGTTTCAGACTCCCAAAACTTTGCTCCAATTAAGAGATAAAAGTTTAAGCAAAGTATCAAATACACAACTGGAATATTTTGGAGGTATGACCAACTGAATAGAAAATATTGTTGTCATATTGACAATGTAAGCAAAAATCATCAGTATCAGATCTCTACCATAAAAAAATAAATAACCAACCAAAAATAAGCTCAAGGCTGCAATCATGAGAAACATAGTTGATGGAAAGAAGAAAATTATACTAGTTCATACACATTGCTTACGGCAAGGCATTTACCTGTTGTCTGGATTCTGATATTAACTCGGTTATCCGATGGATGAGGAATGCTGTACCCGCAAAATTTTGTTCTTGGACTGCAACATAACATTACAACTTGTTTAGGATATCATCATTAAACTGTTAGATCAAAGTTATAGGAGAAGCAGATTATTGATGCATAGCAACAGTAAAAAATTTACTAAAAGTACTTATAAAATAAGTAGAAAGCACTTACTCCTGATTCAAAGTGAACCTGGCGGCATTTGCAAATGTATGATCCTCATCAACCAAAGAAAATGTAGATTGGCTGGGATCAGTTAAGGACCCATGTTCCATTTCTTACAAAATCCTGCCTACCAAGAAAAAAGAACAAATTTAAAAAGAAGTAATTAAAAAAAATCCAGATTACACTATTTAACAGTAACATTCTAAATGAGACTAACATGCATTGAACACTCTCCAACCTTGAAATTTTCACAGAATTTTTCCTCCAAAGAAATATCAAATCCTAAAGGTTTTTAAGCAATTTTATTGTAGATGTCTGGAAAATATAAAATTATCAACTTGGAAGTAACCTGGTAGACAGTAAAAGAACTACTTCAGAAATATGCAAAATCAAAATGCCTTACCGAGGGAAAATAGTTGATACTGCTTATCTCTCTCTCTCTCTCTCTGCAAAGGCGCGAGCGTTTAGGGTTTATGGTTTTGGTTGCGGATTTATCGAATTTTTGAAGATACCAATATTGCCCTCATTTTGTAAAATGACATTTTTGCCCTCCACCTTACTCATTCTCCTTTCGCCCGTTCTTCAAACTCAAACCTTGCGTTTTGGGTTCTCTCCACTGTCCACTGCAGCTTGTTTCTATCAAACGAAAACCTGATCTTTACTCCCTCGCCTACCTACAGGTACCATTCTCTCTGTACTCAAATACCTTCCTTTTCCGTTTACTTTTTTTTCTTTCAAAATTTAAATATTAAGTTAGGGTTTTATGTGTAGAATTTTTCTTTCCTGCATTTTCTATCTTGTATCATTTTCATGATTTGGGCATTGTCATGATTTAGGGCGAATATATACTTATGGGTTTAGGATGATTTTTTGCTCTATGCATTTTCATGGTGTAGGGCTTTAGTATAACTGTAAGGCTTCTTGGTACAAATGGAGATAAGGAAATATGGTTGATTTTTTTTATAGAAAAAAGTCTCGCAATTTGATGATAACAGGAACTGAGAGACATATCTTGAACTTAGTTTGATTTTAGTGTTATTGGTCTGAGTTTGAGTTGGCAAATTAACCATCCCAATCAAATTCGAGATGAACTCGATTAGGGGTTCAACGTGCCTAAGTTCTTTTTTTGTTGGTTGACAAAAATTCTGAGCCCTCACGTTAAAACCTTTAATCCAAAAATTTATGTTCCTTAATCACATTCATGCTTGTAGCTCTGACTGCAAGTATAATGAAGAAGCAACATGTAGCAATGTTGTATTTGATACTTTATAAAATTTTAAGCACTTAGAAAAAAGTTCTCAGTAAGAGGCTGAAAATTTATGCACTCACTGTGTACTTTTTCCAGTCATAAATCTCTGCTTAGAGTTCAGTTTTTGCCCCGTACATGACAGCGAGAGCATGGTTTCAGTTGCCACGTGAACGATAGAAATGGGCCACCAATTTTTGTGGTAATCTTTTACTCAGATATGCAGGTGAAATTAACCAGGCATGCTCTTGAATATCCAAGTGAAATTCCAATACAATTATCCCACTCAAAGTTGTAACTTTAATCTCACTAAAACAAAATATGTGTATTGTCAACTTAACGCCAATTCAAAAAATCACCCAAAGTATTTAATAATTTAAGACACTTCATTTTTGCCCCTAATGAGATTTCTGCCCAGGCAATGTAACTGGTCTAAAATTTTAATCTTAACAGTGTCACCATGTATTGAATATGGAATGTGAGAGAAGCCCAAAGTAATACCATGCACCTATCAAAGTAAATTAACAATCTCTTCAATATTTTGTACCAAATCTGGTCCTTGATTTACTGTCTTCCTAGTTTGCAAGGTTTTGGATTTGAGTATGCTAGATTTACACTTCGGGGAGCTGAATTCAGTGTTGTTGTGTGTGTGTTCAATTCTTCTAGATATGTATGCACACATGCATTTGTTTATACACGTTAATTTGAACAATTCTATTCAACAGAAGATGGCATGGAGGCAAATTCTATTCAACTCAAGAGCAATTTTGGGACCATATTTAGCAACCGGATCCGCCAGATTCTCCACAAAATCAAACCCATACCTAGGTAAGTAAAGATTTTGATTTTAGGCTTTAATACGCAATTATTGATCCTTCCACTTGTCATTGGTTCCCAAGAAAATGATAGAAAATAAGATTTCTGGGTTTCATGAATTTGTGATTTCCTTTTCTTCAAAATTAGAAGATACACTTTTTATTTGGTTAAGTAGCTATGTGACATTAGAGGTTGTGTTTGGATGCTTTAAAAATGAAACAAGATGAAAGAAATGGGAACATAAAGTTTGGGTTTTGTTAATGCTCTATATTTAGGTTTTGATAGAAATGAGACTTTGTTGGTTACTTCACCAAAATCAATAAAGAAGAATGGCCCAAGAAGTGTTGTTATGCTTCTGTTGGCTCACCACTCAGTTGCTGAAAAAGTTGGGGATACAAAAGGGAGGCAGGTGAAATCTTGGGTTTTGTAAGGTCATGTTTCTTGTTTATTTAACTGTCGATTTAATGAGTAATTTTTCTATTACTGAACATCACACTTGGGTTCTGTTTTGTTCCTTTTCTTTTCAATTAAAAAAAGTTGTGCTAAGAGATTGAGAACACTGAAGGGCATGGAAAGTGAAAATTTTTGTGTAAAGCTTAGCCTATAGTTATTGACCAAAAAAAAAGCTTAGCCTATAGTTATATGTTGTAGGCTTAAATTCGCAGTCCTTCAAGTGTCAGAATAACAAACTTTTCTTGACGTTTTATTAGAAATTTAGGAGATAAATTTTCGAAAATTGGGTTTAATTCAGTGGAAAACCTTCAAATTGGGGTTTTGTGGTTGTTTTTCTTGCAGTGAAAGTTGGAATACCAGAGTTTTTGAATGGAATTGGCAATGGAGTGGAATCCCATGTGGCCAAGCTTGAAGCTGAGATTGGTGACTTCCAAAAGCTGCTTGTCACTCGTACTCTCAAGCTGAAGAAACTTGGCGTCCCATGCAAACATGTAATCAATCTCTGAGTTGATCACTTACTTTGCAGACGCACACACCCACCGGATATTAACATATTAAAGTTTCTGTTTCTAACATTAATTCTTGCAATTTAGGAATGTATAGCTATACAAAAGCCTTGGAATCAGCTTTATTGTTTCATGTTTTCTTTGGATCCGTCTCAGTAATCCTTCCTTTATGCATTGCTGATGAATGGATGGAAATAATAACCTTATTTCTTTCTTCTTTTTTTCCTTAAAAAACGAAAGAAATATAATTCCGAGGATTTTAATGTTGTTTTCTTGGTGGTTTAGAAATTTGATATTGGATTTCTCTTTTTGCAGAGGAAGCTGATCTTGAAATACACCCACAAGTATAGACTGGGACTCTGGAGACCTCTAGCTCCGGCAATCAAATCCTAGTTAGTTTTGGAGTAGTGTGTAGTTTACACAAAGATTTTGTCTGCTGCAAAATGTTACTGGCGGACACTCGATGTACGGAGCTGTGAAAGAAGAGAGTTTTTGTTTTCATGATATTCTAGTCTTTCTTCACCCTTATTTAAGTTTCATCATAAAGTTCAACGGTAGTGTACGATGTACTGCATTTAATTGAGCGCTCTACCTTGGTAGTTTCACCAGAACCCTTGTTTCATATCTTTGGTGTCCAAGTGTTCTGACTTATAGCAAACTGGTTTAGGAAGATTACAAAATCTGTTGGTATTGAAGGGTCAAATGTTTATTGATTTGTTAAACCCCTTATCTATGTGACACTGACAGTAGTTTTTAATTAAAATACCAGATTATTTAAAAAATTCTCTGCTCAAGTAATGAACAGCGCATATTAGCTTATAAAAATTGGTGAGATTATTAAGTTATAAGTGGCTGCAGACTGGCAACATCACATCCTTTTCCTTAGGATTGTTGCTTCTCTTTCCTAGATTTCATATTTTCGCCAAGTCTTGGTTGCTATCTTGTAAATCATTGACAATGTCTTTTTGGTGATACTGAGCCTCCATATGCTCTTAGGATCCAGTAGCTCTGCATGGTTGAACATTTTAAATACAATCGATAGTCTAAACGTATGGTTCTCAAAGTAGAGAATTTAGCCAATTCCTTTTCTTGTTTCTTGTAATCAGAGTAGACCGTGGTACTCATTGACTTCCAAGGTTTAGTCATATAATTGTGTATTTTATGTAAATCATCAATTGCTTATTTATTTATTTTTCTGTTAAAATCATCAATTGCTTATTAGTTCCATAGTAATTGCATATATTTTAACTGAAAAAAACTCATAACTCCAAAAAGATTTTGTGTTAATTATGCAGGTAACAGAGCATTAAGACCCCATTGGACAATAATATGCCCAGCATAACTGCTATTAATTCCAAGGGAAATGACAAAGAACTATACAACCCTGTATAAATACATGTTTTTAGATCCCCCTCCAACCATCCCAATCTCAACAAGCTTCCACTGTCTCTCTGCCTGTCTCTTTCATATTAAAATATATATATATATCCTTCCAATTTCTGCCATGGTTATGATGAAGAAGAAACCAGGCCAGGGACGCCAAAAGATTCCAATTGCCAAAATAGCCAAGAGAAGTAATTTACAAGTCACATTCTGTAAACGTCGTTCGGGGCTCTTCAAGAAGGCTAGTGAGCTTTGCACCGTTTGTGGTGTTGAGATTGCAATAGTTGTCTTCTCTCCTGCCAATAAACCCTTCTCCTTTGGCCACCCTCATGTTGAGCCCATCGTTGACCGCTTTCTTTGCACTCCAAAACCTTCCATAGACTCTGATTTCACTTCTCAACAACTACTTGTTGATCAGGCTCAGGGCTACATGAGTGACAGTAGTGTTCATGAGCTTAATATGGTGTTAACTCAGACTCAAAAACATTTGGAGGCTGAGAAAAAGCGAGGACAAGAACTTGACGAGATGAGCAAAGCCGGCCAGGGATCATCGAAACGGTGTTGGTGGGAAAACCCAATTGATGAAATGGGACTGCATGAGATACAGATACTGAAGGCTGCAATGAAGGAGGTCAAGAAGAATGTGATTGAACAAGTGAACAAGATTTTGAAGATCCAGTCTTGTGCTGCTGTCAATTCTCAGTACCACTCTTCAGATGAATGGTAATCACTAATCAAAGTGATGATCATCTATTTGAAAGCAAACCTGCAATCAAATTGGACCTGCTGGTTCTATGATCCCTAGTAGTGCCTATAACTTTGGTTGGCATGGTCTTGTCTGAATTTTCCTTTCTTTTAATGGTATCGTTAGGCTAGCTGGTAGTCTTGCATCTGAGTTCGATCCCCTTTCTTTAGAAATTTAAAATTATCGCTTGTATAGAAACAAATTTTAAAAAGTTATATTATTATCATCATTATCATCATCATTAGTATTGATAACGATATCTACTTATTATTGGTTGTTCTCTTTTTCAGTTATGGTTGTAAATGAATTAATAATTACAAGTTTTTAATTTGCAAGCATTTACACTGGCTAGCTAGTAACGTAATATATACAACTATAAAATGGGATTTTCTATATAGTAAATTTGGCTTACACCCTTCAAATTCAATTTGCCATACCTAAAACCCTTCACTTTTTGTTCCTATAAATAATACCCAATTTGTATAAGTAAAAACCCATGACTAGGATTCAATTCAGCAAGTTACCTAATTAAGCATAAAATCTGATTTATTGTATTTTTTAGATTCCAAAAATACCCTCAACTAAGCCATTATTGCATTTTGTATATTAATGTAGGAATCAATATGGAAACACTTTTTAATTGAATTGTATATAATGACAGATGTTGAATTTGGAAAGATCTCCAAATGGTTGTAATGGATGTAGGAATTAATTTTGAAACATTTTTTTAAAAAATTTAACAATAAATTCAAATTTGGGTAATCGGTTTGTTTAATAAAATGTTTATTTTATTTTCTTTTTATGAATTATACATGACTAATAATTCACTTTATAATTGTTTATGAATAAAACTATACATACTAATTATGTTGAAAAAATAATGTACCTATTACTTGTTTGTTTTATGAAAAATATAATTTACCTAGTATGAAAAGTGTACATAATTATCTATTCCAATATACCTACATTATACGACATCCAATATACCTACATTAATTTTAATGTACTTACAATTAGGATTTAGGTATTATATGTCATCCAATGTACCTACCATTTGAATAATATACCTACTACGAATAAAGTACCTATTATTTATCTAAATAATGTACCTATTTTTTATCTAAATAATGTAATTTATTTTTTATCTATAAATAATATAGCCTTTTTTCTTTGAATAAAGTACCTATTATTTGTTTTATTAAAAGTAATTTTTTTAAATGAACCTATTTTCTCTCTCCAAATAACTTACCTATTTTTTTCCTCTAATAATGTACCTATTTTTCATAGGTACATTATTGGATATGTAATTTATTGGATACCTATATTTTATATGTATATATTTATATTATAATTTTCATAAGTACATTATTGGATATGTAATTTACAGATTTTTTTTTGTTTGCAATTTTAGGGGGCGAGATGTGAGAGGGAATGACAACTATAAGAAATGGGGTGATTGATATGCTATTAATAGGGAGTATATTAATTACAATTATGGCAGTTAATGAAATGCTTGAAATAAATTATAAATAAAAGATGAAATTTAGTGGCAACGATGTAAAAACATAGAAATACTACGACCTCTTATATTCTACTGGTCATTTAAATTTGAAATTGGGTTTTACACATAGATTTATAGAGTGATGGGTATATGTCTAGGAAATAGAAAATGTATGGATCTATATTGGACAAGCCCTTTTCTATAAAATCATAAGATATTATGCCTATAAACCAAAAAACAGAATAAAGAAATTGGAAAGAACTTGGCTATGCTCCTGGAAGACAAAAATATTTTTCTTATATTGTCCAAACATCGGCTGTATTTTGCAAGTCGTCACATATTTATTCGTCGCATTATATATATTTTTAGAGCATCGCGGATAATTGCCAAAAATCTTGGCGCCCAAATTGTCTAGCCCGAAAATGTTATTGGGGGAGAGCCCCAAAAAGAAAAAGAAAACAAAAAAATATTTCCCCAACCCATCCCGTCCAAACCTAACCATTACTTCACTTCCTTCATCTCCCTCTACAGCAGCTCCGGTTCCATCTTCCTCCAACCACCAACCACCAACCACCGGCTACGGCGACCACTCCTCCTCCTTTATCTCTCTCCCTTGCTCGCGCTCTCGCTTTTTCTCTCTCAAACACCCACAGGTAGTGTTTTTGAAGTTCTTATTTCTCTGTTCTATTCTTGGTTGTTATTTGATAAATTTTGATTGGGTTCTTTTTTTTTCCTTTTTCTGGATATTTGAGGTAAAATAGAATTGGAAACCTGATCAATTTCTTGTGGGTTTTGTAGTGCTCTGCCTCAATTTGTTTGCTTTGGCTGTTTTCTGTTCTGGGTTGAGGTAAATTTCTTTTAAAATCTGCCTCAATTTGTAATCTGAACAACGTGGCAAGGCAATGCCTAGGAGTTTTGCCTTTTGTACTTTTGCAATTCTACTCTTCAATGAATCTGGGCAAATTTTATTTTTAATGGCAGTGGTGTAATAGATTTTGGTTTACATACCCAAATTTTCAATTTGATATATGATAATGTTGAATTGAGTCTATAATCAAATCTGTTTTATGATGATGAAATGAGATGACAAGAAATGATGATGATGATGATGATGATGACGAATTGATATGTTGAGAATTGATGACTTGAATGGATGGGAATTGAAAAATAAATTGATGATGAATTGATGAGAATGTTGATGATTTGAATTTGTTTAATAATGAAATCTGTTTTAACATATTTCTTTATATAATAATGTTGATAATGATGATGTGTATGATATGATAATAATTAGCGAAACAATTATAGCTGGATGATTGGTTAGGATTCATTTTTGGATTGATAATGATGTGTTAGCTGCTGATTGGTTATAATGTTTGGTGATAATTGAATTTATGGGGTTTTTGTTTGTTTGGTTGGTATATTTATTTATGATAGGATGGAGGCTAGCCAATCCAATACGCTAAATGCCTCAATTAGTACACCTTCTATTAAACTCGAAACCCAAGCTCAACCCTAAACACAACCTCAAGACCAACAAATAAATTCTGTCAATGTGGGAGAGAAGAGGAAACCCTCAAAATCTGTGGTGTGGTTACACTGCAAGAAAATGATAAAGAAAGATGCTCATGGGGTAAAGGTGATTGGGGTTTGCAATTACTGCAAAGAGGAAATGCCGGCTGATTCTAAGAAAAATGGGACAACTGGTTTAAAAAATCACTTAGCGAGGAGATGCAAGCTCTCTCCTCTTTATCAACGGGGTGATGAAACTCAATCGTTCTTAAATTTAGAGACCATGGGTGGTGGTCTATTTCCCCAAACTTTTAACCAGAAGAGAAGTGAACTCAAGTGTGTTATGTTCCTCATTAAGGATGAGATGCCTTTTAGAGCGGTTGAAGGCTCCGGGTTCAAGGACTTCATTACTGAACTTCAACCTAGTTTCAAGATACCTAATAAGAAGGAGATTGCGGCGGGAGTGTGGGATTTGTTCTTAGTGGAGAAGGCTAAGATCATGAGTCTTATAGGTGATCAAAGAGTAAGTATCACAACCGATACTTGGACATCAATTCAAAACATCAATTACATGGTAGTCACTGCTCATTTTATGGACAATGATTGGAAGTTGCATAAAAGGATCATCAATTTCACAAAGATCACTAGTCACAAGGGTGATGACATAGGGAGGTGCTTAGAGGCGTGTTTGAATAGTTGGGGGATTGACAAGGTCTTCAGCATTACAGTTGATAATGCGTCCGCAAATGATGAAGCAGTTGAGTACATGGCAAAGAGCCTCAAGTCAAAGAACACCATTATGCTTGATGGCAAGTACTTGCATATGAGGTGTGCTTGTCACATCCTTAATCTAATTGTTAAGGATGTGTTGAAGGAGCTTTATAACTCAATTGAGGGGATAAGGAATTGTGTGAAATACATTCATTCATCTCCAGAAAGGTTGGCCAAGTTTAGGGACTTTGTCTTCTTAGAGAAAAATGAGAAGATGGCAAATGTGCCCATGGATGATGTTACTAGGTGGAATGCAACTTATAAAATGCTTGATGGTGCATTGAAGTACAAGAAAGTGTTTAGTAGGATGGCAAATGACAATGCTTCCTTTGTGGCGTATTTTAATGAGTATGAGAAGGATGCAAAGGAAGGGCTTGTGAAGAGAGTGGGCCCTCCAGTAGAGGAGGATTGGGAGAATGCACAAGCCTTGGTGCATTTTCTTAAGAAGTTTTATGATACAACTCTTAAGCTTAGTGCAACCAAAACATGTACATCCAATCTAGTATTTACCGAAATGGTTGGGTTACAAGTTGAGATTGAGAAGAAAATGAAGGATGGTAGAGATCCTAAATTGCAAAGGGTGGCTTTTTCAATAAAGTTAAAATTTGAGAAGTTTTGGGGGAGCTTTGAGACTGTAAACAAGCTTGTCTTTGTAGCCCATGTTCTGGACCCTAGATATAAATTGCAAATGCTTAAGATCATCTTTCGAAATCTTGGAGCCGAGCCTACTAAGATAGACTTTGTTGTTAGTGAGGTTAAAAAATGTATGCTCACTTTGTATAATGAGTATAAAGGGTCTGCTAGTATTGGGAGTCTACAATTGTTTGATTTACAAGATGAGGATGCTAAGGATGAGCTTGATGGTGATGATGCTCAATCACAATTGGTAAGGGACCTTTTGCAACAAATAAAGGAGGAACAACTTGCGGACATATCCAATGAAGTAGATAAATACTTCGCCGATCCTTTTGAAAATGCTTTTAACAAAGGGTTCAAACTCTTGGATTGGTGGAAAGGGAATCAATCAAGATATCCAATCCTTTCAAATATTGCCAAGGAAATCTTTTCAATCCCAAGTTCTACGGTTACTAGTGAGAATGTTTTTAGCCTGGGTAAGAGGATTGTGGATCCTTTTAGAAGTTCATTGACTCCTGAAATGGTAGAGGCATTAGTGTGTACTTGTGATTGGCTTAGAGCGGATGAATTTTGCTTCTACAAAGAGCCTACGGACGAGGAGCTTGAATTTTATAAGCAACTTGAAGAAATCCAAGCAAGTAAGTTGAAATTTCATTTTTTTTTAAAGTTGATATATTCCTGTTCAGTGCTTAATTTAATGATATTTTTCTTTGTTTTACATTTAGTTTCGTCTACTGCTCAAACTTCTACAAATCAACCGCCTCCTCTACATTCGTCTTCTACATCATGAGCTTCAAGATTTGAACACTATCACGGGTTGTAATAAATTTTGTTATTTATGGATTATAATAACTTTTGGTTGCAATTCTTGCATGGAGGTGAAGTTGTTGGACTAGTATTAGAAACACTTAGCTTTTGTTGATTCAATGGAGTCTTAGGGTATGGAACTATTCCATTTTTAGAGCGATAGTAAGACTTTTCAGCAGAAAAGTGTAATCTGATATTTCTTGTATGAAATACAAGACCTGCCTGGAAATGATTTTGTACAGAGTGGAGGAATATGAGCCCTTGCCTGAAGCAGGACAACAATGCATTTATTTGAAACCTTTGAAGATAATATTAATAGCACTCCCTTCTTTGTATCCTGAGATATAAAGGCATGAATTGTAAAAGTAAAGCAAATGCTTTAGGATACAAATGTGGATCCTGATTGTTGTGATGTAATACCATATGTTTTAAGCTTTATTGTTTAGTAATGCAACTGTTAAGCGCTTTATTTATTTATTATTGTTAAATACAGGCGTTATTGGGAGAGGGGAATCAAACCTAGTACCTCGGGTGCATGATTAATTGCTCTTAACCACTTTTGAGTTACAACCCCTTGCATCTACTAACTGATTTTTTTTTCCTTGAATCCATTTGTTTACAATTGCCTGTCAAGAAAGGTTCTAGATAGTAGAAAGGAAAAACAGTAACCCAGTTGCCATTCAAACCTTACAAGAAGGAAAAATTCTAGCAAGACAAAGTAGTTCCCTGGTTCATTAGCTAACTGTCCACAAGAATGAACCCCAAAATGTCAAGCACATTCATCTACTAATGAGCTGAGAGGAAAACCATCAGAAAATCTACTCTTCAAACGAGGAAGCGAAGCCTGCCAAACCAGTGAGTGCAGAAACATGACACAGCTAACCCAACAAACAAAAACAAAACAAAATTTGGACTGCCTTATAAATGAGAAAATGAAAAAGGTGAAGGAAGAGGCAACCATGGAAGGCTCTGAAGGCCAGATTTTACAGCCTTTATGGTTGTCTTGAACATCGGTGGCTCGGCCAATGAAAGCAGAGTTCCCAATCAGAGATGGGTATTTGATCGAAGCTTGTTCAAGAGAGCTCGAAAACCCTCTTCAGTAGCTTCAAAATCAAGTAACCCCAGGTAAAGAAAAGTTGTCAGAATTTGATAACCTTGACCAGGTCTTTGAATGCCTCTTTCCCTTTGAAGAAGGCATCTGTGAATACATACAATGCTATCCAAGTTGGTGTTGGGTGACAGAAAAAGTGAGGTAGAAAGAGAGTAACAAAATTTACTCTAGAGTGTAATAACATTCGCCTCCATGCCATCTGCTGCTGAAAAGAAATGTTCAAATTAATGTGTATATACATACATGTGCATGAGTGTGCATACATTATACACATACACACTGAATTTAGCTTACAGAAGCACAAATCTATACTTCAAATCCAAAACCTTGCAAACAGATCAATGGAAGACAATAAACTGATTGTTTCACTACTCTCGCAGACTTTCCAAATCCTATAATTTCTCGTGTGAAAAAAAAAGATTTAGCCAAATTAGTCACTGTATAATCAAACTTTTACAATTTATAAATATGGTGGTTGTTTTTCGTTGAGTAAACTTGGAGAGAGACATTAAAAGAAGGGTTAAAAATCTTTTTGTCATTAGATTCTACACTATATTTCACTTTGGTCATTAATAAATAATTATACTCAAATTGGTTACTATATTAACCCAAATAATGGTATGTCTATATACTTAACGTTGGGTTATACACCAATTTATTTATTTATTTATTTTTTGGTGATCAAATTAAAATATTATGTAAAATTCAGTGAGCAAAAAAATATTTTTACTGCATAGAAAGAAAAAACCATCTATGCTCCGTATTAACTATTCAGCCCAAACAAATCAATATATTTGTTTCTGTCACGTGGCGGGAATAGACCGCGGCTGTTTGCAGGAAAAACAGTAGGCCTTCCCACATCTGATTACTTGTTTCCACGCCGTTCCCCTCTCTCTCTCTCTCTCTCTCTCTTCTCTCTCTCTCTCAATCGCTTCGCCTACCTCCTCTCTGAGTATTCGGCCGCGCACGACCTCATATCCGCCGTTGCCTCCACCGACGCCCTCTCCGCGCCGTCACCCATTCACGAACCCTCTCTCCCAGTCTCTGATTCATAGATATTAGAGATGGATGCTAAAGCCAGGAACAAGGCATTGTTTCGTGCTAGATTGAATGCCCAGAAGAAGGAAAAGCGCATAGACTCTCCTCTTGTACGGTCAGTGCTCACACCTCTTCTTTTCCAATTTTGCTTTTACACACACACACACACACATATTATTATTTGTAACTGGGTACATATTTTTACTTATAAGAACACAAATAAATTTTTTTAGACTAGGGACTTTCAGTTTAATGTAATTTATTATTTAAATTGCATTCTGTAGAACCATTTTCGTAAATTTAGTTTTCAATTTATGTTTTCGAAACATAAATTGATTATTTTTAGTATTTAAAATTGGGACATCTAATGTGCATTTGTTTAAAAATACTTAATTTCATTTTTAAAGTAGTAGTTTTCTAGTTAAAAGAAAAGTTAAGCAGTGTTTATTACTGTTGGTTCTGTCAGAGTCTTGAATGTTTAATTGGTTTCATGTTAGAAAATCATCCTCTGAAATTTTGATCTTGTTTAGCAGTCCCTTTTAACTGTTTACAAATGCATTATTCTGTTCTAGCTAGTAAAATATAATTTGTTAAGTAGTATCTAATTCCTTAACCATAATTTGAAATGAACCTCACGAGAACTCGTTTTAGATAGAAATGGGAATCAGCTAAGAAGATACGGATTATGGAATGTCAAACAAGCTTACTTTTATCTTTCCTGATTGTGTCTAGGAATTTGTTATGTATACTATCTTTCGTTTACCTTTTATTTGATGTTTTCACTTGTAACTACTTCTGATATCTTGTTTTCTACTGATAAAGCTGATTTATATATTTAAATTGCTAAGACAGAGTTTCTGACTGCTTCATTCTGCCCTTTTGTGTGATACATACAGGTATAATGAATCTGACCAGCCCGTATGCAGGGTTTGTGACATCGCTCTGAAATCTGAATTTCAGTGGGAAGCACATCAAGCATCTCGTAAACATCATGAGGTGATAACGATTCATATAGTACTTTTCTGGTCATAGCATTAAGCAACTAAGAGACCTACAAACATCTTGTAATATGGAAAATCCAAAGTTGATATGAAAGGTCTAAATTTTTTTAAATAATATGAATAGGAGAATGCATCAATTTTTCCTGCTTCTTGACAGTTATAGAAATAACACATTTGTTGTCAATCAAATCATGTATTGTGATGTTGGAGCATTACAATACTGTTGAATTCAATAACACCATTTTAGCTCTTGAAAGGTGGTTTTGTTACCATCATGGTTCCCTCTATCTTGTTGCTCAGCAGTCTAGGTCTCATCCCATCCCTCTAAATGTAGGCAATGTCAAAATGATCTTGTTCGGTTACATCTTATTTCTCATATACTAATTTGGCTTGGATAACCCATACATTTAATCTATATTTGGCAGAAAGAGGAAGCATTTCCTTCTGTTAGACTCTCTAGATTTGAACCTGGGATGCCATAAATATAGATGTGTTTCCTTTTTCTTTATCTTTAATTTAGTTATCTGACTGTACTGAAGCGATGTTTCTATTGCAATAGGCAATAAATAATCTCAAAGCTACCGCAGCTGGACTAAACCGAGTCAACAACACAAAAACTGAAGTCCGTCCAGAATTGTCGAAACCTGAGCCTGAACATCCTTCGGAGTTGCATATCCCAAGACCTGAATGCTCTACAGAATTGCCTAGACCTCAAACGTCATCTGGGCTTCCTCCAGATTTTTTTGACAACAATGAGGCACAAAAACGAAATACTGGTGAGAATCTATTTCGTTTATATTACTATTATCACCACCCTATTGCTCAGTTTGATTGCCTGAGGAGTAAGGACTGTATCATCTTGTTTAGAGGATACAAAATTATATAAGGGAGAGACTGTATGTACTTGCCTTTTTGCACGGGTGTAGCTTGCTCTTTCATTTATTGGAACAAAAGGAGGATGGTTCTACTCAACTATGCAGAATTCAGTTGTTGGTTATAATATACTCAATTACTTCATAATTATTAAATTCTACTTGGGTAGCTTGAAAAAGATTTATGTAGTTAGCCATGGGAAAGAGTAAGAAACTGGGTCAAGGGTGAGTGCATTCAACTTCTTGCTTTCCAGATTAGAAATATAAGTGTAGCACTGCTTATGAATATAGTTATTCCAATATGTGTGCACAATCCAAATCTTTATAATATTTCGTCTTTTTTTTTGCATGGGTTTTTATCACAAATGGTCCCCGAGGTTGGCAAAATTATCACACCTTTGGCCCTTTGTGTTTTTTTCTGACATTATTGGTCCTCTGTGTTACACCTCACACATCAATTTGGTCCTGCTGTTTAGGTTCTGTCAAAATTTCTGTTAAATTGATGACGTGTCACGTATGTGGTGGCCACATATCCAATGAGATAATGACACGTGGATCTAAATAAAAAATAAATTTTTTAAAAAAAGGTTTAACATTTAAAATCTAAAAAAATTAGAAACTTAAATAAAGAAAATAAAAAATAAAAACTGCAGCAACTCTCCCCCTCCGCCCCTTCCCCTAATTTCCCTTTTGTCTCCCCCTTCTGTCTCTCACCCTCTCTTTTTCTCTAGCCCCACCCGAGAAGGGACGAAATTAACCAAAATTTAAATAAAAGAGAGAGAGAGAGAGAGAGAGAGAGAGAGAGAGAGAGAGAAGGGAAGAAGAGGAAGGGGAGGGAGAGAGAGGCAAAGAGTGGATCTACGAAAGGGGGAGGGGTTGGGAAGGGGGGATGCTGACGTGTATTTTTGTTTTTGTTTCAGTTTTAATATTTTTTATTTATAAAAAGACTTAATTTTCTTTTTAAAGAGAATTTTAAGTTTTAAAATATTTAAAATATATCATATATTGTATTTAAAGCCACGTGGCATTATCACATGGTCACATCGGCAATTTAACAGAAATTTTGAAGGAACCTAACAGCATGACCAAATTGATGTGTGAGGTGTAACATAATTAAAGGACCAATAATGTCAGAAAAAAACATAAAGGACCAAAGGTGATAATTTCGCCAATCTCAAGGACCATTTGTGATAAAAACCCCTGTTTGCATTTCTGTTGCTAGGCATATCCTAAGTATGCTTTATTGCTTTCCTTGTTGTGAATACTTTCTTATTGTTGTTGTTTGTTATTTTGACTGCTGTTCTTAACTATGAAGGAGATCCTCTCAGGTAATATAATAAATAATAAGTGATAATTGTATTGATGGAAACAGAGTTTCACAGCACCTGTGTCCTCAGCAAAAATGTAGAAAATATCTGTATAGGATAGCATCTGAAGCTGTACAACTAGTTTTTGAATTCATTGATGGCATTAGTTATATATAGGCAATTACCTATCTCCTTACTTTCAGAATATTTTCTAGCCTTTTAGCTTACCTGCTCTATGTCTTTTAAGTTGTTTGTTTCATGTCCTGTGGTTGGATAAAAACACTCAGTTGAGATTAGGCTTGAACCCCTTGATCTTCTTCTTGTTGGGTTTTATTATTTTGTCTTTTTTTGGGAGGAAGAATATTTATAAGCCCTACATTAGAATTCTCCACCAAAACACACCCACCAGATTAATTCTTAATCCATAGAACTCAAAAAGCATATTTCTCATGCAATTTAGCCCAATAGTTTGTTTTATTAGTTTAACCCCTAACTTGATATGACTAAAGTGCCGATAGGCCTGAGATTTTTAAACTTTTTTTCTCAACTGAAAAATTTTTAAGTTGATTTTTTTCTTGGAAAGTTCCAATTAAAACTGCAAATTTTCTCTTGCTTATTGAAAAAACAACTAGATGTGTAAATATATGATTCGTGTATGTTCTTGCTCCTCGTTTTCTATTAGTAGAATTGATTTATTTGATAAATAAATTGCTAAAAAAGTACAATTCCCACCGTCAATAGTTTATTGCATCATTAGAAGTATATGAAATTGAAAATGTTAGCACTATAATCTAATTAACCCCAGGGTCATTGAGATGTAACCAAGCTAATAATCAATGATGGTTGAGACTGGAGAAGATATTGGCAATGGGGTTTGAATTGTTATTGGAATTTTGAAATAGGTAAACAAATTTTATTAGTGGAAAAACAGAAAACAAATTGGTGTCCCCCTCATTAAGCCTCTTTCTTCGCTCATAATCAAGTGAATCAAGTGAAGGAAACAAGAAACTCCACTAAAATTTTCACTTCAACAAAAAAAATACCCACAACAATCCTTTTTCAATAGTCCTTTATTTTATGACATTTAGTTAATATCACGCCTTTTCTTTAATGCCATTAGGCCACAAACAAACTGTTCGGCTTTCTTGTTTGATTATACAGTTTTTGGGTTTTATGAATCAATTCTTAAAGTTATGGTTTGTTATGGTTTTGATATGTGCCTTTTCTTACTTGGGTAATTTTCCCTTTTTTTGTTGTTGTAGACAGTAATTAATCTTTCCTTTCGGAAAACCAAATCTTTTGTGTCATATGTAGCTGCCTAGATGAAATTGGATCATTTATTTATATTGTGCTGATATTGGCACAATATGGTGTCATTCTAGAGCTTAATTTTTTGTGGTTTATATTAAAATGATGTAGGTTTGGTCGTATGCACAATACCAGAACAGAAAATCTAAGTAGAGGATTTGAACTCTGCCTGGAAGGCAATTTTTTGGATTTAGTTTTTCAACTGTCATTCCGTTTCTTTTTTTATGTTTTAGTGATATCGATTAGTCTTTCTAACTTTACAATATCGTCTTTGGAATGGACTCTATCACAGTGGTGGAGACTGATTCATACAAAAAGATTGAGACGAGAAAAACTGAGCCTGCCAGGGACCTTACACAGACATCATCACAGATTGCCAGTTCAGAAGCTAAGCAAATAAAGGGAGCTCTTCCTGAGGGCTTCTTTGATAACAAGGAAGCTGATTTATCTGCACGGGGAATAAAGCTTGTTAAGCCAGATGTCAAGTAAGTACACTGTTCTTATTAATAACTCCTGGATTATAATGGTGTAATTGTCTTAAAAGTTCTCTTACTTGTTTTGATTTTTCTAGTCTAGTATGTATTTACTCCCAAAGGTTATTGGTTCTAAATTCCATTCTAGATATACATAGAAGTTCCAAATTCCGGTAAATATACTTGTTCATGTTAAAAGGATTCTGAAAAGGCTTAAAGAGTTCATAATTTGAATCTTCATACAGTGTAACTTGGGAAGTTTGTTATTTGAAATTTTTAGTTTTTGCAATATTGTCTTGAATATGCTGGGTCTCTTAGTGTCTTTTAAATTGTCGGGTGCAGTTGTCGTCTTTTAATGTCACTTTATTTTATTTTATTTTTCTCCTCTTGAAGTAGGTTTAACATGAACACATTGTGACCTTGAATTTGTGTTTAACTGTTGGGTAGAGATGAGTACAAAGAATTTGAAAAGTTGATCCAAGAGGACTTGAAGGAGGTCGATAATAGGTTGGAAGAAGAAGAGGTGAGCGTTTTTATATCCTTGCACTATTTTTTGTACTCTACATGAGGTTGATTTGCACACAAACTCGTATCATTCTCTTGTCTTTGCAATTGTGACACAGATTGATGCCGCTGAGATGATAGAAGAGGCTGAATCAGTAGAGCAAAGGTGAGTTCAGCAATAAAGGTGCTGTGCTTTGATTTTATACATTCTTTTCTTTTTTGTTACTCTATTTTCCTCACTGTAAACTTTTACCTTCTTCGTTCTCCTTTCTCTCAGGACATATCGGGAGAAAGTAGGATTGTTAAGAAAGAAGAAAATGGAGTTGAAGGCTGCGAGTGCTTCCAAGCGTAGAAGAATTTCGGAGAATGTCAAAAAGGAGCCCAGTCATGATGAGTCATCAAGTGATAGTGACAGTGATGAGAATTTTGCAGTGGATTGGAGAGCTCAACATCTTTGAATGCTCTTGGTCTCCTGTAGGATCTGTTCTTGACATGTTCAAAACCAGACAATGTAATGTGCCAGTGACTGGCTTTGGAACCTGTAGGTTCTTTGGTGCTAAAATTGGAAGCTTTGCTGAGGTTATGTGCAATTGGGAGTTTGTGAAGGTGAAAGTAAACATGTATACCGAAATCATTTGGGCATCCCCACGATGTTGCATGCATTTAAAAGAAGTGAAAAAAAAAAAAAAAAAAAAAAAACATTTCCCTTTTCCCGACATACTTATTTACAGCTTCAATTCAATCCATTCATTCTCCATGCTTAATTTGTTGGGAATTTTTTTTGGCCAATAATTTGTTGGGAATTTACAACGCTATTAGTAGATCTCAAGGTTTCTCAATAAAGTCCAAGATGGCAAGATTTCATCAAATTAATTCATGGTTAGTTGTGCCATCAATGAAGATTATATATACCCCACTTCTTAAGTTCAATTTGGCATGAAACCAATTGACAAACACCATCATGATCTGAAGAAAAAAAAGAAGAACGAAATAAGCCATCGACCAAATTCATATGTGAATAAATAGTATAAGACATTCTGAGAGAGGGAAGCTGTTGAACTTGTTTTCCTTTTCATGGGTACTCTATGAATCTATTGATAAGAAAAAGTAATAGCACAAAGAAACAACCAATGAATTAGGATTAAGTGGTCAACCAATGAATTAGGATTAAGTGGTCATAGAATGCCAAAGCCAGTTACATTAAATAGAATGCCAAAGCCAGTTACACCAATGTGAATCCAAAAATGTGTTCAACCAAATGCGACACAAAAGGCATAGAGCCCACTACAATCATTAAACTCACGAAAGGCATAAGGCTCACATAACGACATGAAGCCACATAAAGGCAAAAGCCAACAAAATACAACACATACTTAGGAAACCGTAAGACAAAGAACACGAAAATGCTACACCACCCAAAACCCAGGAGCTGCGCCACCAATGCAAGATCACAACCGACAAAGAGAAACCGGTAACCAAAGCTACAAACAGAAGATGGTGATGGACAAGCTACCAAAGCTACAAAGAGCGCTATCATAATCCAAACAATAAGTGACACATACACTTTAAAGCATCCCCAACTCCATAAGTGCCACCGATGATAAACGATGGAAGAGACACCCGTGGATTCGAAGAGCAAATGATGGTGGTGGAGACCATAGGCCGAGACACAACCACCGATGATTGGTGGAGAAAATGCATAGCAAAAACCTATAAACACACAAACATAAAAACAAAGCCGATGCTGCCAAGGTCACCACATTCGTCACCTCCGCTGCTGCTGCCGACACAAGGGAGGAAGGTCATGTGGGGATCAGTTTTACAACAATTACAACCGTTTAATATTAAAATTTACCAATGGTTTTGACACTGCTTTTTATACTAACATCACTTTAAAAATGTAGTTTATCAAGGTGTCATGGAGGTTCAAAACTGAGACTATTAGTTTGCAAGTGAAAGTTCTTTTCCACTGAGATAGACCTGGTTGGCTTAGTTAGGAATTTTGGGTTCAAATAAAAAACACTTTGGGGAAGTGAAAGTAGGTGTCTTCTCAATATTGACTCATGATGCCATGCATATTCATTGAACACTTGTATTCCTATGAAATACACATTTCATTGATTAGTCATGACTGATTATTTGTTTATAAAGTACTTTAAAATTTTAAATTACATTCTATATATAGCATATATATTCTTCCATTTTTCTAACAGCCTAATATTTCTTTTCTTTAAGAAAACATGGATTTTTAAAATCAAGTACATTCCAATATACCAACCAATGGTGATATTCAAATTTTCAAACACTGTTAAGGAAAGTTTATTACTAACGAATACTTGATCCTACACTTGTACTTCAAAATTGAATGGCATATAATATAGTATTAATTACATGCTTACAATGAATAGTTTTAATACGGTTTAAGAAATAATATATCTTCTTGACTGCGTATGCTATCCTTTGAGTTGTTAAAATTAGTTGGCAGTGTGATTAATCACAAACAAATAATTAGTCTGCTGATATTTATCTTATCAATGTTAGAGGAAGTCCTAAATTCGAATTCCCGCACCCCATCTCATTGATTAAAAATAAAAAGGTGATTGTTTTGTTCAAATTATCTCTACAACTCAAAAAATTGTCGTCTCCAATTGAAATCAAAGTCATTCAGATACTATTACATTTCACTAATGATAACCCCCTCATTTTGGACATAAGCTTAGCAACATCATCATGACATGAGCAGAGACATTAAGATTCCTCTTCTCCAAGATCGTGTCCTTGAGGATCATAGAAATTATTTCTACCTCCACCTGCTAGAAACATTTGTCAAGGCTAAAATTGGAAGCTTTGCTGAGGCTATGTGCAATTGGGAGTCTGTGAAGGTGAAAGTAAACATGTATACCGAACTCGTTTGGGCATCCCCACGATGTTGCACGCATTTAAAAGAAGTGGAAAAAAAAAAACACACACACACATTTTCCCGTCGACATACTTATTTACAGCTTCAATTCAATCCATTCATTCTCCATGCTTAATTTGTTGGGAATTCTTTTTGGCCAATAATTTGTTGGGAATTTACAACGCTATTAGTAGATCTCAAGGTTTCTCAATAAAGTCCAAGATGGTAAGATTTCATCAAATTAATTCATGGTTAGTTGTGCCATCAATGAAGATTATATATCCCCCACTTCTTAAGTTCAATTGGGCATGAAACCAATTGACAAACACCATCATGATCTGAAGAAAAAAAAAGGATGAAATAAGCCATCGACCAAATTCATATGTGAATAAATAGTACAAGACATTCTGAGAGAGGGAAGCTGTTGACATTGTTTTCCTTTTCATGGGTACTCTATGAATCTATTCATAAGAAAAAGTAATAGCACAAAGAAACAACCAATGAATTAGGATTAAGGGGTCATAGAATGCCAAAGCCAGTTACATTAAATAGAATGTCAAATCCAGTTACACCAATGTGAACCCAAAAATGTGTTCAACCAAATGCAACACAAAAAAGGCCTAGAGCCCATTACAATCATTAAACTCACGAAAGGCATAAGGTCCACATAACGACATGAAGCCCACATAAAGGCAAAATCCAACAAAATACAACACATACTAAGGAAACCCTAAGACAAAGAACACGAAAGGCATAAGGCCCACATAAGGACATGAAGCCCACATAAAGGCAAAAACCAACAAAATACAACACATACTTAGGAAACCCTAAGACAATGAATACGAAAATACTACACCACCCAAAACCCAGGAGCCGCGCCACCAATGCAAGATCACAACTGACGAAGAGAAATCGGTAACCAAAGCTACAAACAGAAGATGTTGATGGACAAGCTACCAAAGCTACAAAGAGCGCTATCATAATCCAAACAATAAGTGACACATACACTTTAAAGCATCCCCAACTCCGTAAGTGCCACCGATGATAAACGATGGAAGAGACACCCGTGGAGTCAAAGAGCAAATGATGGTGGTGGAGACCATAGGCCGAGACACAATGTTGAGGCCCAAAAAAATCCACGGCTTGGACCAAATGAATTCTCGGCCCAGCGCAATACCTTATTGAGAAAAAACCCGACTTGGAGCACACAAAAGTCCGCCATGCACGAGTCACACTCCACGCGTCATGCCAAATAAATAATCTGTCATGCTAGGAATCGAGATTAAGATTATAAAATGCATTATCTTTGCAAATCCTTCCTAATTATCCCGTCAAGCATAATAATTAAAAGCATGCCAAGCGACATGCCATGCCAAGCAGGAAATCATTATTACACACCCAACCACGCTATAAGCCTAAGTGGGCCCAAGCCACTCGAATTCCCGGGGCTTGCTTGAGTGAGTTGTGGTATGGATGGTAACAAATTGTCACGAGGCCCATTGATGGACCGAGAAGTGGAGGTTCCAGGTTGCTTGGGAGCCTCGGAACTTAAGCTCATTTCTTAGACCCAAACATATGGGTGAGCACAAAATAGGAAAATAGTCCAACCAAAATAGCCCAACCAAAAAGCCCAACCAAAATGATCCACTAAAATTAACCCATATAGCCCAATGTTAGATGAAGATAGCCCATTTGTTTGGAAGGTTGACTTGCTATTTTAAAGGCCCACACAATTGGAGGTAAGAAGCAACAAAAGCATCATCCCATTTGCTAAAAGAAACAGAAGCCACGTAGGGAGCAAAGTGTCCACATATGCAGAGCTGCTGGAAGGCTCTAAGGAACAATTTCCAAGCACAAAACACCCGAAAAACCAAAGGATATTAATGTGCAAGCTGCTAGGAAGAGAAGCACTCTTCGAACCAGCATACATACCCCAATTCCTTTCCCCATCAGACCTGGCCATAGAAAAGAGGAGGAAAGAAAGGAAGAAGATGGCTGGGAATGGAAATCTCTCACTGAAATAGCCCCGGGAAAGGGGATTGATTTGTTCAAAACCCTAAACCCTCATGCTAATGTGAGTCGTTAGCATGAGGGTTTAGGGTTTGGTGCTCAACTCATGCTAATGTGAGTCGTTAAAATGAATAGTTTTAATACGGAGATATGTTTAGGGTTTAGGGAGATATGAATAGTTTTAAACACTCCCTAAACCCTAAACCCTAAACCCTCATGCTAATGTGAGTCGTTAAAAAGGTGATTGATTTGTTCAAATTATCTCTACAACTCACAAAATTGGCGTCTCCAATTGAAATCAAAGTCATTCAGATACTATTACATTTCACTCATGATAACCCCCTCATTTTGGACATAAACTTAGCAACATCATCATGACATGAGCAGAGACATTAAGATTCCTCTTCTCCAAGATCGTGTCCTTGAGGATCTTAGAAATTGTTTCTACCTCCACCTGCTAGAAACATTTGTCAAGGCACACACGCAAGCCAACCCTCACTGATTCTACCTTGCTGCAAGGTTAGACGAAAGAGTGTTGTTATTTCCACCCCTGCCTTATTTCCCCACCCAACTTTATTTTTAAAATTTTAAAGACAAATTTACTCATTTGTAAAGTGACTTCTAAGAGCATCCACAGTGGGGGGTGTAAATTCGGGGGTGTAAAGCCACTTTTACATCCCCTTTACACCTCCGGGGGGTGTAAATATATTTTTTGCTCCAGTGGTGGGGTGTAAATTCGGGGGTGTAGCCGTGGGCCCTAGCCTTTTATGTTGACTTTTCTTCATTTTTCTTCTCTTTTCTCTGGTGGGTCCCACCTGCAAGGGATGTAAAAATAGATGTAAATATACATTTTATTTTACATCCCCATGGTGGTAATGTATATTTACATTCATTTACATCTCCCCATTAGAGATGATTCTGGTGACTCGGGGTGTATGTTTAACATATTTTAAAGATAAATTTACTCATTTGTAAAGTGACTTCTAAGAGCATCCACAGTGGGGGGTGTAAATTCGGGGGTGTAAAGCCACTTTTACATCCCTTTTACACCTCCGGGGGGTGTAAATATATTTTTTGCTCCAGTGGTGGGGTGTAAATTCGGGGGTGTAGCCGTGGGCCCTAGCCTTTTATGTTGACTTTTCTTCATTTTTCTTCTCTTTTCTCTGGTGGGTCCCGCCTACAAGGGATGTAAAAATAGATGTAAATATACATTTTATTTTACATCCCCATGGTGGTAATGTATATTTACATCCATTTACATCTCCCCATTAGAGACGATTCTGGTGACTCGGGGTGTATGTTTAACATACACCCTCATATACACCCCTCACTATGGATGCTTTAAGGACTTAGAAAAATTAAGTTGGAATATTAATCGAGATTAATCCAATGGCATAGACTTCCAAAATTTTATTACCTGCCAATCAGCGGCTTTACTCATTTACACGCCCAATCCAACTATCTATCCAGCTCAAGTTCCTTTTGCTCTCTCTAAGAGCAACTCTAGCGGTCAAGCCCAGCCTGAGGCTGGGGGAAAAAAAAATTGCGTTCCAGCGGACAGGGGGGGAGCCGGGACCCAACCCTGGCTAGCCTGAAGGCTACTTCCGCCCGAGGTCCAAAACATGGGGGGTGACGTCAACTCGACGTTAGGTTGACGTCGAGCACGCGGTAATCAATTTTTTTTACCGTTGACGCGTGCTGACGTCAGCACGACGCAAGTCCAACGGCTGGAAGCCACGTGGCACGCCCCCAGCGCTCCGATTTGCTTCCACAGCCTTCATCCAACGGCTGGCGTTTTTCCAGCAATAAAATTATGAAAAAAAAAATCGAATTTAAAAAACTAAAAAAAACTTTAAAATTCTGATTTTTTTTTCCTATAAATACCTATAACTACCCTTCACTTTCAACACCAATTCTCATACATTTTATTCTACTTCTACAATTACTCAACATTTTATTCACTCTTCACTCAACATTTTCATCTCTTTCACCTTGTATTTTTATTTCTTATTTTTATGGCTTCTTCTATTTTAGTAGTAGTAATTCTTAATGACTTGTATTGGATTTCTTTATTTAATAAACAAAGCATTCAATAAAAGACCATTTTATTCAACATATTCCATACATCAAACAAAACATAATTAAAATAAAATAAAAACTACAAACAAGGCACAATAATAAATAAAAAAACAACACAACCAAACCATAAGCAATAAAAAACAACACAACCAAACCATAAGCAATAAAAAACAACACAACCAAACCATAAGTGATATTTTCCGATATATCGCGGTAATCAATTTGAATTTTGAAATTCATCCGAAATTTGAACCAAAAAAATTATCTGAAATTTGAAATTCATCCGAAATTTGAACCCAAAAATCTTATTCGGAAATTTTATCCGATTATGAATAGTCTTGACACGTAGGAACCTGGAAATCTTCTCCGAAAATATTATCCAAATTAATTATTGAGGTAAAAAAATTTGTGAATAAAACAAAAAAATGAATAGTAACTACCCTTAGCAAGGGCAACGGGTGGAAACACAAAATACTATTTGCAAGGGCAACCACTATTCACGTGAATAGTGGCTGCCCTAGTTCCCCCCTTGCCATGGCTAAGAGCCTTTCCATCCATGAGCCCAGCTCGAGGCTAGGGAAAGAAAAAAAAAAAAAAAAAAAAAAAAAATTGCCAGCAGAGCAACCCAGGCCCGGGGGGGTGTGGGACCCACCAACTCGGGCTGGCCCGAAGGCAGCTTCAGCCCGAGGTCCAAAATGAGGGCTGCTGACGTCAGCGCTACAGTATCGCTACAGTACTATTTTTTTGCAATAAAAAACTGGAAAAAATTCGGAAATTTTTTTAAAAAATACCCAAAAATTAATGAATTTTTTTCTATAAATACCAGCCAATTTTTTTTTAATTTATCTGAAATTTGAAATTGAAAATTTTATCCGATTATGAGATATGAATAGTATTGACATGTAGGAACCCTAAAATCTAATCCTAAAATATTATCCAAATTAATTATTGTGGTAAAAAAAGTTGTGAAAAAAATAAAAAAATGAATAGTAATTGCCCTTTGCCATGGCAACGGGTGGAAACGGAAAATACTATTTGCAAGGGCAACTACTATTCACGTGTGAATAGTAGTTGCCCTAGCTCCCCCCTTGCTATGGCTAAGGGCAAATGGGTGAAGTTGCTCTAAGGGCAAATAGGTGGAGTTGCTCTAACTCTCTCGTGTTGCATGCTTCAAGAAATTTAATCAAAATTTTCTTCGTATGTTTGGTTAAGAAATAAACGGAATGTAAAGGCAAAGGCTTTCCTACACAAAAAGAAGAAGAAAAAAAATTTAAGAATCTAATCAAGAGGAGAAAAGAAAATCAATCCTTCTAAAAAGGCAAAATTGAGAGGTTTTCCTACATCAGATCCACTGCTGGGTCAACAATACAAGCATCGATCATATTTGAAAACCCATATGAAATAGGGAAAAGGTAAAAGAACCCAACCAAACTTTCCCTTTTCCTCAGAGAGAGAGAGAGAGAGAGAGAGAGAGAGAGAGAGAGAGAGATGGAGATGGAGGAGAGACGCTTGTAGGAGACGGTAGAACGGATACTGTTCATTTTTCTGGGTTAGTAAGGAAGGATGCTGGTTGTTAAATGGGTTAATAAGATTGTAAAAGTTTGTGCCGTTGGATTAATCCAACGGATGTCTTGAAATTGTCGCTCACTAGTTAACAGACTTCAGAACATAAAAGAGAATTTGCTTAAATTAATAATTAAAAAGTATTTTAGGAATAATAGTGGGCGAAAAGATAGAATTATGTTTTTTCAAATTTATATAGTGTGTGTGAAGATAAAGGTGGATAGGAAAATAGGACATGGGTGGAAATAGCAGCACTTTAGACGAAATTATATAAAACCTTTTTCTTTCTTTTTTTTTCAAAATTATGTCTTCCCCCTTATTTATTTATTTATTTACGCTAATTATATGTCTTCCTTTTTTGTTTTTGTTTTACTCTAATTATATGTCCTCCATTTTTATTTTGTTTTTTTGTTTTTTTGTTTTTGTTTTTGACTCATATGCATATATATATATATATATATGAGTATTTGTTTTATGTCTTATTTTGTTTATAATTTTCCATAACTTCTTTGGCCAAAAAATTGATAAAATCAAGATAAGACATTGAATTAATATTATTGTTATTAATAGTTATACATAAGTTAGAGATGCATGGAACATCTCATGATTGTTGAATCACAAAAAAGAAAAAGAAAAAATTAATATACTATACATAAAACAAAAATTTCAAACATTGAATTAATATTATTGCTATTATTAGTTATTGAGAGAAAATCAATAATTGTATTAATAAATTAGGCACAAAGGCCATCAGCCACAATGATAAATATAAATACCCACTAAGGGGTAATACACATATGGAAGCATATTAACAACGTAGGGTTAATTCATATATAGGCCACAAAAGGCCAGAGAAATTTTAACATAAAAGCAACATGCATGAACAAATCAGGCATGAATTGGAGCGCCTAAATCTACCAATACAACTACAACTTTTAAACTCTCACAAGTACAAAATACAAGTAAAGACTATAAAACAAACAAACACCAAACTCACAAGGAGTTGATGTAATTATTACAAAATAAGAAAACTGCAAACAAACAACAACAATAAAACCAACAAAGTCACTACCATCGATGCATGGCCGCCTTAGAGACAGAGAACACAATTTGCAACCACTCACCCTACAACAAAAAACAACCAAAAAATCACATATCCAAGCAAATCTTGGTGTTAAAAAAAAACAAAAATTCAAAATAGATATAGGCACAAATAACCTCCCCACAATTAAACCACAAATGCGAAGGGGAGAAATAAGTTGGGAGAGAAGGAGAGAGGAGGAGGAGGTGTGGCCAACTCTTCCCTCCCTTGGAACACACCACGCAAAAGTAGGTTAAGAGAGAGAAGGAAGGCTTCAGTGCTCAATTAAATTTTCAGTTATTATATTTGAAAATACTAATAGGCTGTTTTACTGCATAGTTTTTGCAGTTGAGTTTAACATTAAAAAAACAGTAATTCTTTTTTAATATAAATGGATATATTCAAATTTCAAAAAGGATTAAGATTTGTTATCATTGTTCACAATCATACATAGGTTAAAAAAAAGGTGTTTTGTTCAACATCAATAGTTATGTGCCACTTTCTGTCAAATTAGCTCTATATAGTTGGGATCAGGATTCTCTATTTGGATTTCTCTGTCATGATCTGCTTGATTTTCAATCTCCACATGCCACCTCATTTAAATTTTATCCAAGGAATTTAAAAGTTGACACGTCATTAATTTTTTATTAGAAAAAAAAAACAATTTGCTTAAAACATAAAATAAAAAGTAATAAAAAAACTAAAACCCTAAAGCAGGTACGTTCTGCAGCCTCTCTTCTTCTTCATCTTTTTAATTTTTAATTTTTTCTTTTCAATGTCTTCTTTCTGCCCAGTAACTTATTCAACCCCTTCGATTGTATATATATTTTTCTTTTTCATATTAAGCTAATTCCCTAAAGTAGTTGTAAGATTGGATTATGACAATTGGCAAGAACTAATTAAGATATGGGATGAAAAGAGACTGTGACTCTGTGAGGTGGTGTTTACATACAGATGATCTCCCCTGCCGCCCTTCAGTGCTATCGGGCATGTGAATGTGCTTAGTGGCGTTCTTGTTACAAGGATGGTTGGATACCTCTGGTTATTATTATCTCTTGTATTATCTTTGTCTTTCAATGAAGTTTCACTTATCAACAACAACAAAAAACAAGATTTACGAAAATGGAAGATGATTCTTGTGGAGCCTTGAAAAGAAGAAGAAGAAAGGGAAAAAAAAGAAAAAGGAAAGTTGCTGGCTTGACGTTGAACTCTTTAGGGTTAGTAATTATCGTTAATTGTTAAGTGTGATACAATTCTTTTTTGTTTTTTGTTTTCAATGTGACATGTCAACTTCTAAATGTTTGGATGAAATTTAAATAAGGTGACATGTGAAAAATAAAAGTTAAGCAGATCATGAGGGAGAAAATCCAAGCAGAGAATCCAGATCTGATTAGGAGCAAAAACAACACTTTATCTTTCAATAACTACAAATATTGTATATTGAATTGATTGATGTAGCGCATGTGGAAAACCGATGTTAGGCATTTGTTCTAGATGAATTTTCAACTATAAGTATTGTTTATTAATTGACGTGGCATGTGGATGACCGATGCTAACATTTGCCCTAGATCAATATCTAGACAGTTGATTTAAAAGGAATGTATACTGATTTCTATATAATATTCTTGGCTTCCATGCGTGCTCCAACTTATTACCAAGTTTGGTTTTCATGTTAAAAATCCAATATAAGCTACTTTAAAAGTCGATGCACTAATTGACACCCATATAAAAACTCAACTCTTTTTACACCCATGTTATATGGTAGTACGGTACATCCCATGCTAGACTTTCAAAGAAAAATACTTAGATTAATTCTGTAGCATATTCTTCCATTTTTTAACAACCGAATATCTTATAATCGATTAATTTCTTTAAGAAAACATGAATTTCGATAAAAAAAAACATCGCTTATTCTCAACAACAACAAAAAAGAAAAAAAAATCATGGATTTTTAAATTTTAAAAAAATCAGCATTTAATAGAGTCAATTTAAAAAAAGTCGAACCCTAAATAAGAAAGTTTATGCTCAAAGAATGCTCCATCACACACTTGTACTTCAGAGTTGGAAGGCAAAATTAAGTTGATGTACATACATATTAATTCCAGGTTTACAATAATGAATATTTTAATATAATTTAGGAAATAATATCTGTTTTTGATACTACGTTACTCAAGTAACAACTAGTTCTTCACTGTGTCTGCATTAATCGCTGCGCTGTAAAAATCATATCTGCAAGTGCATGATTTTTGGTTGATATTAGATCTGCACACAACTACTCACGACCAATTCAAAGTCCTTGTAATATCTAACGTAATATTCCTTGTAATAAGTCGCGGGATTTGTGCTTTCCACATATGGTGCTAAGCCAAACTAGGAAGAAGGGAAAAAGAGTGGACTTCAAATCTCTTCAACATGTTAATTTTAATATGAATTAATAGTTAAATTCAAATTCTATGTCTTAATTATACTTATGGAAAATCATCTTGTCAACTATTTTCTTTTATTTTTTTTGTCAGGGTTAATCATACATATTAGTGCTTTTATTTTATTTTTTATTAATAGGAAAAAGAGGAATCAAAATTAAGATCTCCTCCAATACGGGGATGAGAAGTAACCCTGTACTAAGTGCTAGTTGGTCCACACATATTATATGTTTAAATAGAAGTTATTTTCTCTTCTGCATCAATTGTCATGTGTCACATGAGTTACTTTCAAACTCTATGCATCTATTGATTGATGTGGCACACGTAAACGCCCGCTTAATTTCACACCTAACTAGATGGATGAATATATGAAATTGACTTCAGAAGGAAAGTCCACTGATTTTCTATAACAACATTCGTGGACTTCGTATGTAATATTCTTGGTTTCCATGCATGGTGTAACTTATTACCAAGTATAGTGTCCCTGTTCAAATCCAGCATAAAGCTACTTAAAAAGTCGATGCACTGATTGCCACCTATATGAAAACTTAGTATAGAAGGTTGACAAGTATATCTGAATAAATTAGACGAAATTACATGGTACTTGCAAATTATGGTGAGAATGATATAATTATTGTGGGGGCAAGCTTGGCCATGAAGCCAAATCTCAGGAAAAGCCTACTCATCACTTTAATCCTTTGCTATTAAAGTGCTTATTACAATAACAAAATGAGATTTCTTTCCAAAAATGAACGATAAGGCATTAACTCAAACCCTTAATAAAAAGGAGTTGATGTCCCAAAATCTTTTCATCAAACCTAAAATTTCTATGCTAGATGGCAGAAGAATCCGGAGTAGAACGTCTGAGCTCTACTTCTGAGGCTTCTAACATCTCAGCCGCCTCGGATGGCCCACCACCAACACAAAAAGATGGTCCTGAAAATCTTGATCAGAAAATAAAGATGAAATTGAAAGAGAAAATTGTCATCGATGATTCTGATGACGATGATACTCAACAACTCCCAAAACAACCACCGCCACAACCAGTCGTCAGATCATCGTCGTCGCCATCACCAAGTTCTCGACTCCGACTTGATCTGAAGCTTTGCAACGACAACTCTGCTCGCGGGTCAGGGTCGACGTCGAGGCTTGAACTCAGCCTGTTCAACACTTCGAACCCGGGTTCTTCCAACCCAGGCTCATCAAATCCTGTCTCAAGGTACTCTCAACCCAACGAGACCACAGATGAGAACCCACGTGGCAGTGATGACAAAAGATCCCAACCTAGGGTTTTCACATGCAACTTTTGCAAGAGGGAATTCTCTACTTCCCAAGCATTGGGAGGGCATCAAAACGCTCACAAACAAGAGCGCGCCTTAGCCAAAAGGCGGCAAGGAGGACTTGAAAATATGGGAGGTGTCTTGGGACATTCCCCTTTTCTTATTACAACCCATATTCAAGTTTCTCATCACCCTCTCTCTATGGATCTTTCAATAGATCTCTTGGGGTTAGGATGGATTCCATGATTCACAAGCCTTCTTATCCATGGTCCTCAACCCCCGGCTTCGGGAGGTTTGGCCATGGTTCTGGGGCATGGTCATCTAGGGCAGGAAGCCTCCTGAACTTCCAATCCACTATTGATAGGCTCAACCTGGAGGGCCTTCATGCTAATGCTCCCAATGGAATATTAGGGCTTCCAGGAACCAGTAGCGCTCCAAGGTTTGATCAGGAAATCGGTGCTGTTCGCAACTTTGGTGGTTCGAGTTCGAATTTTGGAATCAACAGGCCATTCCTTGGTGATCTTATCCGCCGCGAACCTCCAACATCTGATACCGATGCTGCTGGCCTAGATCTGTCTCTTAAGCTTTAGATTTATCATTGTTTGCTGTTGTTGTTTTTATTTTATTTTAATTCATGTAGTACACAGTGCGTGATTTGAGTTTGATTAGATCTTAGGTTTTTGTTGTTGTTTGTATTTCCATCCACAGATCTTTTGTATTGTTATGAAATGTTGAATAAAAATAGTCGATGTGTTTGTACATGTATTTAATTGGGTTTTATTTTTATTTTTTCCAAATTAATTCAACATCTGGTTTATAACCCTTCCTTTGGTGTTTGATGTGTGTGCTATTTAGGAAGAAGCAGGCATGATAAACTAGGATTTGAATAGAGCATGGGGGTGTGTTTCAGTTTTGATTGCACTCAAATCATCTTTATTAATTGCAAAATTATTATGTTAATATAAACCTCTCATAAACTTGATATTTCAAAATTCAAACTAATGGCCTGGATTCATTTGACCACGGACAAATTTATGGCTTTCAATTAAAGCTGATCATTCCTTCATTAAAATTTTAATTAAAAAAAAGATCATTTCAGGCATGCATGGTTAGTTTGGGTTTCAAAGAGAGAGTGACACGTAGTCGGGTGTATATTCTTTCGTGTATATCTCTCTCCACAGATAACTCATCATGTGAGGAGAGAGATAGACACAAAGCAGTATATTATGTTGCAATAAGTTTTAGCCAAGTTTTGAAGGGATTGAACTTCCTCTTTTTTCCTTTGTTATGCTTCATTTCATGGGGGTAAGATATTAATGAAATATGAACATGGTGGATTTGCGAGACCTCTTTTCTTTGACCAATTAATTAACTTTCTTCCTTTTTCTCTAAATAAGGTTAATTAACCTTCTAAGAGAATTGAACTGACCGTGAAACAAACACGTGGACTTCGGTACGGAGGCAAGGTTGACATGTTTAATTGTGAGTGTCTGATGCATTGCATCTTGCATATGGAATAAGTTGGTCCATGGCTAGCACTTTGTTGTTATTCCTTAATCATTCTTTTTTTTTAATGAACAATATATATGGTAACTTATTCAAAATGACATTTGAAATTAGGGATAATCCTAAATCACTGCAAACAAGGTAATTAATCATCATCATCTCCATCCAAGAGGTCAATCAGATCCAAACTCTTTGAAATGCTCGAAGTCAACTCTTTGTGTTGAATCTATTCGCCATTCCCTGATTTTAGAGCAGAAAATAAAATTAAAATAAAAAAGTCCAGATTCACAAAGAAATTTAAACATCAATTGGCGTAAATGGTAGTTTAAACTCAAAATGCAAAGTTTTTTTTCTCACTTAATTGCTAACAACTCTAACTGAGTTGTGGCCAGAAATCTGTCCCCTAATAGGAAATCCGCTGGCTCTTAATTAATTTACAACTAGCCGAGCCTTTCCCGCGTATGTTTAAATTATTATTTCACTTGTTTCCTTTTCTTTTTTTCTACGTAGTCTCAGCGGGATCAAACCGAATGTAGTTCGATAAGTTGAAATTAGAAATTTACTTGGAGTGAGTTTCTTCAGTTAATAAATAACTTTGGGAATGAAAATTTAACTGGGCGTATTTGAGGAGCCTAAACATGTGATGATGGACTCGTCAACTTTGCCCATTTGTTATTGGGGTTTTTATTTTGTAGACAAAAAAGACCAAATGCCTCATGGTGGACCGATGCTCCTTCCTATGCCTTAATAGCTCTCGTTAGAAAAATATCTGCAATCAATTTTGGAAACATCAAAACATCAACGGGGCATTGCAGACATTTTCTTTTTCAGTCAATTACGTGTTAGTTTGAGCAAAAAAATATACAAACTCGTTCAAGATTTATGAGAGAGATTATGGGAACATTTCTCCCATTAAGAGCGATTTCACCGGTTAACAGGGCCAGGGTAAGGGTGGGCCCAAGAAGAAAAAATGAGTTCCAACAGGCTTTTTTTGCCCGGGCTGGGTGTGGGCTCCATCAGCCTGGGCTGGCCCTCAGGCAAAATCAACCCTTGCTCTAGCCTGGGTTTGTTGACGTCAGCGATGACATTAGCAACCAAAATTTTTTTAAAAAATCTTTAAAATTCATCTCCTCATATCTCATGTGAATTGTGGTTGCCATGGCAATGGGTGAAAACACCACAAGTCTTTTACAAGGGTTGCCACTATTCACATGAATAGTAATAGCCATTGCCTCCCCTTGCCCTTTGCCATGGAAAATGGGTGGAAGTGCTCTAAGAGAAGGCTCATTTTCTAGAACATGACATGAGGCTGAATCTATTTTGTCATTCCTCTACTACCGACATCTGCAGCCTCAGATAAGTTGGTTTGGCATTATTCCAAGAAATATATTCCGTACATTCTGGTTATATATTTGGGACTCCATAATGATTGGTATAACCAGGTTGCACGGCTCTCAGGAGGTACATTAAGCTGCATGGAACTCAAAGGCAGTGATCTTGCATATTGGGGGACGGAGACAAATTCCCTTCCGTGGGAATCAAAGAGTATATCTGACCATTTTTTCTTAAAATGGTCATCTTCAGGAACCATTTTTTTAATTAACGGAGCACAGCACGGCAACACAGTATACATAAAAAGAAAAAAAAATTACACAAGTGAATAATTATAAGGCTTTTTTGTAACATCCCGACCCAAATTAATTATTATTTAATTAATTTGTGAAATCTCAATTTTTACCTTTGGGGTAGGTTCATTATGGTCACTTTTTAATATGGAAGGTTTTTGGGGATTTGAGTGGCACCGTTGCGTAGAGCTAGTTGATATGACTTCGTAGACACGTAGTGGGCCCAAATTGAAGTTTTAACGAAGAAGTTACAATCAACGGAAGTGCAATGGTACAACCATAATTTTTTCAAAGTCTGATTTTTTTATAAAACAACCGCCTTCTTTCTCTCTTCCTCTTTCTCTCTCTCCTCCCCCGATTCTCTTTCCTCCCTCTCACGTCGTTGCGACAACTGGATTTTCCGGCGCCATCCGGCCACCAAATCGGACGCCACAACCTCCAAAATCTTCCTTTCCTCCTCCTCTACACAACCCACCCAATTTCCAAAGCCAATTTCTAGCAAGTGAAGAACGAGGGCCACAACGTTTTCGGCAAGCAAAATTGTCGAACCAGATATGGTTTCTCATCCTCTCAATGCATTTTAGCTGTTTTAATGGTTGGTTTCGATCGATTTGATGCCGTGCATGTGTTGATGGACTCGTCGACTATGCCCACTTGTTATTGGGCTTTTTATTTTGTGGACAAAAGACCCAATGCCTCATGGTGGACCATGCCTCCTTCCTATGCCTGTATGCCTCTGGTGGTAGAAGAATATGTGCAATCGATTTTAGTGTTTTGTTTTGTTTGTTTGTTTGTTTGTTTGTTTGTTTGTTTTTGCTAATAGCAATTAATCAAAGCTAAGTCATATAGATGTGTCGTTATCATAAAAATTTGGTATATATTACTGTAAAAGATTCTTGACTAGTTAAATGGCATATGATATTTGTATCAATACTTAATACATAACCGTTACTAGTAAAAAGTTGGAAATGCTTCATTACGTAAGAGTAGCAAAAATAACCAAGATCTAATATGCCCTTACGAATAGGGAGCAAAATAAGACACAAACACAAACAATCAATTTAAAGGACATATTGAGTCAAATTAATTTTCAAAGAGCAAAGTGGGACTCGGAACATGATTTATGAAGTACTAAAGTAATTATACAAAATTAGTGAAAAACCCAATTCTAGACATGAAACTATAAATATACCCTACACTATTTAAAACATAGAAACACACTCAAAAAATACCCAAAACTGATAGCTGTTACATTTTTTAGTTTAATTACTTAAATGAAATACCTTTATTACCCATTTAGTATTAAATTAGTTTTTTGAAAAAATTTTGGGCTCTCTCTCTCTCTCTCTCTCTCTCGTCTCTCTCCCTTTGCAGAAACCAGGCCAGCGATATTGGTGCTCCGGCCACGGCCAGTAGTGAGAACGGTCGGAAAAGGATCGGCCAGGGCCGACGATCAAGTCTGGGCTAAAGCCCAGCCACATTAGCCACTCACGACGCCGCTGCGAGCTCAGAAATGTCTGTGGATTTCAAGTTTTCCGACGTCATTTCCGGCAATTCCGGCAGTTGTTTCCGTCAATCGAGGTATGAAACTTCATCTATTTTTCGTGCTCTAACTGTTTATGTATGTGGTTAAGATAGATTTTGGAGTTTTGGAAATTAATCAATACACCCTAGTTTGACCGACGGCTTTAGTAGTGTTCTGGATTGGCCACTTTTTGGCTGAGGTCCAAGACCAAAAATTACTCCCCTTGTTAGTCTGAATATGTTGATATAGGTATTGTAAGGAGTTTTGGGAATTTTTAGCGATAAGTTACCATTTGACTTTGACAGCATGCTTGGTATGTTAGTTTCAGACTCTATTCAGGGTTGTTGGAATGCTAGTAGCATATGTTCTAGCTCCCAAATCTGAACCAAGCTCCACTTCCGGGTTCGTAATTTTTTTTTCCTTCAAATTTTCCTCCTAATTTTCTTGCTCATTTTCCGTCAATGAAGATATCGATTTCTATGCTTGCTTATAAGAGTTTGATTGGAGAAGTTTCATCTCTCAGCATAATTAGGATTGTGCTATTGAAATCGCATGGTCGCTAGCTATCGTTCAATGCCAGATTATATCATATTAATTCATTTTATTAAATAAAATTACCATAAATCGTTTATGACTGTTCTTGTGTAGGATTTATGGAAATTGTGTTTGTAATTGTTAGCTAAACCATAGAATGCTCATTGTTTTTTCCTTTTTCCTAACAGTTCATCGAGGAAGCAAATTTAACAGTAGTTGTTGGCTTGTGCAATTGAGGTGCAAAGTAAACTTTTTTCTTAAATGCTTTTAGGCTTAAGAATATCATAGGACCACTTTCTGAGCAATTTTATTATCTGCTCAAGATTCTTTGGAGTTGATAACAATTGTTTTCTCTTTCTCACTCTCCAATCTTCTTCCTTTCCCCCCCCCCCCTTTTTTTTTCATAATCTATACACCAACTCTCTAAAGCAGAGGAGGCAAGGTTAAAATCTTAGCATCTGTTTTACAGAAGAGAGTATTTGCATGCATGCCTCAGAAGAACCCAAAAAAGCCCAACAAGAAGAAAAAAAAAGCATAAGTAATTTCAGACAAATTATCTGATGTGGTAGAAAATTAGAGTATTGATTTAATGGTTTCTGTTCTGATAATGGAATGCAAAATTCCCTTTTCAAATTTTGTTTGTCTCTCACTATGCTCGGTTTTCTAGCCAGCAATATCCATTTGTTTTTGTGTCACATCAAATTTACTAATCTTAATTAGTAACCATATCCAAGGAAACTGCAAAGGGGTTTGCTCAGTATAAAGTTTGTTGCCATTAGTTAGCAAGGAAGAAGACATTTAATATTTTTTACCAGTGGCAAAAAATGAAAAGAAAATCAAAGCATTGGCTACTGCAGCTCATAGTGTTTGTTTCTGTCATGGCAGTTTTGGCAGCAACTTGTTGCAAGAACAGTTCACCTACAACACTTGTTCTTTCAATTTCAGTTGTATTTCAAGGTTGCTGCTTTACGAACATGGGGTTTTTGCTCTGGGTTCCTAGGTTTGTTCCAAAATGTTGTGTTTTCCGTTATGTTTTCAAGGTTGCTGGTTTATGAACATGGGGTTTTTGCTCTGGGTTCCTAGGTTTGTTCCAAAATGTTGTGTTTTCCGTTATGTTTTCAAGGTTGCTGGTTTATGAACATGGGGTTTTTGCAGTTATACATTTTTATCGTACCTATTATGCAAATGAAATATAGTTGTTAGCTTCCAGTAAGTTGTATGAATAGTTGTTATACTGTTCATACCCTGTAATTGAGTTGATTTCTATGACATAGTATTAACAGTGTACTTCTATGACATAGTATTAACAGATTTTCAGTAGCAAAGCATGCTCTATATTTTGCTCATATAGTTGTGCACTTGAAGTTTATAATATGCATAATGTGATTTTCACTAGGAATATAGTTCTATGACACAGTATTAACAATGTACTTTTTTTTTCTTTTTGTAGAGGGCCTTTGCGATTGCTTCTGGTGAAACTATGGACATTTGAAGGTGGTTTTTGCAAAGGATATCAGATATTTTGCTGGGCTTTTTTGGGTTTTTTTTGACTTTTTTTGTATGAAATGGTATTAACAATGTTTTTCTATGAAATGATATTAACATTGTATTTTTATGACATGGTATTAACAATGTATTTTTATGACATGGTATTAACAATGCACTTCTATGACATGGTACTAACAATGTACTTTTTATGACATGGTATTAACAATACACTTCTATAACATGGTATTAACAATGTATTTCGGGCTTGCTGGGCTTATTTTGGGTTTTTTTTGAGTTTTTTGTATTGGGCTTGTTTTAAGTTAATAAATGGCAGAGATGTAATTTATAGGAACTTTAACACTCATTTTTTAGATAGTAAATGGTTTTTGGGTGTGTTTCTAAAGTCTATTCCATATAGGGTTTTTTTATAATTTCATGTCCTATTTTGGGTATATTACTAAAGCTCCCAAGTAATTAAGCCTTCTAAATACCATATTCACAATTGCATATCAACAATATTAAAAATATAAATAAAAAAACTAGAACTTCTGTTTAGAGATATTTAGTCATATACCCATTCTTAGTACTAAAACTACAAATAAACCATACACCATTTAACTTCTATAAACAAACCCAAAAATTGACAACTGACCCTATTGAATTTAATTTTGATTATTAAATTACTTTAATGCCCAATTGAGTGTTTTGAGTTTTTTTTTATGAGGTTTTAGGGTTGGGTTTGTTTTAAGAAATCAATGTCAGTTTTGTAATTTAAAAAAAGTTAAAAGTCTTTTTGTTATATTGTAAATGAGCTTTGGGTGTGTTTCTAAAGTCCATTTCATATAGGGTTTTTTTTATTATTTAAAAATAATTTGGGCTCCTATATTGGGTACAATAGTGAATCTCCCTTCTAATTATATGCTACTAGGAATGCTGGGTTTTCTACATGGATTGAGAAAGAGCCATTATTGTTGATTTCTTTGCCTTTTACAAATTAGAAGCTTATGGCTAATTCTTGTATTTGATGGCAAGTGGGAGGTGCTCTTTTTCCCTTGAAAGATTTTCCTCACAAAGGTCCAAGTTTGCACATCCTTTTGCTTTCTCCTCAGGTTATGTTGGTTGGTTAATGAATGAAACCCCTTTATCGATTAAAAAAAAACCTCATCCTAAAGGGTTTGTTTTTTTTTTTTTTTTTTTTTTTTTTTTTTTTTTGGGGGTGGTGAGTCTCATTCATGCCCCAAAGTTGTGAGGAGGGAAAAAAATCAGAGATTACGAGAGCTTAAAAGGCCAATACATAGGAACAAAGAACAACAAGCATATGGGAGTTCAAACTAAAAACCAATACAGTCTAGTGAAATGAATCTTCCCCATCATAAAGTCAAAATAAAATACAAAACAAAAGCAAACAAAACCACTGCAACAAAGGGATCAGGGACTGCACCAACATAGCCACAAAAGAGGAGATACACTCCCCTCACACAAATCAGCATAGATGCACAAAGAGACCCACCAATTTGCAGCCGAGAAACAAATTTCCATAAAGCACAAAAGTACATTGACACAAGAACATCCATCCAAGACTCACAATCTCCACAAAGACTGAATTCGCCTTCATACCATAGAGAAAACAACAACCATTCAAACCATGGTATATCCCAAAAGACCAAAACTAAGAGAGTGGAAGGTGGTGGTGCAAACACTAGAGCAGGAGCCATAGCAAGAGCTCTATACACTTTCCAGTAAATACGCTAAAATTCGCTTATAGAAGTTGTTGATGTAGCCTAATGAATAGGCCAAATCTAGAATGAGGAGAAGGAAAGAAGAGGTGGGGATGTATAGGAGGAAGTAAATCTGTTTGTAGGGGGTGTTCGGTGGCGAACGAGGGACACAAACACAGACAGCTACCACTAATGAGGAGCCACCAACTCCTAAAGGTTTGTAGCAAATTAGAATTTACCTTAAAATCCAATTATCTATTTGTAAATTCACAGTTAATTCCATATTAAAGTCAAAAGCAAGTCATGACATGTTTACTAATCTGCAATCGGATTAGGAGGAATTGAATTGAGGATGAATTGAATTGATGAGGAGTAGGATTGAAGAGAATTAGATTCCAGATTTCTATTAAAGTTGTTTACTAAACCAGATGGATATAGGAGAGTTAGATTCCGGATCCTTATTGTAGTTGTTTACTAAACATATGGAATTAGGGTGGAGTGGTTCTAATTACTAAAATGTCCTCGTTGTTGGGTTAAAGTATATGGAAAATTTGGAATTTTAAAAAATTGTGTGAGGATATAATGGGTAAAAAAAAGAATTCCTAATTGGTTAGTTCTCCAGGAATTAAATACCATCTCTCACCCAAGAATTGAATTCCTCCAAAATCAGGAATTCAATTTCTAATTTTGTGTGGGCCACACTTACTTTTTAATTCCTTGATGTGAAGTAAATATAGGAATCCTCCAAAATTGAAATTCAATTCATGATTTGAATTAAAATTATTGATTAGTAAACACTCAATCAATGCAATATCAGTCAATTAAGCCATGACCGTAAGCGAAAGTTAGAACCTACTCATAAGCCTTAATAAAAAGAATAGTTATTTGGTAAGATCACATGGGAAGTGAAACATATTCGCAAATGAAAGTTTCATTAAAATCCGTATGGAATTCAATCAAAGTATATGTGGAATTTATGAAAGTCAAATAAATTCATAGATTCCTAACTACATATACTTAAAAATCCATTAAAATATTTTTGTAATACAAGTGAAAGTCTAAACTATAAGAGAGAGGGGGTTTCTATCACGACCTGATTTGAGAATAAGGAATATTCCTGAATCAAGGTGTGAGTCATACCACAGTCACAAGAATAAAATCCTACAACCATGATATGTTGAGAAACAGAGCCACAGATAAAACAAATTTACTTAACAACATAGAATCAAAGTCGCAGTATCTCGTAGTTAAATACACACTAAGATATTTATCAAACGATTGACTACTTACAAATATTAATTACACAAATCAACAACAAAAGTCTAGTAGCTTGGTTGAAACCCACTTCCTCAAACTTCGCCTTGAATCATGCACAATCTATTAGGGTATGAGCATTCTAATGCCCAATATAGAGTACCATCAAACCCCTCAACGTTAGCTATCACAGTTAATCAAAGTGTCATGCATCAAACAACACAAGATACGTAAAGTATGCAACTAGACCAGATAAATATATTTGCATATGGGGTGATGTCATGAACTCCTCCCTTCTAATCCCACTAATTATACCTTAGGGTAACAAGCATGCATGTCCCATACCATATGTTTTACCATTGTGGCTCCGATTACCCTAAAATATGAACTAGTGCCCGTCCGTCCCTTAACCCATTTTTATTTTGTTTACGAATTTCTCAACTTTCACTTTTCATTAGAGGCCATGCTCCCATCACCTTACTATATTCAAGCCATGTTTCCACCACCTCAATATATTCAAGCCCTACTTTCATCACCTGAATATATTCCACATTTTTACTCATATATAT